TGAAGGAAGTGACTTGACTAAAGGCAAGAAGAGGACTTACATGATTCGTCGTAGAACAGGCACTGCCTTGCTGCAGAATTGACTACGGAGCGAGAGAGCGGCAAAGGTATCCAAGGCATGGGTCAGGATGGCTTTGATATCCTGGTATTCGGACGGCGATTCGAGATTCATCAGGATGACCGCCAGCACGATGGCGGCGTGGAAGGCGTGGAAACTGCCTAGCCCGCTGTTATACCACTTGTAAGGGGAGAACTCTGGGCACTCGAACATCGTCTGGTAGATGGTCAGCGACGCTTTGGCGGATGCAGCACACTTGAGCCGGGCGGCGCACGTCTCGTCTGTGATCTCGCCCTGGAAGTAGCGGCACAGCTGAGGCCGTAGGAGGAGCAGAAACAATTGGTGGACGGAGCTGTAGAGGATGTTTAGGTTAGCCAGATGGTGGGAAGGGAGCGGCTCGGTGCGCGTGTCGAGCCGGTAGCGGGCATTGACTGCTTTGAGGATCGTCATGATCTCATTCTCCAGCTGCGCTGTGGTCATCAGGCGATGATAGGAAAACCCAAAGAGGGAGTCATGAATCAGCGATGACACCTTGTATAGCCGGAACTTGAGCAGTAGATAGGTCATTTGCGTGGGGCTGTCATCGCACTGATCCGGATCAATAGAGTCTGTCGATGTGGAGGTGGTCGTAGCGGTCCCCGTGAGCAGATCGACGTCATTGATGTCGGCCGGCAACTTCACATCCTGCATCAGAAACCGCTGGTCCAGGCTGCCGACGGCGGCTTCTTGTCGAATATACAGTATCATAAGACCGGCCCAGGCCCGGCGGCGCTCCTCGCGTTCGATCGGTCCCAGAAAAAAGCGGTCCGGGTCAATGTGGCAGCCCATAGCAATTGCCACATGATGGGTGAAGCCCAGCAGAGTCCAGATCGACAGGCCGCGATGCAGGCGCGCGTAGCTGATGAGCACGAGTGCCTGCAGGGAATTGATTGAATGGTGGACGATGACCCCATCGGCGGCCAGACATCGCATGGCGGCCGATCGATATCGCGACGAGAGGACCTTGATGTTGCGGCTGACCGTCTTCTCTCGGCCCAGGTCCGCCAGCAGCGGGTCGTTGTCCTCAAGGGCAGTGACCGCGATGCTCAGCAGGGTGAACAGCAGCGCAAGCCATGAGAGAGACACGCTACTCGCGTCATGGCAGAACTGCTGGTACTCGGCCTCGAATGTCAGGTCATGAAGGATGTGAAAGAGCGGCGAGAAGACGCGAAAGTAGACGCTCTTCAGGGAATCACAGTAGCGGCTCGGAGGGAGAATGGCCAGCAGCTCTGCCCGTGTCACACTGCCATTCCGGACCAGAGGGATCTGGAGGTCATCCTCCTCCTCGGGAACCTCGGCATCCAGATTTTGCTGCGGATGATCGGTTGTGGAGTTCTCGGCGCCCACCGAATTCCACTGCGATGCCAGCGGCACGTATCGCACGTATCCCGACGGGAAGGTCTGCAGCGAGCCGGCGTTTGCCAGTATGGGACTGGTGGTGCCCAGCTCGACGCCCGTCAGACTCCGGATGCCGGCTCTGGCGCCAGCCCCAGCTCCGTCGGCTTCGGGCATGCTTGCCATACTTCCTGTCGCACTAGGCGTACGCTGCGGCGATACCAGACCGCCGGTGAAGCTTGCGCTACTCGGGGCTGCGGAGGGCGCGGACTGCCGCTGCAGCATCTCCTCGAGTTTGCGGATCCGTGCCAGCAATTCATGATGCCCACGAGAGTCATTATTCCCGGCCGACGGCCGCTCTGATGAAAGTCGGGGCTGCCCCAGATAGACACAGTCTTTTGCAGTCAGGCCACGACCGACACAAGTCTGGCAGGGCCGGGCATCACGAGAACAACGGATTTTCCTCGTACGACAGGCTTGGCAGCTGGTGGGCAAGCGCTTCTTCCCCCCAGGACGAGCGGAGGGAGGCATGTCAAAGTCAATGAAAAAAAAAAATAACAAGAATAAAATATAAAACGAAATGAAATAAAATAAAATAAATTTTCTAAGAACGCGAGGTCAGTTTCATCTGACTTAATCAGTCCTCTCCATGCAACTATAGTCAGCAGTGGAGAATCTGGAGATGGGTGTCATAAAGGAGGGGTGTGGAGGAGAGGAAGAAAGGGAAGGCAATGGCTCAACAAGGGGGACAAGGATTATGCCGAGCTAGAAGTGAGAAAATTGATCATAGAGAGTAACCTGATGGCTGCCGCGTGAAGTGCAAGACAAAGAAACAGCGTTAACCTGCAGGCTTAACTGCATTTAAATGCTGCCTGCAACTCTCCAAGATAATTCCACTGCCCAGTGGCTGATACACCTGCTTCAAAGCCCTATCAGAAACACCTCATTTCTTTTTTTTTTCCTTTTCTTTTCCTTTACTCTGTCAACAAGCCCCTCTTTCTCTCTTCATTTAGAGAATAATAGACATCCTTCCTCTGCCTGAGAGGAGTGGGGGAAAAAGGCTTGCTACCCGCCACGCAGTCACCACTGGGCGATAGTCGTACTCTGGTGGTATGCAGGTCAAAAAGCAAATCAGATTCCAGGCCCCCCCTGTCCCCCCCCCAAAAAAAAACAAATGTCATGGCCCTTTCTTTTTCTATCTCAAGAGGAAGTTGGATCATTCATGCATGAGACCCCATTCCAGGTCCCTTTATCGAAAGATTCTAGAAGGATTTGCAAGTCGCAGGTGCCGAGGGATGCTGTTGTAACACCATGGGAGTCTTGGACATGATCATGGGATCGCGCGTTTCTAGACCAATCGTTTCAGGTTGGAAGCTGGAAAGACGCAGGCATGAGTGCCTGTAACAGTCATATCGTCATTACTCTCCCTGCCCCAACCCACCACAACCCAGCATTCCAACAGAGAGGTAAACGACGCACGTCCTTCGGCCAAGAAAATATGGAGACAGAATTTCTGGCAAGCAGAGCGCTAGCCAGAGCGCGGAGAGAAGATCCGGCGACTCGCACAAGGAGCACTGAAAAGTACGCGGTACGCCAGTATGGTACCAACTAGCGAACCGCAGGCTCGGCGATTTTCTCCTTGCTTGGGGCATTATCTAAAAACGAGTCAGATGACACGGCCTTGCAAGCCACATCTGCGAAGAGGACGACAGTCTCTTGTTTATTCTTGACGTTGTACAAGGTCCTCCTCCGTACTGGGTACTTCGTAGTACTCCGTAAGGAGTATGTGCAACGAACGAGTGGACCGTGGACCAGTGGATCCTAGTCCCAGGGCCATTACTCATTGACTTCCCATCAAACTGGGTCAGATGCATCAAATTTCTCAAAATTGAACCGTGTCGATTCTAGAGTAAACTTAGTATTTGTCGATCAACTTGCCTTAAGTAGGCCGGCCACTGGGCTGGAGAATCCGCACTTATCAGTGCTCGCTCAGTGGCCTCGGACGATTTTGATGGGACTTACAATTGCGCGTCTAACGAGTGTCTGCGGCATTGCACGGCATGCAAGAGTCTCAATGTGAATGATGATAGCGATAATCGATAAACGCCTGCCACGTAATTGATTGGGACCATTTTCCAGGAAGGGTCATAGCAAAGAGCATGGCGATCTTCGGAGTCCATCCGACGGAGCCCTGCAAGATCTGATCTGACAGGAGGAATAATAATAATAATAATAATAATAATAATAGGAACCACGAAAGCGTAGCTCCATGTGATAAGCGGCACCCTAGATCCCCGAATACACCAAAAATTTTACCAACTGGACCCCGGATGGTATTTCGGGGACTAGACCAGAGCCCGCGAGCAAATCCCTGGCTCAGCCGTCTTGCAACAGGACGCAGGTGTCTGCTCCAAGACCAATTACTCGCTGGTCCGATGGATATTTTGGCGGATATTCTTTGATTGATCAGAATTGTGGTAATTGTGGTCGTACGTGCTCGGGTCTACTCTATAGGACTCCTCACCATGGTTAGTGGCAATGGCTGGTGGCAGAGCGAGAAGACTCAACAGGGCTTGATAACATCCACTCTCCTCCAAATCATACTCGTCTGATTCTTCTATTTGGCTGTTTCATCCTGTCCTGTGACTATTGCAGTTGCTGTTGGAAGCAAGTGAGGGAAGAGAGAAGGAGAAGAAGTTTGGGGAAGGAGCGACGGGAAGGTCAAGTCCATGCCAGAAACGGAAGGTGGTGTGCTCGGCTCCGAGTGACGTGTTCTGACAACGCAAGAGCTTCAGACATGGACTGAGGAACAGTGCATTTGGCTGTCTTTGACTATGACACGGTTGTCATATCTCCAGAGGCTGTAGTTGAGCTTCCAGTAATTGCAGACAAGTTTAGAATCGAAAATTGGCATATAACTAGTGATTTCATGTCATTAGAGGGGTTCGTTTCTTTCCGAAAACAATAGGTACTGCAGGCTTTCAAGACGGCGCCGGTGAAGAAGGCACTGATTCAACCCATACTTTGCTGGTATGGCTATGTCCTGTCCTCTGTCTACTCTGCTGAGACCGAGACGGACTGGATTATTCCAGCAACCAGGCGAGACACATGGTTCCAGCAACCAGAACATATTGCCCCGGGTATACGAGCCACACCACTGTAGCCTCTCTCTCGGTTCCCTTTATGCGAGATCTAACTACCGTATTCCGCCCTTTGAAGAGTCCACGTAGAAGAGGGCTGACTGTCGATTAGCGAGTTAGCGAGTTGGGAAAAGACTTTGGCCTCTGCGGAATCCGGTAAATACGTCAGCCATCCATTTGTCCCTACGTCGTCTTAATCAACTAGAATACACCGAGTAGCCTTGGTTCTGCGCGGAAGGCCCGAGCAGTTGTCCATGGAATGAGGCTGAAAGAACCGTGGACGACGAGAAATCCACGTGGGACGAACCTCATGTTTGCCCGCAAGGTGGAAACCCGTCAGGCCACCAATCGAGTGAGGTGTGCATGGTAAGGCTGAGATAAATCCTGTTCACCGTCATTTGGCAGAGAAGAACTGTGAGCAAGCATGGACCAGAAGGGGGCATTCGTCGGTGAGAGACTCACGCTGACTGACTGACTTCTTTCTGGGCATTGGTGGCGGAGCAGGGCGTGCGTCGATCATGGATCCGGTCTTTTGTCTCGTCTGTGTGACTCGACCAGGAACCTCTGAACGAGTAGGAAAGGACAAAGATCAAGTAGCAGGATTAACCAGACCCTTCAGGGGGATTAAAGAGGGCAAGGAAAGCAGAGAATACATAAATTCGCCGTAGAAGACTACAAATACCTCCTGAATCCTCAGGCAACGAAGCAAACATCACAAACGTCCAGGTCACCTGCGCCTTCACGTGCCCCAAAGGTCAGTGGTTCTTCTTCTTCTTCTTCTTGTCATCTTTTCTCTTCCTCTCTCTCTTCTTCTCTCAATCATATCATCATCTGCTCCCCCTTGTGTTTTCCATCAAATTCATCAGGTTCCATCGTTTCTCTCATCTGGTCTCGTCGTCTTCCATCTTCTTCCATCAAATCATCGCCCCTCATCCCCCAAGGATCCACTCAGGAAGCCCTGTGGCTTGAGTGTTGCATCATCGCAAGACGCCCCCCCCCTCATTCCGCAGGCTCCCACTACGCCGTAGTAGTTTCGGACTGCATACAAGGAGGGACTGAGGGCGCTTGCTTTTATTCTCTTCCATCGGTCTTCCTCTTCTCAACGATCCTTTTTCCTGAAATTCTTGTCCTGCTTCTGCTACTACCCGCCGGTCTCCTTTATTCGTTGAATACTACTTCTTGCATCCTTCCTCTCCTTCCTGTTGTCTGGTTGCTGTCATACATATCACTCAACACATGTCTCATTACAGAGAACGGGACTGGGACGACCCCAGAGGTTCGGTCACCATCAAGCGGTACGTTGTACCGGCAGAAGAGGAGGTTGATCGCGACCGAGAATTTGTCTTTCGTCGCGACGACCCTGTCGGCGAACGAGAACTGGTCGTGCGTCGGACCAGTGAGTGGGAGCAGCAGCCAGTCATGGTCCAGCGCTACGAGCGGGACTCTGACTACGACTCGCGCCGTTATGTGAAAGACGTGCGCTCCGAGAGGGACTACTACGAACGTGAGTACAGCCAACCCGGGGGCCTCCGTCGCTACGCATGCTCGGATGAGTATCTGCCTCGCCCGGTGCTGCCCCCGCAGACCATCGTCATTCGCGAGCAACCGGTAATCATTAAAGAAGCCCGAGGTCCTATCTATGTCTCCCCGCGCGAGTCTGACTACGAGATTGTCCAGCGCTCCGAGATTGTGGACCGCGATCCCAGGGACGCCGAGTATATCTACCAGCGGCGAGTCCGCGAGTACGAGGACGAGCGCCCTCGCCGTGAGCTGAGCCCCCGCGACTCGGTCTCCCAGGTTAGCCGCCGCCGTGACCGCCGCCGTGAAGACGAGGACAACTACAGCAGCGACGACAGCATGGTCTACATCCGCAAAGAAACTCGCGAGTACGACGGCAGCCCCTACCATCACGGCCGCCATCTGGCCGAGGGCGCTCTTGTCGGCATTGGCGCCGCAGAAATCCTGCGGGACCATCACAAGAGAGAGGGCACCGAGGTTTCCCACGGCATAGGCCGTCTGGGCCGAGATGTTGGGGCCGGCGCCCTTGGTGCCGTCGCCGCCAATGCTGTCTCGCGCGCTCGCAGCTACTACCGCAGCAAGAGCCGCCATCGCGCTCATTCCGTTGATGAGTTCATCGACGACCATCGCGGTTCACACCGGCATAGCCGTCGTCATCGCAGCCGTAGCCACCGCAGTCGCAGTCGCAGCCGCAGCCAATCTCACTCCCGCACCAAGACCCTGATGGAGCTCGGCCTCGGAGCGGCAGCCATCGCGGGCGCTGTCGCTCTGGCACGCAACAAGTCCAAAGATAATGACAAAGATGACCGACGGAGTCGCTCTCGACACCGCCGCTCCTCCCGATCCGTCCGGAGATCCGCCAGCAATGAGGGAGACCCCGCGCGCAGCCAGTCCCAGCGTCGCAAGCACATGGTCGAAGCCGGTCTTGCCGGAGCCGCCGTCGCCGGTCTGGTTGAACATGCTCGCAGCAAGTCACGTTCCCGCAATGGGGAGCGGTCCCGCTCACACAGTCGGATCCGCAAGGCTTTGCCCGTAGTCGCCGCAGGCCTGGGAACCGCTGCTGCCGCCGGCCTCTATGAGAACCACAAGGACAAGAAAGCCGATGAGAAGGCTGAGGAGCAGGGACGACGGTCCCGCTCAAAAAGCAGAGCCCGGGACCCCGCCGGCTTGATTGAATATGGCGATCACCCGGTGTACGGCAGCATCCCCACGGCAGACTACTACGGACGTCCCCCGAGCGATCCTGGCTACTATTCGAACAATCCAGAGCCCGTGAGTAACCGTCGGCGCAGCCGGAGCCGCAGTCTCAGCCGCGCTGCTGCACGATACTCCAGCAGCCCATCCGACTCGGACCGAGACAGCCATCGGCGCCGGAGTCGGCATCGCAGCCGATCTCGTGGCGTCGCCGAGGCTGCACTGGCCGCTGCGGGCGTGGGCTATGCGGCGCACAAGTACAAGGAGCACCGTGCGAATAAGAAGGCAGAGCATGACCGAAAAGGTAAGTAACTTTTCCCCGCACCCCATCATCGAGTATGCTGACCGATGTACTGATTGATTTCCCCTGCCTGTTACAGGCTACGATGGCGAGGAAAGTGATCGGCAGCGCGATCCCTACGAGGAACCGTACAACCCAGAGCCCTATCTGCCATCTCCTCATCCTGGAGCCTCTGGCCCGGCGTCCGGCGACCCGTACTCCCCCAACGGCAGCTACTTCCCTCCACCTCCGGGAGCCCCAGTGATCTATGGCCCAGAAAATACCCACTACCCTCCTCCGCCGGCGCCGGCTCCAGTCCCTCCTGGGGCTGGGCCCCATCCACCCCAATCGTACAACTACCCGCCCCCGCCGACGGGGGAGCAGCCTTACTCACCAATGCCTCGTCGGGCTGATGAGAATGTGAGTGCCGCATTGAGATCCACCCTTGCCCCTAACCAGCACCACATGCAAGATGGTGGGTTGAGCAATTGAACCCTTTTTCTTTTGGTTTCCTTCACCAAAGACGTTGGTTATCATTTCCAACTAACCATTCATTTTGCCGACTGTAGGTCTAAGAGAGCTGTCATCGACTGGCAGGCCGAAAGAGTCCCCCCCACAATCCAAATCCGTTGCTTTCAACCTCGACCCTGGAACTCGTGCTGACCCCGGCTATGAAACCGATGACAGCGACTCAACCATCAATGAGAGCGAGTCCAGTCATCATCGCCATCACCATCACCATCATGAGGATCAATATCACCATCACCATCACCATCACCATGATCATGATGATCCTTCCCATTCATTAACCCTGCCCGAATCTCCTGCCAGCGCAGCTGCTTCTTCAAACCGTACTAAACTTCCAGAATCCGACTCCGACGCCACTGTCAACTTACCCGATCGCTTCGACTCGCAAGGCCATCTCCTCCCTGAGAAAGAAGCATCCGATCCCTTGGCTGATCATATCCATGGGCTTCTCTCTGGAATCACCAAAGTTTTGTTCTAACTATGACTATTACTATATGTGATTACTGTTGTTTTTGCTTATTTTTATTATTATGGGTGGCTGTCTGCATTTTTCTTTTTTTGGCTTATGACTTATGATATGGATGAAGAGAAACCCAAGGATGAATCAATGAGTTTATGATATGCTTTATTAGTCTAATGATGATTGAATGTTACAGAATCAGCTTTACTTGGTATTATTAGTAGCTTGAATAGGATAACAATGCCCATTCTGCGCCATCTGCCTCGAGGACATGCCGACACTCTGCATAGAATTTGGTCACCGAAAGTTCTGGCATTTCTCATAATATTAGATTCCGGTCAGACTCGAATTCATCGCTCCTCGACCGAACCAGCATGGCAATACAGGATCATTACACAGGTGGTAAATAGGGACAGAGTCCATGCTTACTTGCTATTTGTACTACTAGTTATATAGATACATCAGATAAATCTCCAAGGAAAATCACCTCATTAAGACACAATCTGCAATCATATCATATTCAAGGAATCTCCTCGACATGATGCAACCCCGACTTGTTAGCTCCATCCACATCATCGGCATCAACGACTCTATCGCCAAAGGCCGCGGCGATTTCTTCAAGAGTCATATTCCGGGTTTCACTAGGACAGGTCAGCGTCACGACTTTTTTCTCTTGTTTTTTGTTTTTTTTTTCTCTCTAATGATAACTATCATGACGTACGGGAAGTAGAAGTATGCAATCACGAGGAAGAAGGCCGTGCACACGACGAAGACGTAGTAGTAGTTCTCCTGAATATGGGCAAACGCACTGGGACCTGCTTCGGTGACTATTATTGAGAAAAAAGTGAGTAATTGAAGACTGGTCTCTTTTAGTATTTGTATATTTGTATGATTTGTCTCACCTGCGACGTTGACAACAAAATGTGATGCTGCAGCAAGACCCATGACTTTGCTGCGGAGGGAGATGGGCAGGACTTCAGCGCCGTAGAGCCAGGTTGTGCTGTTGAGCATACCGTCTGTTTTAAACGTGTAAGCATATCCTCTTCTTCTTCTTCTTCTTCTTCTTCTTCTTCTTCTTCTTCTTCTTCAAGGAAGCTTACAGTATGCAACGACAAAAAGATAGATTCCCAGGATAGCAAACCCCTTCCCGACACGATTGGATGTATTTTGAAATTCCCTCTGCATGATAGCAGCGTAGATCTCGATGACCACAATGCCGGCGAGACCGGCAAGCAACATCCTAGATAGCACAACATTTCGGTAAGAAGACATGTACGTAAGAGGTGTCGACAATAGGAAAAGCAAGGCATACTTTCGGCGACCCCATTGGTCGGTAAGAAATCTTGTGGTAATGCTGTTGACAAGAAAAGCAATCGTGCCGTAAACACCTGCGAGGGCAAGAATCATTGTTGAGCTAATGCCGAGGGATTTATACAGCGTTGCTGTACAGATCGTTCTGTCAGTCATAGCCCACTTCTCTGCGTGAGGGATGATTGCTTACTTTGATAGTACTGGAATAAAAAAAGTATATCAGTATCTTGTCTGGAAGAGGGAATGATGGATGAGGGCAAGAGTTCCATACTTGAATCACATTGACACCAGTCAAACTCGTCATGGTCTGGACAGCAATGGATCTGAGGTCTATGTTAGTTCCTGTAAGATCTATACAATGACTACTTTTTGGTAAAGACCTACACAAACACACGATGTCTGAAGAGCTTAAATATCTCCCGGTAGGAGGTGAGCTCCCTCTCCATCTCGTACTCGATCTGGGCACGCATGAGCACAAACTCCTGTTGGACCTCGTGAGAGTGCAGGTCGCGTCGGATCTTGGCGAATTCGGTGCGTGCCTCTTCAACCTTGCCATGTCGAATAAGTTGACGGGGCGAGTTTGGCATGAAGGTCGCCAGACCGATGAACATGACGATTCCCCATGGAATCTGGATCGCCAATGGTAGACGCCATTGCACTGGTCCATAGGATGCGAATCCACAGGCGAACCCAATCCAGTTAGATGCCATGGTACCAAATGAGATGCCACAGCCCGAGATGCCTCCGATGAAACCGCGATACCGAGGATCCGAGATCTCACTAAGGTAGATGGGAACAGTCGCTACCAGTCCTCTGATTTGTGATTGTCAATATCAGAGAAAGAGAGAGAGAGAGAATATATAGGCATGAAACTCACCCGACAGCATAGCCGGCCAAGAATCGACCAGCTAGGAACATCCCAATGTTCACCGACGCGGTCTGGATGGTTGTTCCGATCGTAACCACGATGCACATCATTTGCATGAACCGGATACGACCGAGTTTATCACCTAAGAAGGTCTGTGTGAGGGCACCCCCTGCCTCGCCTGCAATGTAAACTGACACAACCTGCCCACCATCAGCCACAGTAACATAACCCGGAGGGAGGACACCTAGAAAGAAAAAAGCAACATACAGCACCGGTGAGGCCATCTGATGGATGGTTCATGTACTCGATCCAACTTGTATGAGCGATTGCTTGGAAGAGATACTGTCAGCTTATCCATCCAGCATCCCCGGATGATCCTTGGCCAGCTCGACTCACTTGTTGTAGCAATACCCGTGTCAAAGCCCTGGAGTAGAAGTAAGTGGCCATTCATGGGTTGGGAAAGAAGAACCATCGGCTTCTTACAAAGAGAAAGGTGCCAATAGCGGCAAAGAAAGCGATCCCAAGCGCATACCAGGATACCATTTTGATCAGGCGAGTGATAATATCCTTGCCACGACTTATTCTGAGAGACAATCCCAGCAGGGAAACACAGCGTTATTATATGTCGCCGCTTCCCCCCCCCCCCCCCCCTTCCCCCGCCCATCACGATTCACCACTCTCCAGTCTTCAATCCAACAAGACAAGCGACAGACCCTTTTCTCACGGAGAAAGACCGAGAGCGTGTGGCGCTTTTACCGGGGGCAAGAAGTTGGGGTAGGGAAACACGGGGGATCGGCCATCCTCTGTGCTCCGCATGAGGATGTCTCGCCACTGGAGTACGAGACGGCTTGGCTCGGACCATGGGAAAACCTGGGTGGGGGCGACAGCCTGTGCACCTGTAAGAGAGAGAGGAAACAAGAGGTTAGCGAAGAGATTAAAAGACTTGAGCCAACAGGCGTATCTCCGATCATTCAGTGTTCTGTGATTGAAGCATGCGGGGGTCTTCAGTCCCGGAAGTTTGCTTCCGCACGTGTCGGACATAAAGAAGAGGTTGGGAAGTCTGTAGTTATTATTCGTAGATAAGTCGAGGGGTATTTTACTATGAGATACCTGCCTAGGATATGTCTAATATAGCTTGATGGGAGAAGATGTGAGTGGGAAGAGAAGTTACGCCAAATACAAAGACACGATTTCCGAATGTTTTTCAGGTTTGCATTCTTTTTTGTATCTCTCGCTTCCATCCTACGGAACATCCAAGGGCATACATAGCAGGGAGGTTGAAAAAAAAGACTCGTTATATAGAGTCATATGTATGAATTGCTATTCATTTTTTCCATTGCCAAAGTCATATGCCCTCCGCTGTATGGAGGTAGAGCGCTGCGTGCAATGTGGAAACCCAGAGCCCAAACAAGGAAATCGCACATTTAGAAGACAAGAGCGGCACCCTTGGTCTTCTTGTCACCACTGTAGAAGAAAGAGAGATGTTAGTGAAAAAAGTTTTCCAGCATCATCAGTTATTGAATCATAACATACCCCAGCTCGAAGTGCTTGCATCTCTTCAGGGAGAGCTGCTTCTTGGCCTTGCACTGCGTGCACTCAAGACGCAGGACGATCTTCTTGGTGGTCTTGGCCTTCTTGTGGAAGACGGGCTTGGTCTGACCACCGTAACCGCTCTGCTTCCGGTCGTAACGACGCTTACCCTGGGCGAAAAGGGAGGCCTGTTGGTATCATATCGAATCAGCATTTTGACCGAGAAAGAAATCCCACACTTCCGGTGGAGTTTTTTTATTTTCGTGGTTCATCTTTGTCCACTTCTTCAGATAAGGGAGGGTTTATTCACCTTGCCAGCCTTGTACTGGGTGACCTTGTGCTGGGTGTGCTTGTGGCAGTCCTTGGACTTGCAGAACGTCCGGCGGGTTTTGGGAACGTTGACCTGCGCAGAAGAATAATAATCAGCCTCTGTTCGATCCCCTAACAATGCTAAAATAGCGCGGTTTTCCTTCTGTGCTGCTGTGGACATGGTTGCGGTTGTTTGATTCCCATGAGACTATGTACACGCCGGACGAGTCGTTCTCGAGCATATTGTCTGAGCGAATCTGTCAGGAAAATAATGCCATAGCTGTAGCTTTGGGGGTGAGGTAAGAATGCGATTCTTCAGATTGCATGCACGAATTTGATCGGAGTTTCAGTCGAAATGCGCTCGACTGGAACAGACTCGTCAGGTGAACCGTATATTCCCGTTCAATTATTTCCTTTTTTTGTTCAGAAATTTCGATGACAGGTCTCGAGAACAGGTGTTTGGAAAAAGCATTCTTCTCGGGGTGCAAGGCCTTCCTGTCTCGCGGTAGGTTGTCCGTGGCATGGGATTTTTTTCAAATCCCTCTCAACCCTCAAAGTATTGACGCAGCATCCCAGCAGCACAGAAGGGGTGATTCGCGGTTGGAAAGCAATTATAATCCTTACCATTTTGACTGATTTGGCCGGATCGTGAACTGGATGGTCGTTGAGTGTCGCTTGTCGGGGAGTTCAACTGGGCCTGACGTGGGTTGTGGGATTTCGTTCGCTTAGGCCCTATTGGGATTGGTGCTAACCGGTTTTGGACCACTCGCGGCCAAGGGCCCCAGCACACAAAAAATTATGGCCTCAGGCAGAAACATTTCATAAAAGAGATTTGGAAAGCATCACGGGAATTTGATAATAAGAACGCTGCTAATTCTCTAATTTCTTTTTTTATCTCCCTGATGGAATGATAGTTAGAAGCCTTTTCCTAAGCTGATTCTTTCTCCCTGCCCATACCAAGACCGACCCTTGACAAAATCCAGGCCCTTCTCCTGCCCAACAATCCACTCTCCTTCAGACACTCTATTCTCATCGTCTGTAGACCAGTATTTGGATTTCAGCTTCTCGTTGATTGTCTCGATTTTGCTGACAAGGGCCTGGACTTGCTTCCGGTCAACCTGACTATGACTGTGAGATAGATCTGTCTCCAGGGAAAAGCCATCTTGAGTGACAAATCGTGCGATGGTGACATGGGCTGAAGGGACTGTATACCGTGCCGCAATGCCCACACCTGCAGTATCCATCTTTTCGAACAAGTCTCGTCGGAGATGATGGTAGGAATAGTTGTTGTCCGTGTCTGCTGTACCTTCGCCAGCCGCGGGAACGAAACAGAGAGCCATGGCGGCGGCGTCATAGCTGATGAGCGGTCTAACGAGTCGCGCACGGTGTTTTGCTGTATAGTTGACGGTTTCAGAGATTGCCTCGGTCTCCAAGGAAGAGACTATTGTGTCTATCTCGGCCTCTGTCTTTGAATTGGTAATTTCCAAGGTTGTCATATGCAGACATTCTAAAGGCGTGAACCATAGTGCTGAGGACAATTAGCTGCTCAATTCGATGGTCTAGAGATGCATCTGGGGGGATAAACTCGTCCGTACTAACATGGTGCAACACTACGAATCTCTTCCTGGATTCCGGCGACTAGGTCCCGGATGTGTTGTGGCGGACGAGCCCAGAACGCAAGGTTATTCCGATGGTCAATGAACTGGCCATCATTATCGGGATCCAGTATGTCCTTCAGGATCTCATCGACTTCCCAACCAGTAAAAGTCTGCGCAAGGATCTTTGCTCTGAACCGTGCAGTCCTTGTAGACCGATGGGTTTCATATGCTTCCTGTATCCGGGCCTGCATGGAGATCGGTCAATCCAGGCTCTCTAAGCGCAAGAGTCCATTTATAGCTGTACTGACAGGACTATCTGCACAGTCGCAAATAAATTGTTGGAAAGGATTCCTCTCAGCTGTTGACATAGAGTCTGATGGCAATACAGTCGTCATGTTAACAGTCTTTCGGGGAGAAACATTAAGTTTTCGAAGTAAATATAGATTGTCGATATCTTGCGAATATCGTTCCTGAGAATATTAGCTTCGAGCCTCCTACCTAGTACTCGCTATCATATCCACTGACAGTACGGACAGCACTTTATATTTTGAATCCCCGCACAATTCGAACCCAGTTATATGCAGGGCTAAGCTAGGCAGTCAGATCTGCTTGTCAGCCGAGATTCACTCAAATACATGAACCTGCTATTCAAGAAATTGCTCACTTATATATCCTGACCAGCTATAGATAGCTCAATCTTCGTAGGCCCTACAATGTACATGATTAGCCTTATAAGCTCAGTAGTACTTCCTCGGAATCGGTGGTTCAAGGCAACCCAGGACATCGCTAGTTGAGGGAGTTCAATAGTCAAGATAGCAGCCATACTCACAACCCATACACAAACCCCAAAAAAACAAGCACGAACTAGCCACAGGCTGCTTAAGCTCTGTACTCCCAGGCAGTTGGTTCAGCAGTGACGGAAAACAAACCAGTGCCTGAACGGCGCCACGCCCGGCTGGAACCATCAACGGGCGGACCCCGCCAAAAAAAAGCCCCCCCGCCGCCATCAGACAACGGGCGATGACTGACTGGCTTTGAGTATCCCATCGATACCGACCTGTCTCTTCTTCCAAACCTGGTGGGGGTTCACTTAGCAAAAAGAAGCATTAAAGTAGTGACTATTACCTGCCTCACGCTCTACAACAATGTTGATCAAGTAGGTGTTCTCGGCGTCCTCGGGTGTCTTGCTTCATCATCATCCTCCTCCTCCTCCTCCTCCGTGTTGCCAGAGACAAAAAGCCAGTTTAGTCAATAACTAACCACTCTGTTTACTTTAGAGTCCGTACCCTTACCGGCAAGGAAATCGAGCTGGATATCGAGGCCGATTACAAGGTACCACCTTACCCCCGTCCTCCTTCTCCCCGAGTGACATGCAATACCATACCTATGCCGCATCGCCGACAGTGAAGAGCAAGAAGATTTACGGGCCTTCTGTGTATTTTTATGCTAATACCGGGGGAAAAAACAGGTTGCCCGTATAAAGGAGCGCGTGGAAGAGAAGGAAGGCATCCCGCCCGTCCAGCAGCGACTGATTTACGGAGGAAAACAGATGTACGCCCCTTGAACAATAAAAGATACCCTTCTGATATATTGATCTATGAGTATCTACTAACAGATATACGCTCGCAGGGCCGATGATAAGACTGCCGCAGATTACAAGCTCGAGGGCGGTGCAACGCTACACCTTGTCCTTGCCTTGCGCGGAGGCTCCCTTTAACGAGCTAGACAGGAAAGCGGCCGATATGAATTTTGCTTTTACTCTCATACCCTGGTGGAAAGGAAAGAGAATCCAAAAGGAGCGTCTTATCTAGTCTCTTATACGGCCGCCGATGAGCCGCGACTTGAGATTATTCCTGATATGTCACTTAAATGCAGCCATGAGCGTTTTTCAATCAAATTACAGATTTTACAACCAAGTTTGAAGCTGCTCGGTAGTATCATATCGGTTGGGTATGCCATATCGTACATCAGTCATCATGAGTCATCAGAGTTTAAAAGAACCCATAACCATCAATTGATAATCAAACGTTGAAAGGAGAAGAAGAAGAAGAGACCTCACGCCAGTGCACCTTAACCGTACCATGATAAATCAACGCCTCTTGATCGAAAATCCTAGCTGAGCCCTGTAGCTCTTTAAAGAATACGACGAGAATACAAAATCAAATTGATGTTGTTTGTCAAGCCACATTGCTTATGGAGCTCGTTTCTTCTTGGGCTGAATGAAAACGCTGGGCGCTGGGCGCTTCCGCATGACAGGACGGGCGGCTTGCGCTGGAGCGGGTTTGAACTCGCTGTCGTCCAGGGAAGGCGGCGGGGCGGCGGTTCCCGCGGATTTGTCGGCCTTGGTGGATTTTGATTCTTCGCCAGTGGAATTTCGAGAAGGGACAGTCCTAGAGGTTGATCCCCGGCCCTCAGGAAAAGGCCTGAGAGAAGGCCCCCTGATAGATGGTGTCTTGTTGTGTGTAGATACTTGCGCAGTGCCGGACTCCCTGGTCATGGCGGATTGGGGCCTCTCCAGAGAGCTTGTGCGATTGGCGGGCACCGAACGCCCAGATGCCGAGGACGTCAGAAGCGACGGGTTCCAGGAGCGAGAGTCAAGAGGTCTAGACACAGCGGTCCGTCCGCTAGCCATCGAGGCTGAGAGAGGCTTCCTCTGAAGCGACACCGGTGGCTCTGGAGGAGGATCAGGGTGCCTATGTGCTTCGACCAGCGAGCGGGGCGCCATTTGAACACGACTAGCCCTACTGCTAAGATTCTTGGTAGGAACCGAAAGAGCACTGTTGCGCTTCGGAGGTGCAAATATGTTGCTTTTTTTCTTCGTCTCTCGAGAGAGCGAGGATCGCGCAAGTCTCTGCTTCAGCGATGGCCGGGGAAGCGGGAGACGAGCGGACTGGTGGTCGGAGACCAGCTTCGCGCTATTTTTCTCACGCTCCGACGTGATCCCCTGCAGAGCCACTTTAAGCTGTTCCGCATCTTTCTCCACGGCCTGTTGAACATGGTCGCGCAAACCGCAGTAAACATCGTACCAGCAGTCGGGGTTTTCAGGTAGATCGTATGACTCCCAGTTGGGAATATCGCGTTTGATAAACTCTAGCCATAACTCGCTATCCTCCTCCGCTATATGAGGTGAAAGCAATTCGAGCGACCGCTTTCGAGGACCGTCGTCAGCACCAGGGTCGGTCGGCGAGGAAGGAGGTTCGGGGGATGCTCACGAGTTTCTCGGGGCTTTCGATCTTCAAAAGAAAAGGACGCGCCAACACATAGGGGACACTTCCAATATCTGTGAGATCTGCATATCTATGAATTAGAAATCCACAGTCGGAAGCTCTTTGATAAAAAAGGGGGTTGCTCACATCTTGCATTTCTGATAGCAGTTGCAGTACACAGTTGGAGAAGTGATTGAGAAGGCATATCAAGGGTTAGAGGAAAGGAGGAAAAAAATATTAATACATAAAATAAATAAATAATATAAAGCGCCAAAGAAGAATCAGAGTACAAGAACCATCGCGCCTAGAGAAAAGGCAGGGGTAGACAGACATACATAGAGGAAATAAGAGAACAATTAACCATTCCTCCATACTTATCACTGATAAAGAAGTCAAGGAGATGATGTAATATAACACTAGTCTATTTTTGGCAACATGGCTACTACTATTATTTCTAGTGTCGATGAGAGCTCTTATTTTACCTGGATACCATAGGGAGACACAGAGCTCTAAAGCTGTCTGTTGTGGATTTGACCAAATCGAAGTCTCAGTATTCGAGATTTTCAAATACTAAACCTATGGTTGGGCATTGATTACGCCTGTTTAACCTTCACAAACACGAGAACACGAGTACATAAGTACTAAGACCACAATGTATTTAAGAGTGCACTGGTCCTTATTAAATTGGGTACCTAAAATATGTACTTACAGTAGGTACTAAGGTACAAAACGTGGTGAGTATGGAGTACATTGATACTTACGGTTTACCATATAAACATCACGTGCACCCCCCACCAATGCAAACACTGCAAAATGAATTCCCTCGATAGCGTCACTTTCAACGGTACGAGACGCTCAGAACCCGAATATTTCATTTTTAGCAAGAGTTGATCAGACTGCTCAAGAAATTCTCGTGAGAAGAAGCACTGTGTGCCATTATTTCGAGAGAATCATCAGCAATTTTCTCTCGCAAAGCAAGGTAAGTGCCCTCGTCTTCTTTCTACGTCACTCAACGGAAACCCCACGGGAATGAGCTTCGAGAACGAGACAAGAGCCGACGTGCTACAGGGCGCGGTGTTTAAATTACTCAATCCCACACCATTTATTGATTATGCATACCCTCGATTTGATTTTTAAATCCTGGTCTCTGTTATCATCGTCGACCATGACATCACCTTCGGCTGCCCCGCGCGTTTTCTATAGCTATCCAGACTAACATCCTTATCTTTTATACAGTTTGAACCCATTGATATACCTCACAACTCTGGTCATTATGGCGCCCCGTTCTCCATTGGCTATTGCTACCTCGTCTGTTCAACGCCTTGTCAAAGAGGAAGCCTCCTACCACCGCGAGCTTCAACAGCAGACTGAACGCGTCCGACGACTAGAAACCGAGCAGGGAGATGACGAAGATGGCAACAGAGAGTTCACATTGAAGCAAGAAGTATGGAGCCATGCGTTTGTTGGTTTATGCCAATGACCCTCTTGTTTCGCTGTTAAATCACTGCTCACATTCTTTAGCGTCTTGCTCTGGAGGAAACCAAAAATGTTCTCCCGACTCTAAAAACCAAGATCCACGAGGCTATCGCGAAACTAGAGGCTTTACTGGTATGCTTGCAGTCTTTGATCAAGCTGTGTCTTGAAACGTCTGCTAATATGTTCTGTGCACATAGGTCGAAGAAGGCAAGAAGGGAGCCGAGAGCGACGTCGAGCAGATCAACGCTGGCAAGGAGGCGATCTCAAAGGCCAAGACAGCGGAGAGAGAGGTGTCTTGATTGAGACTTGAGTCCGTTTTCATGTACAGAAAAGCGAAGCCGACGATTGTAATTCGAAAGAGAAACGAAAAAAAAAAAGTGTGATATTGAACTCTAGATTTTCCCAGTCCATCCCGAAACGCCGTTGACTCCTCGCTAGAATATTCACTGGTATTGCCTCATGTCGTGTCCATTTTGTCTGCTGTTTGGTCGCCCGACACTTCCTCCCCTTCTTCCAGGGCCCCCTCGTCTGCACTGACCTCCCCCTCATCAACCATGGTGGCATCTTCACGGTCATCATTGGCAGTAGTCACTTGTCGTAGCGGCGACGTGGTTCCCGTAGGTTTGTTATCTACCTGCAGTCCCGCCGATGCACCGGCCCGTTCCTCTTGCCCTTGAGGAGGCGTCAAACCATCCACATCGAGTCGTGGAGTGTTGCCGCCGCTGGATTTGCCCTTGGAGGGCAGATCGGCCTCGTCGCCATCCTCCCCCTCCTGCATGCCTTCCCGGCGCTCGACCTCCTCCTTTTCGTCGCGGATCAGGCGGCGAAGTTGCATCCCTTCCTCGACAATGCGGCCGAACTGCTCACGCCGCTCCGACCACGTCTGCGCGTACTCCTTGCTCTCTTTCTCCAGCTCGGTGATCTCCGCCTCAAGTTTCTGCAGGTTCGCTTGCTGGTCCTCCCGCGGCTTTAGCAGCCGGTTACTCGTAATCTTCTCGGCCAACTCGTCGTAGGTCTTGCGCAGCGCAAGCGTCCGCTGCGCCTCCTCCAGCTGGACTCGCAGCTCGGCGGTGTTGTCTCGCACTGCCTGCATGGTCGCGAGAATACGTACTTTCTCGGTCGCGTAGCGCTCCCGCTCCTTCTGGTTGCTCGTCAGGAGGAACTGGATGCGCGCGATGCTCCCCTCGAAGGCGGCAAAGTCCAACGCCACATCTTCGTGGAAATGGCGCCAATCCTCCAGTTTTGTCTGCTTGTCAGCCTCCTTGGCGGTCGTGTCGGCCACATCTGGCGCGGATCCTTCCGGCGGCGGCGTAGGAAGAAGCGTCGACTGCGTTACCACCAGCGAGTCAGGGTTCAACAGGCGTTTTGAGATGCGTTTAAAAGGCTTCTCCTCGACGTTCAGCAGCCGGGACCTATGCAGCGCATCTTCACCTGTTAGCGAGAAAACAGAAAGAAGTTACACCTCCAAGTAACACACCTTCTTCTGGCTGGTCAAGGAATAGAGAAGCCATCGTTGGGTTGCCCTGTCTCCCTCCGTGTGTCGTACGTTGGAAGTGACAAAGAAAGCTCGAGCGGTCTGGAGGGCAGCCACGGACCAACAACCAACGAGTAACTGCCAGTAGTGGATCTCCGCTTGACTCTGCTTTGTTTCCTCGACTGCCCCCTAGACTGAGGGGCAGCAGTCTATTTATCGGGAGCCATGCCTGGGGTTAAACTTATTTTATGGGATCTTTACGTTCCTGCTGGGAGCCTGTGCTGCTTCGGCGTGAATTATCGAGAGTATGGTGGTTGTCACCACATTTCCAGTCACTACCTACTAGACCTACCTACTCTCTCGGCATTGGGCTCTAACAGCTGCTAGGAATTCACGATAAGGATCCGACTGCGCTCGCTCCTAACGAAACAGGTCTCTGCTTAATGCAGAGGATCTCTTCGGGTGGGCTCCCGCTGGCGAGGGGTGATGGCCGAAATGTACTCGGGGCTCCATGTTGGCCAGGAATTCGCGTCGCTGGGCGAGTTCAAGGCGGCGATCCGGAGCATCTCGGTCGTACAGCACTGGGAGCTCCGGGTAATGCGCAGCAATCGAAAGAGCGTGGTTCTGGGCTGTCGATCGTCGGCCACCTGTTACTTCCGCGTTGTGTGTCGCACGAACAAACACATGACCTACATCACCAGCCTGCAGGACCGCCATAGCTGCCGGCGGACTGCCGCCGTGCCGGACATGACGCCTGCGCGGTCGGAGGCGTCTCACATGCGGTTTCTGCTGTCGGAGATCCCAAGGCTGTTCGATATGAGGAACCGGATCCGGGGACAGGACGTTGTGGAGGCGATCAAGCGCAGCCATGGGTACGATATCTCAATGAGACAGGCACAGCGGGCCCTCACCAGGCTACAGCCGAGGCACTCGCCATCCATGGAAGCGGAAGATCGTGAGTATGAACTCTGTTCGCCGGCGCTACAGGCCAACGAGCCGATGTTCAACGGTCTGGAAGGTAATCCGTGGATGACCAACCATCATCGTTCTTCAGCACCACCACCGCCGCCGCCGCCGCATCCTCCTCCCCCTCCTCTCGGGCATCGTCCTCTTCTCAACCAGGAGGTTCACCACCCGCAACCGGTCCCAACACAGGAGCAGATGCCTCTCGAGCAGAGTCTCCGACACATGAATGTGCATCATTCGGGGTTCGAGCAGCCCGTAACAACAGCGCTGGGCCAAGAAAATCCCCGGGGGCAACCACAGACATTGATCGGCCCCCCTGCCGTATCGCAGTTGGCCTCATCCCATTTCAAAATCGAGTTCGCCTGCACCACGTGTGGCGCCCTGAACCAGGGTTTCTTTCCCAACCAGGGCAATGTCACCAGTGGCACTTATGTGACTCACCAGCCGTTGCCTAACACGAGTGCTCTGCATGGCAGTTCGCTGCCAAATGCAGGTAGCGCTGGTCACCCCCTCGCCGCGTACGAGTCTTCTAATCACCGTGATCTGCAACCTCTCTGGACCCAGAACACGTTGGATGTCACAATCACCTCCACTATCTCGTGATTTTGTTTTTCTTTTTCCAGTTCCATCACTCCATGTGTTGTGAAATGGCCTGCATCCTGGGCCACGGGTCTGCGTTACTCGATTGAATCGAAAGACACTGCGGCTATTATCCTCGCGGCATATATGAGATATGCGAACCAACAATTCTGGTGAATCATGATTCGTCGACAGTCCAGAGTGTCCTCTATTCAGCTTGTCTTCGGTTGAAACTGTATTGAGTGGTTGTTGTATGTGCATGTTTTTATATCTTATAATCAAGGTAGTCATTCCGGCTTATATATAATACTTAGGGCTGTACTCTTAACCGAACCATTACAGAAGATTTGCACCTTTCCAGCATAGAATCCAAGTAAATCCATACTTCTATAGAGTATAATCTGCAAGCAATTATTTATTCGATATATATAAAACAGATGATCTGCTATTACCTGCATTAAAAATCAAATGCTAGACCAGGATGGGTTCACCGCCTAAACATGTGGCTTTTTTGATCTGAACGTGCAACCTCATCTTGCAGGCAGGCTTGGATATTCTAGACTTCTTCCTGGCTATCTCTGTCGATTGACTTGATCGGCCAACGTCTCATCATCCAGGGTATATTTAGAGAGAGCAGTTATCACCGCTGGCAAGATAACTGAGGATGCGATAACAAAGAGCCTACTGCTACAGTCTACTGCAGGGGCCATTGCCACCCACCATCACTACGACACGACACTCAGCACAGGATACACCCAATAACGATGCCGGCTACACCTGCTTTTCGACACCTCTCGGACCGATCTGAATCTGACCTCGAGAAATGATTCATCAGGCCTCACCGACGACGGAAGTCGGCACGTCCATCGGACGTCCGATAGAACCATCGCCAGCTATCGAAGCGGGCGGATCCACCGACCAGATTTTCGCCAACGAGAGACGTTCGAGTTGGTTCAGGACGTCAGGAATCTAGAGCCACTCCGGGCGTGATAGGTGGACGCGGCCCTGGTACAGTGACTATCATCATGGCGAAATCGCAGGCAGGGAAGTCTCTGTTTGGCTGTAAGAGAGGAATCAGGATCGAGGGCCGGTTTTTTTTCAACAGTCGTGTCACAAATTGATGGGAATCTGAACCACCAGGAAGACCAGGGAAGAGGAGATTTCATTTTCTTCCTCCCTTTTCCTCTCTGGTCTGGGTTTTGGCACCTGCGTGGTCAGCACGGCTCTGTGGGAACATACTACAATACTGCACATATATAAAGCTCAAAAGGAGCTGCTCCCCTGCTAGTTGATTCTGATCCGGATCAATTCATTTTCAAAAGTTCGATCAGCCTTTGGGATTCAATCTGAGTCAGGATTCTACCCGAGTCTCTTTTATCTACAAAAATCCAAAGCCTCCCGGTTGATGCGGGCCATGACCTATATTATTGCCTGAGCCAAACGAACCGAAATACTTGAAACAAAATGGAACGACAAAAAGCAACAGAGAAGACGCTGCATGACCAGACCAACATCCTGCCCTTTGCGCAGCTGGTGGTGGTCTTCACTGGCCTGGCCATCTCGCTGTTGATCACGATGGTAGACCAGAATGGCATCAGCGTCACCCTGCCGACGATTGCTCGGGACCTCAACGCCGAGAACACCATCTCGTGGGCAGGCACCTCGTCCCTGATCGCCAACACGATGTTCACGGTGCTCTACGGCCGCCTATCTGACATCTTCGGACGCAAGATCGTGTACCTTGCGGCGCTCTGCCTGCTGTGCGTCGCCGACCTGATTTGCGGGCTGTCGCAGAATGCACCCATGTTCTATGTCTTTCGCGGGCTGGCGGGCGTTGCCGGCGGCGGCGTGACCTCTCTGACGATGATCATTGTCTCCGACGTGGTGACGCTCGAGAGGCGTGGCAAGTACCAGGGCATTCTAGGTTCGGCGCTCGGCATGGGTAATGTCATCGGGCCCTTCCTGGGCGCCCTGTTCACAATGAAGGCCACCTGGCGCGGGTTTTTCTGGCTTATCTCGCCACTGGCGGCCTGCTCGGCCGTCGTGGGATACTTTCTGATCCCCAGCAACAAGCAAGCGCGCAAGGATGGCCTCCAGAAAAACATCCGCAAGATCGATTTCTATGGCATCACCGCCTCGTCGATCGCCATCATCTTCCTCTTGATCCCCATCTCCGGCGGCGGCTCGTATTTCTCGTGGGATTCCCCCATGGTGATCGCTATGCTGACCGTCGGCGGGTGTGCATTGATTGCCTTTGTGATTATTGAATGGAAGGTGGCCGCTCTTCCCATGCTTCCAAGTAAGTCATTCTTCTTCTTCTTCTTCCTCTTCTTCTTCTTCTTCTTCTTCTTCTTCTCTTCTATATCATCTGTTCCAGGCTGACTGCTCAGCGTTCTTCTTCAAAAACCCCGTGGTTGCAGCTCTGTTCCTGCAGAGCTTCCTGCTGGGCGCGGTCTACCAGTCGTATCTGTACTACCTGCCACTTTACTACCAAAACGCGCACGACTGGTCCCCCATAAAGTCTGCGGCATTGACGGCGCCGCTAGTGGTCTGCCAGTCTCTGGCGTCGATTACCTCCGGGCAGTACATCTCGCGACGCAAACGTTACGGGGAGATTATCTGGCTGGGCTTCACACTCTGGACGCTAGGCGCCGGGTTGACGGTTATTTTCAAGCGTGATACCCCCCCGGGCGTGATTGCGGGCATCATGGTGGTCATGGGGATCGGCGTGGGGTTCACCTTCCAACCCACGATGGTCGCCATGCAAGCACACGTTACCAAGTCCCAGCGTGCGGTCATCATCTCCGACCGCAACTTCTTCCGCTGCTTCGGCGGCGCCTGCGGGCTTGCGATCTCCGCCGCGGTCCTGCAGGCCACCCTGCGCGCGAACCTGCCTGCCGGATTCGAGTACCTGGCTAAATCCTCGTACTCGCTCCCTACCCGCACCGGCATCTCGGACGCAGACTGGAATCTGATCCTGCTCGCGTACGCGAAAGCCTCGCGCGGCGTCTTCATGGTGCAGGCTCCCTTAATCGGGGTCTGTCTTGTGGCCTGCCTCTTCATCCGGGACCGAGGGCTGGAACGCCCGAAAGAGCCCGGTGAGGAAGAGAATGTCCCAGCGCCAGCAGCCGAAGTGCCGCAAGAGACTACAAACGAGCCTACATCGACGGAGAAGGAGATGCATGCAACTGAACCTTCTGCCTCTTCTTTCACGGAGAAGGAGGCCGTCGTGCTCGAGTCTTCTGATTCGACTACTATAGAGGAGACAGACATAGAGTAACTAGTAGCCCAGAGAACATAGAATGATAGATAGAATAATTAATAGATCCAATAACACTGAAATAGACGATTTAAAATTGCATTCACTGTCTTGTCAAGGATTATTATTATTATTATTGTCATAATTCTGGCCAGCCGCGCTAGCCTTTTCCGACCTCCGCTCAACCAGCGTCGTCTCGCCACAACGACTGAGCATTACCATTTCTACTGCCATCACCACCACAACCAGGGGCATCGAGCGATGTATCGATACGCCGTCCGCACGGAACCCGGTGAAGGCTCGTCATGGACAATCTTGGGGCGGCGCTGCCCTCTACGTTGAGAGACTACAACCCCCGCAAGCGAGGGAGAACGGCGTGTACGCGGTGCAAGACGAGGAAACAGAAAGTACCTACTTACCCCCTTTTCCCTTCTTTCTATTGGTTTGATTTTTCGATTTCTGATGATTCCAGTGTGACAATGATTATCCGGTGTGCTTCAACTGTCGGAAGGCCGGGGTTGCCTGTGACATTTCGGCTGTGAGGCAGGAGAATGGACAGCAGAACGAGTGTGTGAAACCTTGACTTGGTATTTTGCAACGGGTCGTTTTAGCTCATACCTTCTAGCTATACTCGCACGTTAGAAGAGCGGATTGCGTATCTAGAAGGCAAGCTCGCCCAGACAGACGCCTCGAGCGTCGCCAACGGGTCGAGTAGTGTGCTGCATCCCGTTGCGGCCCTGCTGTCTCCGCAGAGCAGCCAGACGCCGACACAAACGCGGGCCACTACCGGCGTGGACAGTAACCCGGCCGGGGAACTCGTGGGGTTTCTGGCACTGAACTCGTCCGAGGCGCCGGCCTATGTGGGCTCTAGTTCGGGGCTCTCGCTTGTCGCAAACCTCGGCGAGATGGTCCAGGCCACCGTCTGGGACCAGATCCTCTCTGCCGCACGGGGGCGGCAGCAGCAACAAAATTTAGCCAGCAAAGGTCAACAGCAGCAGCAGATGACCGGGTCTTCATCTCAAACCCCAGGCCCTGGGAGCAACGACCGGCCCGCCAATCTAGAAGAATTGGCGACCAAGACCGCTGGTCCGCCGAGTGATGAGCTTGGTGAGAGGATTTTGCAGGCGTACATGAAGCGGCTGCACACCCGGTATCCGTTCCTGGACCGGACGGAGATCTGGCGATTGCACCACGATCGGTGGCGTCTTGCGAAGATCAAACGCGAGGAGCTATCCAAGGAGGAGCGCTTCGGGCTCTTCAAACTGTACATGACGTATGCGATTGGAGCGGCCACTATCCACATGAACGAGAAATGTACATATGTAGCTCCTGAGGTGAGTACCAGCGGCAGTTTTCAGGATGGCGCAGTCGGACGGATTCTTACAACTGGTAGACCTTCTACTTTACCGCGCTGCAAAGCATGCCGGCCAAGTGCGAGACACGGTCGATTGAGAATATCGAGGCGATGATGTTGCTGGTCATCTTTCATCTGCGCTTTGCATCCAGCCACGGCATGTGGTACATGATCGGGCTCGCGATGCGGACGGCCATCGACCTCGGGCTGCACCGCAAGGCGAACGAGATCAGTCTAGACCCGTTCACAGCGCAGATGCGCCGGCGGCTGTTCTGGACAGTGTACTACCTGGAACGAGTGGTGTCGATGTCGCTGGGCCGGCCGTTCAGCATTTCCGACCGACACATCGACCTCGAGCTGCCGCTGGACGTCGACGACGACATCCGCGACCCGGCAGTGCTGACGCAGACGCCGCCGCCGACTCCCAACCCGCAGAAGGCCAGGCCGACGACGACGCTCACGGTGGCGATCTACCTGATCCGGCTGCGGCGGATCGACTCGCGCATCCAGTACAAGATCTACCGGGCGGACCGGCCGCTGCACTCGCTACGGCCGAAGATGGACCGGCTGTACCTGGAGCTAGAGGAGTGGAAGGCCTCTGCGACGTCACGGTTCAGCGGCTCGGCGCTCGACCACCCGATGCTGCACTACAACCGGGCGGTGCGGCTGCTGATCCAGCCCTTTCTCCCGCTCCTCCCCATCACAGACCCGTACTACCACATCTGCCTACGCGCGGCGGGGGACATCTGCCAGACGCACAAACGCCTGCACTCGACGCCCGAGTACGGCCACTCGTTTATGGCGGTGCAGACGGTGTTCATGGCGGGGATCACGCTGCTGTACGCGCTGTGGACGCACACGGAGCGCATCTGGTCCGTACAGATGAGCAACGACGTGCGCGCCTGCTCAACCGTTTTGTTTGTGATGAGCGAGCGCGCCGCCTGGGTGAAGAAGTACCGCGACGCGTTCGAGCTGCTCGTCAACGCCGCCATGGAAAAACTCCAGGGCGACGACACCGCCAAGATGGTGGGCATTGCCGAGCTGATGACTGCTCAGAACGGATATACTGCGTTTCACACTGCTGCTGCTGCTAATCCTACAACTACTACTACTGCTACTGCTACTGCCACAGCTACTGCTGATACTAATGCAGCCATGTTCATACCCAGCACAAATCTACCCGTGCCCGAGTTCACGATCAGTCCGCCAGATAGCCACGAGCACGGCGTGCGGATGGCGCTGCAGCTGGCGCCGTGGATCGACCAGGACGAGAACAGTCCGTTGTGGATGCCTGATTTCGAGACGCTGGAGAACCTGTCGGGGGGGGTATGGAGTTATGGCGACACGACTACTCCTTTTGATTTCTAGCACATCACTTAGTATACAGGGATATACTACAAAGTTCAAATTAAATAGTCTGGTTTGCAAACTGCTACTTCTACTCCTGCCATGGAAGACTAAAAGTACCCACCCAATCTTCTACCTCCTGTCTCAGCATGACGATATCCGAGACCTCCTCGCCCTCACCGAGATAATCCAAAAAGGCACGCAGGGTAGCCGGGTTTTTGACGCCGTTTGCGGCGGCAGCCTCGCGGGCGGCCTTGTCGAGTTTCTGGGTGACGATGACCGCGTGGTCGACTATATCCGCGACGCGACGGAAATCATCGGGTTGAAAGCCGCGCGAGGTCATGGCGGGGGTTCCCAGGCGGAGACCGCCGGGCTTGAGGGCGGATCTATCGCCTGGGACGGTATTCTTGTTACTTGCGACGCCGCAGAGTTCGAGGACCCGTTCGACGCGGGCGCCGTCGACGCCGCGGTTCTTCAGGTCGACCAGGACGAGGTGGTTGTCTGTTCCGCCCGAGACGATGTTATATCCCAGGCCGCCGTTGTTGCTGGGCTGGCCGAGCCGGTCGGCCAGGGCCTGGGCATTGGCAAGGACTGTTTGCTGGTAGGTGCGGAACTGCTTGGACTGGGCTTGGCCCAGGGCGACGGCGAGGGCGGTAATGGTGTGGTTGTGCGGGCCGCCCTGGTGGCCGGGGAACACGGAAGCGTTGATGGGTTGTTCGAGGTCGTACATCTCCGGGACGCCCTTCTTGTCCGTCCGGCGGACGCCCTTGCGGTAGAAGATCATGGCGCCGCGCGGCCCGCGCAGGGACTTGTGGGTGGTTGTGGTGACGACGTCGGAGAAGGGAAACGGCGAGGGGATGACGTCGGCGGCGACGAGGCCCGAGATGTGCGCCATGTCGCTGAGGAGGTATGCGCCCACGGAGTCGGCGATCTTGCGCATGCGGGCGTAGTCGATCAGCCGGCTGTAGGCGGAGGTTCCGGCGACGATCAGCTTGGGGCGAAAGAGGGCGGCGGACTTCTCGAGGGCGTCGTAGTCGATCAAGCCCGTGCTTTCGTCCAACCGGTAGGGCATGGTCTCAAAGTATTTCGAGATGAAGGAGATCTTCTTGCTCGGCGTTTGGTATCCATGGGACAGGTGGCCGCCGTGCGGCAGATCCAATCCCATGAGACGATCGTGGGTATTCAGCAGGGCGGAGTAGGCATAGAGGTTGGCAGGAGAACCGGACAGTGCTGATTTGGTTAGAATCTTCACGTAGATATGCGATTTTCGCAATGACATACGCTGGACGTTCACCCCCCATTCCTCCGGGTTCAATCGGAAGGTCTCGAGCGCGCGCTGTTGGCACAGCCGTTCCGCCTCGTCGATAAACTGATTGCCTCCATAGTATCTTGCGCCGGGGTATCCCTCTGAGTATTTGTCTTCAAAAGGCCCCTTGTCAGCTAGCCGTTCCCTTACAGCTTGAAGTATAACGAAGGAAGCTCACTCTGCATGACACTGCCCAAGGCATCGAGGACGGCTTGGGAGGTGAAGTTCTCCGATGGAATCAAGTTGATAAAGTGCTTCTGACGTTTCTTCTCCTATTTCCAGGGATCAGCAGTGAGCGAGGAGGAGGAGGAGGAGGAGGAGGAGGAGGGGTGCGGTGATAAGCAACCTTTTGGACGATCTGATAGACTGTGGGGTCGGCTTCTTTGAGGGATGCGGAGAGAACCTGAGAATCAGCATTGCCGGAGCCAGTCGATCTTAGAACATTCATTCCAATAGGATTCACGTACTCCGTGGTGTTCATCTGAGCTGCTCGACACATGGCGCAACTGGGCCCAACTGCGGGCGGTGATAGCAGCTCTCGAGCTTGTGGCGGGAGTCAACCGCGAGACGTGCCGAGCACAGCGATTCAACGACATGATAACAGTTGAAACCAAACAGAAAGAGAACCCACCGACAGGAAGAAAGAGAAGAGAAGAGAAAGAAGAGAGAACTCCTGTTATCAGGAATACCTCGTCTTGTATGTCGGAGATCGGACAACTCGATCCGGAGCTGTCGTTGCCCGCGGAAAGCAGGTGACCCGCTAGTCCTGGTTGGGACTAGTCTGTTTTCCCTCTCTTTTCTCCTTTTCTTCCTCTTTTTCTCTTCTTCTTCTTCTTCTTCTTCTTCTCACACAACTAAATCCAAGATGAAGAGATGGCGTCTACGTCTTCCTCAGCACTCGTGCAGGGCTTGCTCTCACGGGCGATGCTGATATGTCTCGCGCCCCGTCACCATCCATTGAGAGACAGTTTTCCATCTGATTGGAGATGTTGTGTACAGCTTGCTGGTTCATCCCTTGTCGGGTAGAGTATGTATGACTCTGGAGTGGGAATCTATTGAATATATACATCAATAAATGAAAGAATAATCTTGATCTTATAATACTAAACACTACAGTAATATAACAGCAGATTTACTCAATTTTGGGATAGAATACTCAATATTGCCGAGACAGTCACTGAGTCTATAGAATAGCCAGTTGACTAATACTATAGAACTGAATAACTACTCATTGTTGTTAACCGAGAAACTTGGCTTTCTCCACCACGCTTGGCTTACGGTATACTTTTATAGTCTAATGTGTTAGTCTATCTTGTAGATCCTATCCTAAATGACATCCATGCCCCTATCCTGAGATTATGTTGAGTACGGAGTACTCAAGAGTAATCAGACCCTGATACTAACTCAACAGTCATTGTTTGTAAGTAGTATGTAGTATAGTAAAGAACAGTAGTTATTCAAAGTAGTAGTATAGTAATAATAGTAGAGTAATGTATAACTAGTAATCATGCAAGGTTGTTCTTTGACGATTACCCCTGGCCCCTCGTGCTGGCAATAAGCCGGATGCTCGTGCTCAATATATTATGTAGTATATACTATGAGTATATCACTGTCTGAAGAATCATCAGCGATGGTTAATTATAATCTAATTAATCCTGCTCCCTATGTATATACTATAGTATTGAGGAGTTAGTTATTCTTCAAAACTACAATGTAGTAACAGAAGTAGGAGAGTGGTAATAGTAGTCAGGGTTATTGCCACGTCCTGCCAATTTCCCCCATGTCTTGATAAAGACGCTCTCCTCCTCCTCTCTCTCTCTCTCTCTCCTCCATCACACTCGTTGAATCATTCCATCCCGGTTTTATACCGAGTACATTCCTTACGGATCTCACAGCGTGTCTATCCATTCATTAACTCCGAGTCTCACTCACTCTCAATCTCACTCTCCCAATCTATAATATCTATACCATCAAGATGCGTTTCTCTCTTGCTGCCATTGCTGCCCTCGTCACCAGCGTTGTGGCCACCAGCTACACCACCGAGATCGTCACCAACTACGTGACCTACTGTCCCGAGTCTACCACCATCATCCACGGCACAGAGACCTACAGTGTGACCGCAGTACGTACTTCCTGCCAGAAGACAATCACAGATAACTCGCAGACAATTTTGAATAAGCTAACACTCTCTAGCCCACCAGCCTGACCATGTCCGGCGGTCCGTACACCATTTCTCGCCCCCTGATGACCTCCACCGTCACCGTCTGCGCGGGTAACTGGTATGTAATATGACTTGAAAGATCAAGACTCAAGATTGAGAATGAGTAGATGCTGATCGTTATAGCCCCAGCTCTACTCCTGCTTCGGGCGTTGTCCCCGTCTTCCGTAACGGCACCGGCTCCGTGATCCCCTCCTCGCCTCAGGTCAGCTCGGCCGTCCCCCTCGCGAGCTCTGCCGCTGTCACCTCCGTCTCGGTTCCCTCGGGCACCTCTGCCGCCGTTGCCCCTGTTTACACCGGTGGTGCCTCTCGTGCTGCCACCGGTGCGGGAGCCGGTCTGGCCGTCCTGTTCGGTGTGGTTGCTTTGTTGTGATCTATCTATCTATGATCTATCTTGATCTAAGATCTAGGATCTATTCCTGACTTCTGACTTCTAACTTCTGACTTCTGAACATATCTTCTATCCTGACCTACGACGGTATTCACTTCTACATTATGTCTATAATGCACTTATGTTATACTAAATGTATACTTGTAGAATGTAGAATAGTAGGCATGTGTCTATTAGAAATGAGTTTACTATTTACATCAGCAAAAGGATAAAAGTAATGGGTATATCAAAACCCCCTAAACTCGTCGCGGAAGTACGGCTCCGACGACTCCGCATAAGTAGGCGACTCGAGCTCATACCCGTACCGCGGCGAGGACCACTGACTCGACGTCTTGCGCGCGTGTCGTCCCTGCGACGACGCCGACGACGCCGGGTGCTGTCCTGCCCCGGCGCGCGGGCGAGCCGAAGAAGAAGAAGAACGCGAGGGTCCCGAGATGAGCGAGGGTGGGATGGGCGGAGGCGCGTTCGTTCCGCCGATAAAGGCTTCCATGCGCACTGTCCCGATCGCGTCGAAGAAATTAGGATTATTATTATTATGATGCTGCTGCTGATGATGATGATAGGCGGGATGGCAATTCCCGCCTGTCGTGCTTGACGAGGCGCGGCCGCTTGCTTCGGATGTGCGTCGGCTAAAGCTGCTCCGTACGCTGCTGAAGCCGTGGCCGCCGCCGCCGCCGCCGCCGCCGGTGGAGGTGATTGTACCGGGTGCGATAGATGAGGCTGCCTCGCCCGAGCCGGAGCTGTACGCTGCTGTCGACTGGATGGTTGCGTGGCTGGAAAAACTGCGGATCACGGGTATGCGGGGTGTCGTGTTGCTGCGTTTACGGGAGTGATTGTGGTGGCTCGAGAACCGGGGAACGTTGGGAGGATCGGCCGCGTCCATGAGCATATCCGCCACCGGCGGCGGCGGTGGTGGTAATGATGGTAATGGGGGTGTGGCCTGGGATTTCCCGGTAAAGGACCGTTTACCCTTGGGACCCGGACGAGGTTTGCCCTTGGCGACACGGATGGAGTCGCGAATAGGCAGGCGACGCAGGCTGGGTGCCGGAGCGGGCGCGATATACTCTTCCTGCGGCACGGGGGGGATGGTTGACAGGTCGTGCATGCCAATGGACGAGTGGCTCAGGAAGGAGAGCGCGGTGAGCCAGACAAAGTGCCGTTCGATGCTCATGGCCGTGAACTTAAGAGCACGCTGCGGCGTCAGAATCAAGATGGAGCGGTTGAACGGCGCGGCGTTGGCGGTAGCGTTGTTACTGCCGTTGTGGTTGATATTAATGACCCCCTTGGGCAAGGGATTATCGTCCTTGACGTCCAGCACCGACTGGATAATCAGCTTGCGCCCAGTCTTGCCCAGCAAGGCCGGCCCGCTCGTCGGCTGCTTGCTACTCCACATGACGGCGCGCTCGTAGGGGGCCAGCCAGACCCAGCGTTTGTGCCGCGTACCACTGCTGCCGATGCTGGCCGAGACCTCGTCCGGGTGCTTACCCTCCCATGAGGACTCCTTCTCCCCGACGCCAAACGACTTGCGGCGACGCACGTACTTGAACATCCACTCGCCCACCATCGTCTGCGCGATCGCGTCCACCACGCTGGTCTGCTGCACCGTCGTCGCCGTCGAGTCCGAACGCTGATGCCCGCCGAATGAGCTGCGGTGGTGATACGACGCAGGCACTTGGCTCGTCGGTCTGCTGGCTCTCATTGTTCGCTGGCGCGGTACCGTGATATCATCGAAGGGGAGCGGGGGCACCACCACCTGCGGGCTCTCGAGCGCATACGACGAGATCGACGGCGGCGACTGACTGCGGGCCCGTTCGGGCGTCTCGGTATGGGACATGGCCGCCGCGGACCGCACCCGACGCAGGGTCGGCCGCCGAACTATGGACTGTCGCCCGCGCTCGCTGAAGTTGCGGACGGAACCTGAAGGGGTCGGGCTCTGCCGGCCATCACTGCCGGCGAGCGGAGCCTTTCGCGAACTCAACCGGATCGGCACGGGGAAGGGCGGCGCAATGCTGGACCCGGCGCTGCTGTCGACGCTCGGCTCGCTGGGGCTGCGTGCCCGTGTTTTCTGGTGCGCCGCGGCACTGCTGGAGATCATCGCCGCGCGGCGAATATCCTGTTTGGAGGTCGAGGTCGGGCCCGAACGTTGTTGTGAGGCGCCAGCTCGGGGGTGTCCGCTTTCTGGGCCTTTGCCGCCTCCTCTTGTTGCCCCTGCTGAGAATGAGATATCCGCACTCTCGTCTTGACCTAGATCAGACTCGAAGAGATGCTCGTCGATGCCCGATAGCGGCCGTTCATCTAGACTCGACCGGCCCTTGGTGGACACCAACTTGCCTCGCGACAGGGTATACGAGGCAAACGGCCGGTTCAGGAGATCGTCGTCGGTGAAGATGTCCCGGTCTGGAGAGTACTCGTCATCAGTTAGCTCGTCGAACCCGGCAAACAGACTGCTCGACCGGAACGGACGCCGGATTCCAGACTTGGAATCCTCCGACAAGGGACCATTATCATTGTTGCCCGGGTACGCCTGTATGGTCTCCTGTACGGTCTCCGCTGATGATGATGGTTGTTGTTGGAAGGCCGCCGACACATTCTGCACAGTAAGATCCTTGCTAGTAGACCGTTTCTCGCTCTTGGGCGGAATACGCGGTGGTGGAGGCGGTGGAGGACGGTAGGGTTGAATCGGAGGGGGGCTAGAAGCCGCATCCTGGAGGAGAAGAGTAACCGCCGTTGTTGGAAGATCAGGGATCGCGGAGGGAAGCAGACTGGCCGGCAGTTTCACTGGTCGTTTGTCGATCCGAATCTCCTCGGTTTGGATCCCGATCGAATGTCCCTCGGTGACGGATCGGAAGTTCGTTTGGCAGGCCACACTCTTCGTTTGCGGGGGTAACACCACACTATCGCGCGGTGACGAGGGTTCCGATCGCGGTGGATGGATAGCGATCATCGGGATCTGCATCTGGAATGCCGCATCGATGTTATTGTTACTTTTGTCATTTTCTCTTTCGCCACTGCCCTCATCTTCCAGAACCAGGGTGTTGGTCGCCTGATCTGTGCGGGCGATGGCCTGCTCGGTTTGCGTAGATGAAGACACCATGCAAACGACGGGCGCCGCCGGCGTCGGCATCGTGGGTGAAGGCGGTTCTTCAACCACCTTCGGGGTCCAAGGGGGACTCGGCAAGCTGCCAATGGTCTGGCACGAGGTGGAAACCATGTCGATGGTCAATGTGACGCTGGGGGCGCTGTGTGTCTGCGCGCTGTTCTTCTCGAGCTTGGCCAATGTGATTGCCGCCGCGGCCGCGGCCGCGGCCGACGACGCAGGAGACTCCTCAACCGCTTCATCCACAGGCTCAACCTCGACAATATCAGAATCCAAGGATCTGGTAGGTGATGAAGGAGGTGAGTATTGAATGCCCGCATCACGATACGTCGTGGTCTGCAGGGCGGCAGCCCATGACTCGGAGCGTGGCCTGGCCGATGAGCGACTGAATTCGACATACTCTCCCGCTGTCGATCCGTCAATGCTGCCGTCAAAGGAGAGGCCGAGGATCTTTCGCGCTTTCATCCCCATGGTGTAGGAAACCTGGGAATGGACTGAGGTCGGCCGCTCCTCCGGCAGTGCACCCGGGGAATCCGGCGTAGACGGCTCATCGAACTGATCTGAATCTTCATCCTCAAAGGCCAACTCCTGAGCCAAATTGAAACCATCGTATGATGCGGCTGCGGCCGCGTCATGGTCATTTGCCATGCTCATCACAGAGAAACGCACCCCACCTGGCTGCTCGGCCCCTGCACTGCTCACACTCGTCAGGCTACTTCGGCGGCGGCGGTGATGGTCATTGGGGCCGGAATGCACACTGGCCGTTTCACTATCTTTTGGTGACGGTGGTGTTCCTGCCGTTGCTGCTGCTACATGGTCGTCGTCATCATCGTCATTGTTGTCGTTGCCGTCATTGCTCTGGTCAACCTCGGGGTCTGCCTTTAGACCTGGAGTGCTGAAAGCACCCTTCGCCGCCTGGACAGCGGCCACCTCATTTAGGACAATCTTGAGCCGCCCCTCGACGATATGGACTTTACGTTCCAGATTCCTGCGCTCGCCTTCCCACGTCTGCTTGTCCCGGTCCCAGAGCGTCTGGGTGCGTTCAGCCTCCTCGTCGCGGGTGCGGACCTTCTTCTGTGCCTGGTCGAGTTTCCTGCGGACGTCGGAGATATTTTCCAAGGCCTCGTCGCGTTCCTTGGCCAGTTCGGCCAGGGCGGACGAGGTGCCACCCTCGAGGAGCTGGATCTGGTGGCGCAGGGAGCGGGATTCCTTGGTGGCGCGTGACAGTTGGTCGCCAAGGGACTCATTCTCCGTGCGAGTGTCATCGAGGCTATTCTCGAGGGCGTCGATCACCTTTACCTTACTCTCGACCTCGCGGCGCAGCGACAGAATCTCGGAGACAAGCGAGGCATGGAGAGTGGGTGTAAAGCGGCGCGGGTCAAGCGGGGAGATGGTTTCCTCATCGGTGGTGGCATCGTCAAGGTCGCGAGACAGCCCATGATGGACGGGGAGATAGTTGGCGCCTGGCGACGTGTCCCGATGGTGCAGAGACGGCCGCGAGGAGACGCGTGAAGACGCACGGTGCGGTGTATCTGAAGGCGTCGGCAAGGCCGTTTCTGTGTACGAGTAGGAAAACTCGGTGTCGGTGGCCATCTCTCAGGGTACACGACACGTTTGATATTGGTGCTGCTGTCCAGAGCGCCGCAGGGAAACCCAGATCGCTCAAACCCAGCTTATTTTGGACGGTGCAGATGGATGTTCAAGCATCGATGGACTGGCGACTATGTTGCGCCTGGACTGGACATGGACACGGTGGGTAGTGGTTGGGGGGAGAGTGGCGGGCTCGGTCGATCGTGTAAGGGGGGGAGGGGGACCCCTCGCCCAGAGATGCAACGTGATGCGAGGGACTGTATGATGTTAATGACCCGGACGCCAGCGGTAGGTACAGTCAAGAAGGCATACACTCTGTACTAGAGTAGTAAAGAGCAAGGTGCAGTGGTATGGAGAGGTAGAAAGGCAGCTTGGGGATAGTATACAAATGACATACGAAGAGACCCGAGTCCAACCAGAAATAACCCCCAAGATCACCAACCAACTCGGCGGAATTCGAACAGACAGCCGTGCCGCGGAAGAAGCAAGCGCTGAAGCCCTGTGTTTCAGATTTGTCCAACACGAGATCGATCACTGGAGGTCAACCGGCGTGGTTCTACTGAACAGTCAGTGAACAATGGATGGTGGAACAGCGCCTCTTCTTCTTGTTTGTTTCCCGACAAAAATCGAAATATATGCACAGGACTGTCGCAGATAGATTGAAGGCAACGTGAAGAGTTTCTCTTGACTCGTATCTCTGTGAGTCCAGGATGAAGGCCAGAAAAGCTCAGATGGAGGCGTCCGTCACGACGGAGTCTAGACGGATCTGCTGGTTAGCCTTGTAGGTTCCGATCAGCCTCGCAGCCCGGAGGAAGAGGAATGGCATTATTGGCAATTCAAATTCGCATGGTCCCAGCCTGTTTTCCTCGGTTTTTGCTCTCCAGGGGTAAGCTGGGAGCTTCAAGGTTAGGGGGGGGGGGGCATGGGGAAGAGAGCGCAACGCAGTAGGCTTGCTCCACACAGCCATCACTAAATCACTAATCCTGGACCTCGTAGATTATCGGTAATAAATCAAGCCTCTAGCCTGCGTTGGTACCAGGCTGGTTTTTGTGGGTTGTGTAGAGAGAGAAAGAGAAAGAGAGAAAGAGGATGGTGGTTGAAGCAGAGTGACAGTCTTCAGGCTCCTCTGTTTTGTTTTTCTCCTCTCTGTCTTCCCTCTCTCTTTTCTTTCTCCTCTTTCTCCCCTCCCTCCCTCCTCCTCCGGGAGACACTTCTATGCTTCGTATTATTAGTTAACTACTAGTTAACCAATCTTACCGAGTCATAATAATCAGTTATCCTGAGCTCAGGGGCTGCTAGCGTGTTCTAGCGCAGCTTGATCGTCACAAAGTCGCTCCCAAGCGTCTCCATCGACTCCGGCATGGCGCTCTCCCTAAGCAAGAGGGAGCAAACTGTACGGAGTCTGCCAGCTTAGGTCTATCATATGGTGAGTCCCGATACATGACACTTGAACGAATGCATGACTGATCCGACTGAACGTTGAAGGGATCGTCGTCGTGCGTCCGAAGGGGGCGGCCGAGGTTCGGTCGGAGCGACAGGAGAGTTCCTCAGTTCAAATAATCCCCACCAGACCCATCCGTATAATAATCATGATTAATTTCTCTGTTGGTTATTATTGTTCTTGTCAGTATCGAGGACACTGTGGTCATTGGTATTATTACCGCGTCAGGATTGCTTGCTAGTTACCTAGGTACATAAGTACCCTACTCCATCGTTCATCCACCACTTCTCCTCTCGAGTCTCCATAAACTATTATTTATCTCTGAGCACTGACGGGGCTGAAACAGATCAATACTTTAAAAAAAATGCGATGATCTCATTTCACTGACACAAGGGATACGGAGTAACTACTAGCTACTCCGTACGTACGGAGAAAGTTCACGCTTACTCCGTAGGGTCAAGGTCAGCCAAGTGACAGGTACAGGTCTACTGCAGTGCGAGGAATGCTAGGCAGGCAGAGTCGAGATCTAGCCCATCTACCTCTTCCCCCCGGTCGGAGGGTACGAATAACGGTTAAGGCGTGGAGAGAGGACGGAATCCTTTGTTTCCTCCCCAAGTCGAATCACAGGACTCATCACACCCACCGTCACGTTCGGTCCTGCGTTGAAACAGCTGTCATATGGCAAGTCTGCATTAGTTGATGTGATACTACAGAAATTGGACATGGTGATAAGATCGGGAAGTCCTGGTCTGGCGGATAATTGACCGTGGCAGCAGCTCTTTTTTATCGAGCTCTGGTCACTTTGGCTTACAAAGCGGAAAAATGGTTAACCAACCACTACTCGTTTACTGACTTGCCTACAGATAATAACTAACCACCTGGTCTAGGGCAATTCGTACTTTTACTGAAAAAGAAATGCATGACTAATCTGCGCAGTGAGGGGTTATTTGACGGGTTAAAGCAAGCGGTTAAACTGGACAGCGAACAGCGAACAGCGAACGCAGGTGCGAGTTTAGATCCCCCATGCTACCCCTCCCTCTCTGTTTGACAATCAATCATGCCCATCCGTCAGCCTCTGCGCGTGCTCTTCTTCGACGTATTCGGCACGGTCGTCAGCTGGCGGCCCAGTGTGGCGAATGCGCTGAGCGAGGCGACTCGCCACGCTCTCAGGGCTAGCACGTCCAAGTCGTCGTCGTCGTCGTCGTCGTCGTCGTCGTCGCCGCCGCTGTTTCCGTCTCGATTGCCATCGGCAGATGCAGCAGCCGCAGAGGCGCGGCAGGTCGCCTCGGCCATGACCGCCGCCGACTGGCAGTGCTTCGCCGAGCAATGGCGCCGGATGTACTCGCGGTTCACGCGATCATTTGATCCGGCGCGGGATACGTTCATCTCGGTCGACCAACACCACTACGAGTCGCTGCGGCGGCTGCTGGTGGAATGGAAGCTGGCGCCCCTGTTCTCGGAGGAGGGAATGCAGGAGCTGGCGCTGTGCTGGCACCGGTTGGAGCCCTGGGCGGACAGCGTGGCGGGTCTGCATGCGCTGAACCGGCGGTTCGCGACCAGCACGTTGTCGAACGGCAACCTGAGCCTGCTGCGCGACCTGCAGCAGTTTGGGGGCCTGCCCTTTACGTACCTGGCGAGCGCGGAGCAGTTTGGGGCGTACAAACCGGCGCCGCAGGTGTACCTGGGCGCCACGCGGGCGCTGGGGACGCCGCCGGCGCAGTGCGCGCTGGTTGCGGCGCACTTGCACGACCTGCAGGCGGCGCGGGCGCAGGGCCTGCAAACGATCTTCGTCGAGCGGGCGGGCGAGGAGCGACCGTTGCGCGGCGCCGAACGAGCCACGGCGCAAGCGTCCGTCGATCTGTGGATCGACGAAGGGCAGGGGGGCTTTCTCGAGGTGGCGAAGCGGTTATTGTAGTATACACGAGGGTGTGCAGTGTTATACTAGAACATATAGAGATTTGTTATCAATCAGTAACTTAGAGGTGCTTCTTACTCTACCTCTCTACCTCTCTACCTCTCTACCTCTACCTCTCTACCTCTACCTACTCACCTCTACCCACTCACCTCTCTACCTACTGTACTACTCTACTGTACTATTATACTCACTACTATACTCACTACTATACTCACTCTACTAGACCCGGCAATCAGGGACACCACATGGGAACAGGGATCAAGCAATCCACAATAACTATTAGAGTGTATCAACTCAGGGTACAGGACATACATTGAACGTACCAGGTCTAACCATATACAAAGGGACAGAGATTCAAATCATCTAAACAGTAAACAGACAGACCAGTCAATACAGATAGTAAGAGTGAAAACTCTACTAAGACTTCAAGCGAGCCGCTCCTAATTAAACCTCCTTTTCCCGCCCCTTCCACTCTCCCACCCAATCCCCCCCCCTCCCTCGCCCAAATATTAGTACAGCACCAGAACCATCTGTGTTACTTCAATTATCTTTTAATAATACATTGTCTGCAGTCCTTGTCACCCGCTTCCCTTTTCCTCCCTGTCTTTTCTCTCCGTTTTCACGTGGAGCTGAGCTCTGGCCCTCTCGCAGTCCCGCCCACCCGCTGCTGCTGCTGCTGCTGCTGCTGCTGCTGCTGCTCGCCGATAACGCCTGTGGCCACCAGCAGCATCATTCTGGCCTCTGTGGCTTTAATTTGAATATATTATTATTATTATTATTAGCATAATCAACCCATCCACCTCAGCTATCGTCATCGACTTGGTCGCCTCTTTGCCATTGTGAACCCCCCGCTGGCCGTGTCTCCCTCTCTCTCTCTCTCTTAACACCCCGCGGTGACTAATCGCTTCTCTCTCTCTCTCTCTCTCTCTCTCTATTCGAGCTCTCCGCCTGCGTCTTCCTCTTCTCTCCCTCTCCTGGCGCCTTTCTCCCAGGTCCTCTCGAGCTCTTCTTCTTCTTCTTTTTTTTTTAATTCATTGCTTTATTGTTTCTTATCGTTTATCTGTTCCATTATTATTTTTTCTTGTCCTTTGCAATAATCATCATCATGTCGGGTAAAATGACGCTGTACAAGCTGGTGGTGCTGGGGGACGGGGGTGTGGGCAAGACGGCGCTCACCATTCAGGTATGATGTTCTTTCTCCTTTCAAGAATAACTGGGTTGAAGCTAAGAAGATAGCTCTGTTTGAATCACTTCGTCGAGACGTACGACCCCACCATCGAAGACTCGTACCGTAAGCAGGTCGTGATCGACCAGCAGTCGTGTATGCTGGAGGTGCTGGACACGGCGGGCCAGGAGGAATATACGGCGCTGAGGGACCAGTGGATCCGTGACGGCGAGGGGTTCGTGCTCGTCTACAGCATCACCTCGCGGCCGTCCTTTTCCCGCATCCAGAAGTTCTACCAGCAGATCAAGATGGTCAAGGAGTCCGCCCACTCGGGCTCCCCCTCGGGCGCCAGCTACCTGACCTCGCCCATCCACTCGCCCGCCGCCGGTCCCCCGCTGCCCATCCCCGTCATGCTCGTCGGCAACAAGAGCGACAAGGGCGTCGAGCGCGCCGTCTCCGCCCAGGAAGGCCAGGCCCTCGCCAAGGAGCTCGGCTGCGAGTTCGTCGAGGCCTCCGCCAAAAACTGCATCAACGTCGAAAAGGCCTTCTACGACGTCGTCCGCATGCTGCGCCAGCAGCGCCAGCAGGCCCAGCTCGGCGGCGTGCGCCCCCAGGACCGCCGGCCTACGGGCTTCGGCGCTGGGCCCATTCGCGACCGCAACGCTGACCCGGAGTATCCCAAATCCTTCCGTCCTGATCGCTCGCGCCACAAGAGTCTCAAGTGTGTCGTCTTGTAATTGAAGGAAGAAAAAAAAAACAAGCCTGGAAGCTTCTCTCCCCCAACTTCTCTGTCCATATCTTGCCCTCGACGGTTTCACTCTTGTTTAATGCATGAGACGTGCGTTCTGGAGGCGCCCCTGGTTTCTCAGCATGGGTGTTTGGCTCCTTTTGGATTGGATTTTCTGTCATCTTCTTTACTTTTTTTTTATTTTTTTTTTATTTTCTCTTTTTCCCTTTTTCCCTTTTCTTCCCCCTCTCTCTCTCCGCCTGGGATGGTGGCTTGGACTCATAGATTTTGTTCCTGCATTCCTTCCATTGCCACCGCCATTGCTACATCGACCACTACCACCACTACTACTATTATCACTATTATGTTCTACAATACTTTTCTGAGATCGGTCTAGACGCAGGAGATGTCTGGTCTGGACGAGGACGGACAAGCTGGCTTGACAGTGCACAGGAGAGGTGCCTGGGGGGAAGAAGCCATCGCAGTTCGACGCATTAGCAGGCATTTGATAATGATACCCTATACAAGCCAGTTCTTTTTTTTTTTTTTTGGGATATTCCTCTTTCTTCCTTGGTCTCTCTATATTTCTTGACTAGATCACTATTATTAAACCTTGGTTAAGCTCACTGCGCGGGGTACCCTGCAAGGGGTGAATGAAGATAAAGCAAACACTCGATACTAGAGTCTACACTGTTACGGAGTACTCCGCACAGTCACTACAATCACTACAGTATACTACATACATATTTCAGACTCAGACTGAGAACTCGGAATACTCCAGTCAAGATGCACATCCAAGACGCCATCCACGCCGCCTCCCTCCACGACCCGCACGCCTTCTGGTCCCACCACGCTGCCCAGCTCCACTGGCATCGCGCGCCCTCCCAGGTCCTGGCACATACTCGGCGCACCCTCGCCGACGGCAGCTCGCACGCCGCCTGGTCGTGGTTCCCCGACGGCGAGCTATCAACGACCTTCAACTGTGTCGACCGGCATGTCGCCGCCGGGAGGGGCGATTGCGCCGCCATCGTCTTTGACTCGCCCGTCACCCAGACCGTCGAGACCATCACCTACGCGCAGCTCCAGGAAGAAGTCGAGCTCCTCGCCGGGGTGCTCCGTGAAGAAGCCCAAGTGGAAAAGGGAGATGTCGTTTTACTCTATATGCCCATGATCCCTGCCGCGTTGATCGCCGCGTTGGCCATCGCCCGCTTGGGCGCCATCCATGCCGCCGTCTTTGGCGGTTTTGCGGCCCCGTCGCTCGCCCAGCGCATCGACGCCGCCCAGCCAAAGGTCATCATGACCGCCTCGTGCGGCATCGAGGGCGTCAAGGGTCCCCTTGCGTACCGCCCGCTCGTCGAGGGGGCCATCGCCGCCAGCAATGCCTCCCCGCAGCGAGTCATCGTCTGGCAGCGGGAACAGATGCCGTGGAATCTCGATGAAGCCCGCGGGCAGCGGGACTGGCGGCGTCTTGTCCAAAGTGCCCGTTTACGGAGGGTCCGTTGTCCTGCCGTCCCGGTCAAGAGTACCGACGGTTTATACATTATCTACACAAGTGGTAGGTAAATACTCCCCCCCCCCCCCTTCCAAAACCCCCAAAGATAGATCCGTATGTCTAAGTACGAATATTAGGAACCACTGGCCTTCCAAAAGGTGTACTCCGTGAAGCTGGGGGTCACGCCGTCGGCCTCAGCCTGTCAATACGGTATCTGTTCGACATTCACGGCCCAGGGGATGTCATGTTCTGTGCCTCGGACATCGGATGGGTCGTCGGCCATTCGTACATTCTGTACGCCCCGCTGCTGGTTGGCGCAACCACCGTGCTCTACGAGGGGAAGCCCGTCGGCACCCCGGACGCAGGCCAGTTCTGGCGCACGGTGGAACGCCATCGCGTCAAGGTCCTTTTCACGGCCCCGACCGCGCTGCGGGCCATCCTGCGCGACGATCCGCATGGAAGCTTGCTCGAGGAGGTGGGCCGGCGGGGCGGGCTGAAGACCTGGCGCGCGCTCTTCCTTGCAGGCGAGCGCAGCGAGCCTTCTCTCGTGCAACGGTTTCAAGATCTTCTAGCGCGGCATGCCGCGCCGGGAGCCATGGTTGTTGATAACTGGTGGTCGTCCGAGTCGGGCTCGCCCATCTCCGGGCTCGCTTTGGCTGCCGCTGTAGGAAACCCCCCCGGCACTGATAGCACTAGTCAAAACGAAATTCTTCGCCCCCTACCTGTCAAACCCGGTTCAGCAGGCAAACCGATGCCCGGGTTCGACGTGCGCATCGTCGACGATCAAGGCATCCCCGTCCAAGCCGGGACGATGGGAAATATCGTGCTAGCTCTACCTCTAGCACCAACAGCATTCACGACGCTGTTCCGCGACGAGGCCCGTTTCTACGCCAGCTACCTGCGTCGGTTTGCTGGTCGGTGGTTCGACACGGGAGACGCAGGCATGCTGGATGAACAGGGATACCTGCATGTCATGGCGCGGTCGGACGATATCATCAACGTGGCTGCCCATAGGTTTTCAACGGGTGGGTAGTATGTTTTTTTTTTTTTTTTTTTTTTTCGCTGTTTATCTTTGCTAACGCTAATTTTTAGGCCCCATCGAACAAGCCATTCTATCCCATCCGGCCGTCGGGGAAGCGTGCGTGGTCGGACTGCCCGATTCTCTCAAGGGTCATCTCCCCTTTGCATTCGTCCAGCTCCGGCAGGAAACCAAGGACAGCAAGGAACCCCCATCGGCGGACCTCTTCAACGAAATCAACGGCTTGGTCCGCCACCAGATCGGGGCTATCGCCTCCCTCGGCGGCCTCATTGTCGGCAACGCGATGATCCCCAAGACGCGAAGCGGCAAGACTCTCCGCCGTGTACTGCGCCAGTTACTCGAGCAGGGCAGTCGGGGGGAGTTCGACGGCCCTGTGAACCTGCCGCCTACGATTGAAGATGGGGAGGTAATCAACGTAGCGAGGATGTATATTCAGCGTTACTTTACAAGTAGACCGAAGCTGTAACCATAATCAATATACAAGATATAATATAAAATATACAATCATATTCTTCTTTGTTATAGCTTTGGTGATTCTTTGACCTCCCCAATCTTCAAAGCAGGCGTATACTTCTTCAACACGCCTTCATTGTGATACTACCTCGTTTCAGCCTTTGAAAAAAAAAAAAAAAAAAAACACCCGTCCTCTTGATCTAGTGTGTGTGACTTACCTTCCAGAACTGCTTCGAGGCGTCCTTCCCCGCCATGCGTTTGAGAATCTTTGCGCCGCCAGGGTGCTCGTCGACAAACTTGGTGATGTCGTACACGCCCGCGTCGATGATGATGTACATGCTTTCCGCGGTTTTGTGGCTTGCTACCTCTGCCGCAGTGAGGGATGTCATTTTGATAGCTGAGGATGATGATAGTATGATAGGATAGGATGGTAGGATAGGATGGGATAGGGAAGGGATGGATGGTTACAGTTATGATGTTATGGCTTTACGGGTGAATATGAGCCGAGGTTGTAATCGGGGGGTGCCGATTGGTGGGACTGAATGCCTGAGGCATCAATAGTATACATTGAGTACTAGACTACATACAGTATGATAGTATATGTAGGCTATGGTAATATATGTAAGTAGATATGGATATATGTAACGAATTCGCTATCTATTTTGCCTGCTTCTTCTCCAACCCCAACGTCTCCAGATCCTTCTTCTTGTAGTAATGCGGCGCAACCTCGGTCAGCCACTCGGCCTGCAGCGGCATGTTGCTGCGCATGTACTCCTTGCTGGTGAGGACGAGCTCAAAGTAGATGACCCAGCGCGGGTTGACCTCGAACAGGGTGCTGGACGGGTGGAGGTAGACGGTCTGGCCGTTCTTGATGGTGCGGTAGCTGTCGCCGCCGCGCTGCAGACGGGCGGCGTTGGGGAAGAAGCCGGCCGTGATGGCCTTTTGGATGGGGGTTAGGTTGCTGGCGCCGCAGGTGCTGACGGTGACCTCGACGCGGTCGCACAGTTTGGCCAGTTGGTCGCGCACGTCGCGCGCCCGGCTCAGGCTGCGCTGCTGCAGGAAGTTCTCGCGCGCCCACACGTAGCTGAAGTCCGAGTCGACCCACTGGTTCCAGATGTTGAGCAGGGTGAGGTGGTCGCCGCCGTCTTTCACCGTGAAGCGCGCGCGCGCGCTGTCCGCGTGGATCTTCTTGTCCTTGGGGCGGAAGAAGAGCGCGCTCGACTCGCCCAGCATCGACACGATCGAGAGCACCTCCTCCACGCAGCCGTAGGCGTCCGCGGCCAGGATCGCTTTGGCCAGCATCGGGTCCGTCGGGAACTCGGCCATCTGCCGCCCGATCTTGGTCAGCTCGCCGCGGTCGTTGAGCGCCCCGAGAGCGTACAGCTGCTCCAGCGCCCGGATGATCGTCTCCGCGGGCGGCGGGTCCATAAAGTCAAAGTCCAGCAGCTGGTCGATCCCCAGCGACTTGAGCATCAGGATCACGCTGTTCAGGTTCGTCCGCTGGATCTCCGGCGTCGTGTTCTCCTCCAGCTCGTTGTAGTACGCCCACTTGGTGTACAGCCGGAAACATTTGCCCGGCCCAACCCGCCCGGCACGCCCTGCGCGTTGGTTTGCCGACGCCCGCGAGCACGGCGTCACCACCAGCGACTCCATGCCCGTGCGCGGGTTGAACACGTTCTCCTTGACGAAGCCCGGGTCGATCACGTAGACGATCCCGTCGATGGTCAGACTCGTCTCGGCGATGTTGGTCGCCAGCACGACCTTGCGCGCCTTGGGCGGGGTCGGCTCGAAGATCTTGGTCTGCAGCTCCGACGGCAGGTTGGCGTAGATCGGACAGATGATCATCTCGGGGATCTTGCTGCCCAGCTTGCGCGCCGTCTCCTGTAGACTCTGCTCGGCGGCCTCGATCTCCTCCTGACCGGTCAAGAACACCAGGATGTCGCCGGAGCCCTGGGTGACGTGGATCTGGAAAACCGTTGTGATCGCGGCAGCCAGGTAGTTGGCCTCGGGTTGCGAGGTGTAGTGGATGTCGACTGGATACCGGCGGCCGGGGATGTTGAAGATGGGGGCGTCGTCAAAGTATTTTTGGAACTTCTGGGCGTCCATGGTGGCGGAGGAGATGAGCAGCTTGAGGTCGGGGCGGGCCTTGGCGATGTCCTTGAGCAGGCCGCAGGCGATGTCGGTGGGCACGGTGCGCTCGTGGGCCTCGTCGATCATCAGGGCGGAGTACTGGCTCAGGTCAGGTTCGGTGAGCAGCTCGCGCAGCAGCATGCCGTCCGTCATGTACTTGAGCAGGGTCTTGTCGGTGGTGTTGTCTTCGAAGCGGATGGCGTAGCCGACCTCGTTGCCCAGCTTGACGCCCATCTCCTCGGCGACTCGGGCGGCGACGCTCATGGCGGCGACGCGGCGCGGCTGGGTGCACCCGATCTTCATGCCGTTCTGCGTGTAGCCGGCCTCGTGCAGGTACTGGGGGATCTGGGTGGTCTTGCCGGAGCCCGTCTCGCCGACGATGATCAGCACCTGGTGATCCTGGACGGCCTGGATGATCTGGTCGCGGAACTGGTAGATGGGCAGACTGCGGCGCGTCTCGTCGATCGAGGCGGCTTTCTTCTCGGCGGCGTCCAGCTGTTCCTTGAACAGCAGCTGCTCGCGCGTCATGCTCACGCCCAGCTGCTTGCCGCCGCGGGTGCCCTCGAGTTTGGCGTCCATGACAAAGTTGATCTGCTGGCTATCGTCAAAGACATACTCGTAGTCGCCCTCGTCGACGAACTCGGCGCGCTGGATCTGGGCCTGGGCCTTGGCCGTCTGCTCCTGCTCCCACTCCTCGTGCTCCGTGACGAAGCGTTCCTGGCCGTGCTCGTCGCGGTCGACGTACCGCTTGTACAGGGCCTCCTCCTTCTTCTTGCGGTCGATCTTGCCCTTCTCCGTGATGTAGTCCTCGGGCATCATGTAGCCGTCACGGTGGTCATCGATGCGCAGCCGCTCCTCGGCAATCCGCAGCACCTCGCGGTTGCGCGCAAACTCCTCCTTCTCCCGCCGCGTCAGGCTGGCGTTCTCGCGCAGCTCCGCCGTCTCCTCGGCCACCTGCCGCCGCAGCAATGCCAACCGCTCCGTCTCCCGCTTCTTCAGGTACTCCTGGCGCGACCGTAGTCGTAGATCCGGCATCGCCGCCGCCCGGGCGTCCGCGTCGTCCGCCAGTGCCCGCCGCCGCGCCACCTCCGACGTCCGCGTCCGGTCCTCGACGATCTTCTTCGACTTGTTGTCGTCCTTCTTGGCTAACCGCTTGGCCAGCTCGTCCCGCTCCTTCAGATCACGCTGCCGCTCCAGTTCCCGCTTCAGCTCGGGGTCCAGCTCCTCTTCCTCCCCGGGAGACAGACGTGTCCGTTTCGCAGGCGACTCCGCAAACTCATTCTCTTCATTCCCCTCTGCAAACTCATTCTCAACCTCATCCCCTTCACCCTCTTCATCCCCCCATCGATCCTCAAACTCCCTATCCGTCTCCCTCCGGCGCACCTTCTTCGACCGCCGCGATCCATCCCTGCTCTCCGGATCCCCGCGCTCCCGCTCGCGTTTCCTGCTCTCCTCACGCACCATCTTCTCTTCGTCTCGTCGAGCGGGGTGTCTCCTCCCTTTCTCAACGTTCACGGGGGCCAACGCTTCCTCCTCCATCTCCACCAACGTGTATTTCTTCTTATCTTTCGTCCTAGAAGCAGCAGCAGCAGCAGCAGCAGTAGTAGTAGAACTACTCCTCCCACCAGTATTACCCTTCACTCTCTGAAACAGCTTCTCGCTGAATGCTCCTAAATCTCCCCCGTCGAGTAAAGCAGAGAGCTTCCCTTCCAGCGCGGAGGGCGACGAAGCCGTCTCCGCCGTCGCGAGCACAAAATCCACCACCGTCGCGTCCGAGGCGCCCGTAAGACGGAGGAGCGAGTCGGAGATGAACGTCTTGGTATCCATTTCTTCGTCTGTGTCTGTGTCTGTATCTGTATCTGTGTCTGTGTCTGTGTCTGTGTCTGTGTCTGTGTCTTGTGTCTGTTCGATGATGGGTTTGTAGGAGATTGGAGGTGGGAGAGATGGAAGGTGGGAGATTCAGAGTTAGACTCCAGGTAGAGACGGAAAGCGATTAAGCTAGAATGACCATGTTGCTTGTTAAAAATGGAAGAAGTAAAGAGAAATAAAAGAAAATTAATAGTATACACGAGTGCTTGGTACGTAAAGCAGTGACGGTCAAGGCGTGTGGGAGGAGAAGAAGTCGGAGCTCACGCCAAGCCAGTGGCGATCTTAACAAGTTTATAGCTTCATTAAGTTCAAGGACCAGCCATACTGATATACTGATATACTGATACTGGCAATACAGATATTATGCAAGACTACTATTCAGATGACGGTATTATTGACATGCGATCCGTAGATTCGCCTAGTTATTAATCACATTCGGTGCGGAGACCGAGGGAAGAGACAAAGGAAAGGGACGACAAAGGAAAGAAAACGAAAGAAAAGGACATCTTCTGCCGCAATGCTGGACAAACAGGGCCATTCGTGAGTCATTATGCGCATCCATCCCCGGGGAGTATCATACACACTGTACACCAGACAACATCAAGGACAGACAAGAGGAAGAGGGGAAATCGTGGACATTCCAAGCCAGAGGAGAATGTTGTACACGAGCGCTGGAAAGCAGGAGAGTGAAGACAGATGAAAAGAAAGCAAAAAAGATTCTCTAGAAATCCCACAGAAAAGGAAGAAAAAAAAAAAAAAAAACACCAGGAATGAGTTGCAGATTCATATCAGACACACATAAACACCCCCAAGGAATGAATCGTCAGTTATGTGCGCAAGCTCAACTATGCGAGGAACAGAAAAAAAAAAAAAAAAAAAGAATACCAACTCCGTGAAAATGGATGAGGAGGGGGAAAAGGATATTACACATCGATCATTTCGGCATCTTCCGCCAGGATCTCGTCGGCAGGTCCCCAGTTGCCTTCGAAGATCGTGGCGCCTGCCCGTCGGCGGCGCTCGACAAACTGGACGGACGAGGTGTCGAGGATCTGGTCGGCTGTCGGCCGGTCCGCGGGCTCGGGGGAGATCATCCAGCGGACGATCTTGTCCAGGGCCTGCGCGTGGTTGGCGTCCACCATGAAGTTGGGCGGGTCGATCAACTCCCCGCTGCGTGCCAGCCGTACTGCCTGTCGCTCGCGGGATCGGCCGTGGTGGAGGAAGCTGTCAACGCCAAAGTCATCGTCGCCAAAGTCCGAGACACACAGCTCGTCAAACGAGGACTCTTCCGAGACCGGATTGCCCGAGGCGTCGCGGTAGATGCTCGTCTCCGAGCTCCAGGTCAGGCTGGGCACATCGCTCATGTCACCGTTGCGCAGCTTCTGCCAGGACAGGCCGTTATCGGGGAGCTCCACGTTGCCGGCGATCTCGAAGATGATCAGCCCGAGGGAGAAGATATCTGCGGGCTTGTCGTAGCGACCCATCAGGATCTCGGGGCCAATATATTCCCGGTCTCCTTCGCCGTCAATGCCATCCTCGGCCGGCCAGCGCGTCGCCATGCCGAAATCGGCAATCTTGAGCACGCCCTCGAAAGTGATCAGGATATTGGCCGGTTTCAAGTCGAGATGGATGATCCCGGAGTCATGAATGTGCTTGAGGCCCTACTAGAATTAGACCAACCTGAAAGAGTAATAGAGAGAGAGAGAGAGAGAGAGGGAGAACATACCACACACACCTCCAGGAGGATCTTCCAGATTCGAAAGTCATCCAGTCTCGCCTTGAGACCCACCTGAGCGAGAAAGACGTCCAGACTGCCCTCCTCGCAGAACTCGGTCTGGATGTAGAGATGGGAATTCTCCTCCCAGCTGTTGACAAAGGAAATGATGTGATCGGAATTGGTGAGCGACTTGAGGATATCGACTTCGCGGATGCGTCGCTCGCGATCCTTGAGTCCCGAATACGGGTGTTTGGCCTTCTTGACGGCCCAGACGCGGTCGGGGAGGGAAAAGAGGGAGGAGGAAAAGGAGAGGTTGTGCGGCTCGGCGACACGGTAGACCTGCGAGAACTCTCCCGTGCCCACCAACTCGACCTTGTCGAATCGAGACCACAGGCTGGAGTCGACGTCTGGCGCATGGTATGCCGCCAGGGGGAGGCTGGGTCGTTTACCCGGCTGGGGGAAGGAGTCTCGCGGGCCGGTGGGGGTGGCGGGCAGGTTCGCGGCGTTGAAGTCCAGCTGGATGGAGGACGACTGGTGGTCGTGGTTCGAGATGGAGAGGCCGCTGGGGTCGGGGGGCAGCAGGTGATCGTGCGGGGTGCGCGGCGACTCGGACTGGAACTTGTCGGTGTGGCGCGGGCTTGTGCCTTTTGCCTCGGACAGTCGTTCCAGCGAGGCGATTTGCGAGGAGGCTGGCGGGTAGGTGCGGGAGGGGAAGAAGGACTGTTTGGTGGGGGTCGGGGGCAGGTCGGCGTCGGTGAAGGGTGCGGGTCGGCCATCGCGCCCGGCCGAGGGGGACTGCGACAGGCCGCGGTCGTCCCCGTCGATGCTGACGAAGCTGTTGCGGCGCGAGGAGTCGGACTGTTTGGTCAGGGGGTTGCTGCCAAAGATGCCCATGCCGCGGGCAAAGGGACCCGGTTTGGGGCGGGTGGCGGGCGGATTGAAGGGCGAGGCCGGGACGGCGTAGGATTGGCGCAGCAGCTTGGGCCGGCTCAACGGCCGCTCGGGCAGCGCCTGCTGGCCCGGGGGGAAGACGTTGAGCGGCCGTTTACACGGGGTATCGGGCATGTTCTTGCTGAAGCCGGCGTGCGGGTCCTCGGCGTTGCGGTTCTTCTTGGAGATCAGACCGGTCGACATGAACGCGGCGGGCAGAGGCTTGACAAGCTTGTAGTTCTCGGGCGTGGCGAAGGAGTCGGTGGACGAGGCCGAGTCCTGGCGGGTCAGTTGACGCGATAGGGTCGGCCGGGTGGCCCCCGCGGGCAGGGACTTGGAGAAGTTGAAGACCTGTCGCGGGCGTTCGGGCTGGTGCGACGGCTCGTGAGTCGGCGATTCATCCGCCAGGCTAGAACTCGAGGAGGATTGGGTGATGGTTCGGGAGAGAGGGTGTGCCGATGGCGCCGCAGTGGTGGTGGTGGTGGGCATCATCCCCAGGTTACCCGTGTGCGCAGAAGATGCAAACAGAGGGCTCGCTGGGGCCGCTCGAGGGGTAGAGAAGAGGTTATTGTTGTTGTCATGATGATTCGACTGGAAAAGGCCGTGGTCGAGGGACATGCGCGGTCTCACATGTAGTGGAGTACCCATGGTAGTAGTCGTATTAGTGGCACCCAGAGCTTCTGAAGGGAATAGCTCGTTTCCTCCGCGCAAAGAGCGGGCAAAGAGTGGGCGATCGCTCTGGCGTTGTTGCAGGGTAGAGCGACGCAGAGACGAGGAGCGTTTGGGGATACTGGGGAAGGAGGAATTGAAGAGGGGACTAGGCGCTACAGCCACGGGTGCAACTGGTTCGCCCAACAAATCCAGCGGGGATTCTGGGGTGGTGGTGAAGGGGGAGGTAGTGATAGTTGCCGGCTGCAATATCGGTGGTGGGGTTGTCGACTCTTCCATGATGGTAGGGGGGGAGGAGGGGGAGGAGGAGGAGGAGGAGGAGGAGGAGGAGGAAATCTCTGTGTCAAAGATATTGAAGTCGCTGGGGACGGCAGTGGTGTGGGCAACGGAGCCTGCGGCGGCGTGGACACTGCGACGTTTGGCCGAGGGGCTTCCGCGCGAGGCCTGGTCCAGATTCATGATGCCGTCGCTGCGTTTCAGTGGACTGATGGAGTTGAAGGGGCCCAGGGGCCCGCTCCGGCGCTTCTCGATCCGCGCTTGGGACGTCCGGGGACCGAGGGCGGCGTCCGCCACGGGTGGAGTGGTGGTGGTTGTTGTTGTTGACAGGCAGCTAGTCGTGTCCAAACCGGGCGTAAGAGGATCGTCGATGGGATAATTCAGGCGCAGCATGGGGGTGATGGGGCGATTCTCGTCGTCCGTGGTAGCGGGCGCAATGGGGGCTCCCATCGGGGCTGCGTTCCCCTGGTCGGTGGAGATGTTGAGGACACGTTTGACGGGGCTGCGCGGCGAGGTGCGTGCCCGGCGCATGACCGGACGAGTGATCTTCGTGGTGGAAGGATATGGTAGAAACAGGGGTGATTGCTGTTGGGGAGCTGATGATGATGACGAAGTAGCAGCAGTAGTAGTGGTGGTGGAAGGAAAGAGAACAAAGTTGCTCTGGGAGGCTCTGCGAGAGGGAGAGAGCGGCGAGGAGATGTAAGGCGACGCGGCTCCCGCGGCGGCAGAGGTAGATCTGGAGGGCGAATGGGTTGTGCGGGCGGCGATCAAGGTGAAGTTGGAGCTTTTGGACGGGGAGCGGGACAAAGAGCGGCGCAGCTGCCTGATGGCCGAGCTGGCGTCGACATGGTGAAGGCCTGGATGGGAGGCCAGATGGAGGGTGCCGCCAGCATCGCGGTGCGGCGAAAATGTAGCAACCATCGTGAGGAATGTAGCGGCGCCGCGAGGATGACGTTTGCGGTTCTTCTCTTCTTTCCAAGGCCTTCTCTAGATGAGACTTGAGTCTTGAGTCTTGAGTCTTGGGTTCAGAGGTTGTTCACGACTTGTAGAAGTGTCTGCAAACCCTCTGCAAACCTTCTGCAAGCCGTGAGCGTGCGTGAGAAGAGGGTGAGGAAGAGCGAGTCAAGCGAGCGCTCTGGAATGTGGTCGAATGTACAGTCCAGCAGCGTGTGGCCCCTACCACAACAAGAAAAAAAAAAAAAAAAAAAATACACGAAAAGGAGAAGCCCCCAAAAAAAGGACAGAAAAAGAAGATTCACAACGAGCCCCAGGAATCCGACGATGTTGATGTCTCCTCCATACGGACCGGATACCACCGAGTCGGGACACACACGCGTCCGAACACGCCGCACGCGCACGCCGAGAAGGCTGAAGCAAGACAAGATCAAACCGCGCGAAAGAGGAATGTTCTCGTTTCAACAATCACGAGGGGGGTCCACAAGGGGCTGCCTTGTCTTGTTGTCTTGTCCTCCTAGCAGGCGCGACGTGATAGGGGGGGGGGGGGGGGGGGGGGGGGCGGCGACGACGACAGCGACAGCGACAGCGACAGCGACGACGACAGTGAGTGAAGCGTGTGGCGTTGACTTCAGCAAGAGCAAAGGGATAGACTGACAAGTCGCTGAAACATCGAGGGCGTGGTGAAGAGCGCAAGGGGGTGGTTTCGACCACCACGCGAGAGAGCAGGCAGGCAGGCAGGTAGTGAGGTGGTTGGGTTGGTATGCTGGCGGGATCCCCTCCTTTGATAACAGCGCAACGCAGTGGGAGTCGTCTAGTGAGTTGCCGGATAAAGTCGACAGAATCACCTTCAAGTCGATAGAATCCCAAGTGATAGAATCCCAAGTGATAGAATCCCAAGTGATAGAATCAAAAGTGATAGAATCAAAAGTGATAGAATCCAGAGCACCGTAGTCAGCAGAGTCAGCAGAGTCAGCAAAGCCAGCAGTTGGACTCCGAAAGATCCAGGGATGCGGCGAGTCTCCGTCCCGTGATCTGACCACGCGTGGCGCGCGCGTTTGTTGTGTGCCGGATCGGGCTTAGCGGGGAGACGCGACCACAACAATGCGTTACAATACGGTACAATCAATACAGGATAACAACAGCCAGACAGCGAGGGACAGACAGTGGACAGACAGTGGACAGACAGTGGACAGCGAGGGACAGCGAGGGACAGTCAGCGAGGGACAGTCAGCGAGGGACAGTCAGTGAGGGACATGTAGAGTCTTATTAGAGTCTTCTATATATGAAGTATTCTATATATAAAGTATTCTCTAATAGAGTCTCTAATTGAGTCTCTAATAGAGTATTCTATAGATCATACTTCTCCTGAATATCTTCTTGCTGTTCTCATAGCAACTGAAGCATGTACGAAGCAGGGAGTCATGTCGATCGTGAGTACTGATAGTAGAGATTCTAGGTAACTACTAGGTATCTAGTATACTCATACTGTAGGACTCTGCCTCTAGGCAGGTACTACCTACTGTTGAAGAGTAACTACCTAGTTACTAGGTAGTAACAGGTAGTAACAGGTACTCCGTACCTACAATACAATGTTTGTTGGAACGTGGCGGGGCAAAACACAGTATCGATAAGCCCTTGCTCAACGTGCGCAAGGGTCTCTCACCTTGCTTGAATTGGAGTAGTTAATAGCTTTTCTAGTAACTAACTAACTGACTACTAACTAGTTACTAGTTATACGATTCTTGAATAACATCTCCACCTCGCTCGCTATCGTCGCCAGAATCTCCTCCGCCGCCTCCCCCACCCCAAAGACGCCCACGTCCAGCGCGTCATGGCGGATCGCCGCCTCAATGTCCATGGTGGGCTGTGTAGAAAAAGTTAGCCAACCTCCCCAAACCTGATGCAAGCACCACTGCCTCCCCCCCCCCCCCTTGCTGATGCTGCCTACCTGAAAGATTCCTGGTAATTCTTCGAGAATCTCCCCCTCCTCCTCCTGCTGCTCTGCCAACCTCTTCTCCGGCAATCTCGCCTCCACCGGCTCAAACTCCACCCGCTCGGCCTCGCCCTGGGTCGTCGGCTCGGGAATCCGCAGGAAATTCACACACGTATCGATTCTCACCCCCGTCCACGCCTGGATGTCCACCAGCGACACCCCCGCATGCTCGTCCCGGCTGATCTCGCCAACCTCCGCCTGGATTCGCCGCGCCGACTCGAGGATCGAGACCGAGTCGCTGCCGCTCTTGCTCTTGTCGTCGATCCGTAGAGGTACGATATTCACCGTCGGCGCCACCAGCTCGGAAGCCCCGTCCTGGGACCGGTTGGCAAGGTACAGCCCAATCGCCGTGGGGCGCCCATCCCGGGACCCATGATGATCATGGTCATGATCATTCAGAAGAGTGACGGCGTGGACCTTGGCATACACCGCGAGGAAGATCGCCTGCACGCTCAGACTGTGTTGCCTGGCGATCTCCTCTAGCCGTCCCATATGTGACACCAGCCCCGGTCGATAGTACTGCTTCTCAATAGCGCCAAACCGAGGAGCGGGTGGAAGACGATGGTTATCCTCATTCCTCGACGACCTCCCCAGGTAGCCTTGCCAGAACGCTCGTTTGGTCTCGAGCGGCGCCTGGATTCTCTCCAGGCCCACGAATCGTGAGAGATCGGTGTGTTGGCCGCTGATGGCAGATGGAATAGTCTCCCGTTTGTGACAGAGCCTGCCCAGCAGATCCACCATCTTCGGTAGACTCACGGCATCGTAGAGTGCATGGTGGATCTGCAGACGGATCAAGGTCCCTGTCGAGGTCTGGCAGGCGTGCAATGAGACAGGCACAGACCCGATGTCTCGCTTGACGTCCTGTCCCTGCATCATTTCCTCCTCCTCCTCCTCCTTATGCCAGATGACTGGATTCTGCACAGTCCTGAATACAGCTTGCACGTACGGTACATCTGCTCTTGCGCGTGTCCTGAAAAACGCGGTCCGTAGGATGGGCAGCATGCCTTGCAGCCGCGTCCAGGCCTCTTCAACGGCCGGCTGGCCGAGCACTTGCCTCGACCGGTACAGGAATGAGGCATAGAAGACGGCCGGGTTCGCCTGATTCATGCCGAGGAAGTATGTCTGCCCAGCCGTCGCGGGAAACATCGCTTCAACCTGCTCGGGATCGATGCCGTGCGTTTGCAGCAGATCGTCCCTGTCAATGCCATCCAGTAGAGAAGCTAGGACGGCATCAAGAGCCTCCGCTGTAGGACCCTCCTCGCGACCCTCCTTGATTCGCACCTGCTGGGCCATCTTCTCAATCGTGCCCGCCTGCAGCATCTGACTTACAGACAGACTGATGGATGATCGTTTCTTCAGCAGAGCAGCCACTTTGATTGCGCTAATGCTGTCCAATCCGAGATGGAATAGCGTGGCTCCCTTGTTGATCTGCTCCTCCGGCATCCCCGACACTAGAGCAAGCACTTGTCGGATCTGAGACTCGATTGTAGACCATGTTGTCGGGTCTTGCGGCTGAGCATCGGTCGGGGGTTTTCCCTCACGAATCCCCTCCGAGGGCACCGTCTCCACCGGGCCGTCCACAACTTCGATCGTTGCCTGGTTGGGCTCCCGAAGAATCGTCGACATGGTCGTCTCCATGCGGTCCAGTAAAGCGAGAGCACCTGCACCATCCATCACATCGTCCCGGCAAGCCACACGGCAGATGATTCTCTCCCCAATGCACTCGATCTCCAAACTGACAGGGTACTCTACCGCCGAAGAACCCCCAACGGACTGATAAAGAGTTAGATCTTTCTCAGACACGCCCTCCGAGGGTCGTTTCTGGTATATGAACAGCGTATCAAACAACTGCTGCGATCTGGCCTCAGCCTGGACCTTTCGAAGGGGGAAATGTTGATACTCGGACATGTCCACCAAGGCTCCGTGAACGTATCGCACCATGTCAGACTTGGTGCCGTGAAGAATGGCTCGCATCGCCACCGTGTTCATGGTTGGGAACATGACACTCTCCGAGTTGACAATGTTTCGACCCGACAGGACCAGTCCAAAGGCAACGTCCAGGCTATTGTTGAGATAACGAGACAGCACCAGAGTCCAGCAGGTGACGGAGAGAGCTTGCATTGTCACTCCATGACTTTTGCAGAATTCCTCGGCGGCACTGCGGCGTATCGAAAAGCAGCGCTCTTCCCGGTGCAAACCCCCCTTCGCCTGCGTTACAGCACGCCTGGGGAATGGCGTTGGTTTGAAATTTGCGAGGGCTGTCTGCCAGAATCTCATGGCATTCTTGTCCCCGGAGGATTGCATGATATGCTCAATCATCAGATCGTATGAGGGACTCTCGGTCGTCAAGTCGCTCTCGTTGGCGGAATGGTAACGTTTGGCTATCTGCTCATGGAGCAAAGTGATAGACCAGCCATCGTAAAGTGCATGAGCGAGTGACAGGATGAGGTATCGTTTCCCAGAGTCGATGGCAATCGAGAGGTCCACCAAAGGCCGTTGCTGTTCGCTGTACGAAAGCGCTCTGAGGCGGTGATCTTTTATGACGGTGTCGACACTCTCGCCATTACCAAGCTCAACAACCCGAAGGCTGGTATCCAGGGCCGCCCCGTGCACCACCTGCATATATGACATGGGTAGTTCTGGATCCCAGATCTCGGCAAACGAAGTTCGGAGGATTGGGTTCGCTTTAACGACATCTCTCCATGCACATTCTAGCCTCGCGAGCTCTACATGAGTTGCCAGCTCCAAGACGTCATGGTTGTAATAACGCTCATAGTCTGAAGCGACCATTTCCGCAACCATGGCTTCTTGGATAGGCGTGGCGGGTAAGACTCGAGAAACGTCTGCAGAGATCTGGCCTTCTTTCTCCAGGAAGCTCGTCAGCTTTCCTTCAAGCTGGGATAGCACTGATAACGACGGAGACTGAGCCTGCATGACCTGATTCATGGGGTGGAGCTGCTCGACCATCTTCCTGATAGTACGGTAGCGCATGATGCTGCTGACAGATAATTTGATATCTCTCTTGCTGAGTCTCGAGGAGATCTTGATTGCGTCAATGCTATCCAGTCCCAGCTCGAAAACAGAGGTGTCATCCCTGATTGATTCTATCTCAACACCCGCCAGATCACCGATAACTTCTCGAATGGCAGACGCCTCCGGTGACCATTGAAAGTCCAAACGAGGACTCTCATGACCGTTGGTCAAGATCTGCTTAGAATCAGAACTTTCATGAGGTTCAGTGCCATTTTCAAGGTCGCCAGCCCCGTTCGGCTGGCGTAGTGCCTTTTGTGAGTCGACTGCCAGCTCCTGCATGACTTGTTGGAATGTTGCTAAGAGTTCTTGCCCTGTTTCCACAGACATGACATGCTCTTGGCATACAAGCGTCAGAGACAGAGACTTGTCGCTGTTGTGGACAACCTCAAAGGCTGCGGTATATTCAGGCTCTGCCTGTGAAGCCAGTGGCTTCCATAGACGGTCTGCATTGCTTTGACTGGGCCCACCGGCTCTTTGGAAGACAAAAAGGGAATCAAAAAGCGGACTGTCCGGATTGCGGCCGGTCCACTTCATGATATCACGCAGTGGAGTGTGCTGGAATGAGATTGTCGATGCTTGATAGTCATGGCAGCGTTGCACGACATCTGACCAACTCTTCAAATCCTGAAGTTCAACATGGCTGGGGATGGTATTGAATAAGGGACCCATGACACCCTCAACTCCCGGCGCATCCATGGATCTCCCCGAAACAACTACACCCAGAGAGGGAACTCGAGAGAAGTGTTGGTAGAGCGTCAAGAGCCAACAGGCATGGATGACAGCTTGTTCAGTAACGTTGAGCAAGACCTTCACTTTCTCCAGCGCCCCAGTCTCATCCATTTGCACCTCTTGTTCGAAAGCGGCGTGGTCTCTTGAGTTTGTGCGTGGGAACAAGTTATGTCGCGGAAGTTTCAGACTCTTCTTCCAGAATGGTTCTGCGGAGGGGTCCTTGCATAAAGGACCCATTGGAAGCAGATCGAAGAACGATGCATCCGCCTCGGGGCTTTTCTGATCTTCGTCAAAGTAGACGTTCGCAACTTTCTCCAGCATAAGAGACAAACTATTCCCATCATACAATGGGTGGAAGATGTTCAGAGACATGACGACTCTCTCTGGCGACTCAATGACACCGACCTCCCAAAGCTTGGTCTGGAGGTCACTAAGACCGGAGACCCATGATTTGAAGATTTCCTCCTTGACGCGCTCAAGCTCCTCTTCAGAATCTACTTTGTGTTGGAACCAAGGGGCCTCATATTGGTTCATGGCAACCTGGGCATAGCCATCTGGGGTGATTGAGAACGTTGTATGCAGCATCTCGACGTCAGCTTGTGTCTGTGACCAAGCCTTTTGCAACCGAGATACATCAACCGAGCGGTCCAGTTCAAAGGTGAATGCAGAACAATAGAGAGGTTTGTCACTATTGAGGAATTGATAGATAATTCCCTCCTGGAGTGGAGTGCACGGCGCGATCTTCTGAATATCGTCACTGCTGACTCCAAGATTAGTAGTGATTGCATGGGTATGCCTATGGGAAAAGGCCTCGATCATTTGCTTTGCATTTTGCACATTTGCATTCCATGCCGAGGATTGACCGGCCTCTCGCAATGCAGACGCCATGCCTGAAATCGTAGGATCTAAAGATTAAAAGTCAGTAAGTAACTCGTGTGTGTGTGTTGCAATCATTATATGAAAGAAAGAAAAAGCCCACTCTTCATGATTAGCGATGGCTGGCAGTTTGTAAAGCCCGCGGATTTGAGATCCCTTGAAAACGAAATCACAGAAATGGAATCGAGGCCCAACTCATAGATACTCGACCATCGGGAGATCTCGTTCTCTGCCAAGCCAGCAAACCGGACCAGGACAGACTTGATCTTCTGTTCGTCCTCGTTGTATCCGAGAGGCTCGTTGCTCATGGAGGTCAATCGCTGGATGTCCTCCAGCAAGAGATCTCCGTACATGCTCTTCAGGATTTTCGCGTCAATCTTGTTATTGGCAGACAGAGGGAAAGAAGTCATGGGGATGATGTGCGTTGGGACCATATATCCTGGAAGCCTGGTATGACAGGCGTTACGGATTTGAGACAGGAACGTCCGGTCTTCTGGGACAAAACGGATCTTTGCCTCGGGCCGTTTGCCGCCATGGTCAGCAGCGCGGATGGTCACAAAGGAGACCAGCTGCTCTCTAGACTGCTTCGGATGCCTGGTGACGAGAGTAGTAACTTCGCCTAGGTCCGGTGCTGCATGCTTGATGACTTCGTTGATCTCTCCAATCTCGAGCCTCTGGCCGCGGAGCTTGACCTGGTCGTCCATACGTCCTAGGAACTGGAAGCTTCCATCATGAAGAATCCGGACCAGGTCACCGGTTCGATAGATACGGTCTCCACCAAACTCCTCCAGGACCTGGAACTTCTCCTTGGTCAACTCGGCTCGGTTGAGATATCCCTTGCCGACCAGAGCGCCGGAGACACACAACTCTCCGATGGTGCCGCGAGGCACGGGGGTAGCCGTGGCAGGTATCAAGACGTAGGAGCCTACGTTATCAAATTGGGGTCCGATGTTGGTCGGTTTCCCGTTGACCGGGACCCTGGGCAGCATGGTACAGCCGATGGTGACCTCTGTTGGTCCATAGCCATTGTAGATGACTCCATGTTTCCCCCAGGCATCGAGAATCTCTTGTTTCAACTGCTCTCCTCCAGTGATAAAGACCCCCCTGCACAGTGAAGGCACGTCCTCTGGTTGAACGAGTCGCGCCAGACTCGGGGTGAGGTCGATGTGCGTGATTCCGAGGCGATGAATCGTGCCGGGCAAATCTTCGAATAGGAGATCCCGTGGGCAGGAAGTAACACAGATCCCCACGCTCCAGCTCCAGTACTGCTCCAATACACTGACGTCAAAGTGGAAGGATGCAAATTGCAGCCACTTGGAGTCTTCGTCCCAGTGACCGCTGAATAGCCTCTGGAAGGCCAGCATAGCTTGTACCGCATTGTAATGTGTAATCTCACATCCCTTCGGTGTCCCAGTTGTACCGGAAGTGTACAAGCAGTAGCAAGTGTCATCGGGCTGGATCGGACGGGCTAGCGACGGCTCAGAGGCGGATATGTCCTTGAGCAGATCAGGTTGATCCATAGCCACAATGTCTACTACACCTTCAAGGTGTTCCCTGAGCTCTGCGCACGCGGCCATGCTGCAAAGCAAGAAGCGAGAGGCGGAGTCCTGGAGGATGAACTGCTTCCGTGCAATTGGGGCGCTGGGGTCGATTGCCACATACGCGCAGCCTGCCTTGAGGATACCCAGGATCGCAAGAGAGGCTTCTGGGCATTTATCAAAGGAGATGGCGATGAGTGACCCTGGGACTGCGCCTCTGCTTTGTAGCAGACGGGCAATTCGGTTCCCGTCGTCATTGAACTCCTTGTACGACCAGGTTCTTTTGTAGATCTTCTCGTCGGTGATCTGGTGCGCGAATTCAAATGCGAGTTTGGAGGGCATCCTTTCTGCATTCAATTCAACGAACTGGTGAAGAAGACTGACTTCGCAGGGGATTTCGTTTTCTTGGGCCGGCGTGATGGACAATAGTTTGGGCCCAAGAGACGAGTGATCGCCCGAGTCCGAGTCCGGGGAGAAGATCAGGTCCTTGAAGAAGATATCGAATTGCTCGAGTAGGAGCATTGCCTGCTCCCTAGGAACGATGTCAGCCCTGTGTGTCAAGCGGAACTCTAGTTCCGACGCTTCGGGGACGAGTTCAATCGACACAGGATAATCGACTTTGGCATCTTCCTCTACCACTTCCCACTCGATTGGCTGCTCCGTAGATGATGAGAACTTTTGGTAAACAAAGAGGGTATCGAAAAGCCCCTCGTCTGCCTTCAACCAACGCTGGATCTGAGACAATGGTGCGAATTGACTCTTCATCAGCCATGCGTTACGTGCCATAACCTGCCTCACCAGTTCACGGTTGGTGCCCTGCACCGTGCATGGAGAGGGCAGTGTGACAAGACAGGGGAAAACAGCCTCTTCGACAGCGTCAGAGAGGGTACGTCCAGAGAAGACGACGCCAAAGGTCACGCTGGGCTCGTTTGTATACGCGGAGAGCACTCGTGCCCATGCTGCCTGGCCTGCGGCCTGTAGCGTGATGGACCGTTCCTGACAGGCATCTTCCAGAGACTTGCGGGAGAGCGAGCAGCGTTTCGTCGCCACGAGCAGGTCCTTTTTATCTTCACGGTAGGGATGTAGATCAGGAAACTTGCATGTCCGCGTCTCAGGAGCGATCCCTTCCCAAAAGTCGCGGGCCTCATCGTTTGTCCGGTGACTCTCCACAAGGATGGGACCCAGTGTAGATGGAATTGAAACGGGTTCCTTGCCCAGAAACTCCCCACGGACTGCTGCCACTACATCTGCGAGGATCAGATTCAGACTCTGCGCATCGTAGAGGGCATGGAGCGCAGCGAAATGAACCACTGAGCTGGTCTCGGATGCCTCAACAGTGATGTACCAGGGTGGTAGATGAAGATCTTTCAGGAGATCTTCCTGCGAGCGAGGCGAGACTATACCCTCCTCGTACCACGGGAGCTGGGAGGACTCCTTCCGATACGTGATCATTGCAAACGGGTATTGTTTGTCTTGAAGCTGGACGAATCCCGTGCGAAGCATCTCATGCCTCGCCATCACCTGAGACCATGCGTCTCGCAGTAATGCGGTCTTGACAGGCGCTGGTAGACTCCACGACACCCGGTTGAAGTAGACATCCCCGCGAGAGTGAATGAACATGGCCAGCATTCCATTCTGCACGGGTGTACATGGCCGTAAAGCGTCGACCGTGGTTGGGGAGATTCGAAGCTGGTCACAAACTGAGTCGATATGGAGAAATTGAAAAGAGGAGAAGTCAAAGGTCTCCTTTCTTTCTGAGGATTCATTCGACGAAACGATCAGTGCTGCAATTTCACCGACGGTAGCAGCCTAAAAAAAAAGATATCAATTAGAATGGGGATCTAGTTAGTAGAAGAAGAAATAGGTAGTGATTTTGTTTACCTCCAAGATATCGGCGGCCGATATGATATGCCCCTGTTTGCGCAACGATGCAGAGATCTGAACCGCATTGATACTATCTAAACCAAGCTGGAAGATAGTGGTCTGCTGCGTGATCGACTCTTCGGGAACCTCGGTGAATCGACAAAGAATGTCCCGGACTTCGATCTCTTTAGTGGACAGCGGATGGGGTGTGCGGAGTCCATTTGGAACGTTCGACACTGATTTGAAACTATTCTCCTTCAATTCCTGTGCAAGGAGCGGCAGTTCCCCGCCTAGGGAGCGTTTGTCTGAGGCTTGGGCAGCTGGGTATCGAATGGTATCACTGACGAGAGCCGCAAAGTGGTTCTTGATCAATTCCGCATCACCGTCGGAGACAAATGACCGTTGATAATGTAGACAGATAGAAATACTGTTCTGCTTCTCATCCGGGATGATCTCGCAGATCATGGGGAAATCCATAGCTCCCTCTTCCGATATGAGTTCCCACAGCTGGGCATCGAGGTCGACATTTCTGTTCTGTAAGAGAACCAATGTATCAAACAGACGGGACCCGTTCCTCGCAAACCGCTTCTGAATGCGACGAAGCGAGCTTAGCTGGTAGGGCAAGGTGTCACTGTTGACCTTCTGGGCGAGCGTCATGATGTCGGAATTCGTTGCACCGACCGAGAACTGAAAGCGAACGGGAAGGGTGTTGAAACAGGGCCCGATAATACGATCCACGCCGTCAAGAGGCACGGTCCGGCCGCTAAAGACATTGCCAAAGCATACATCTAAAGATTCGGTGTAGAGGGATAGCAACCGGGCCCATGCCGCATGAAAGACGTTGAGAGGAGAGACGGCCACCTCTTTGCAGTGGGTCTTGAACGTCGCCAGGGGAATATCAAGACTGGCATGACTCTGGCCGGTATCACCACTTCCATCGTTCTTCTTCTTCTTCTTCTCCACGGCAGTTTTATTGCGGGAGAAAAGTACGGGCGAGACATCATGCAGATACTGGTCCCAATAATGGTCCGACGCATTTGTATCCGAACGAAGCATGAAATCGATGAAGGTGCCAAAGGAAGCTACCTCGGGTAATTCCCTGGAAGTGAGGCATGACTCAACTTCTTGTAGTAGCTGCGTCATGGCTTCACCATCGTGCAGTGCGTGGTGCATCGAGAACAGTAGAATGGTTTTGTCCGCAGTGACATCTCGCAGCACTGTCAGCGCGTAGGGAAGATTCTCGCTCTCCAGGGTCCATTGTTGGAATGTCTCCTTTGTCCGTGATATCTGATGCTCAAGTTCTTCTTCCGAGCTGGTGTCAATGTAAGACCATGGTAAGGCAGCAGCATTCTTCACAACCACCTGTGCGTATGCGAATCGGGGATCACTGGTCGACCTGAAGTGGGTTCTGAGGATCGAGTGCCGATGGAGCATCTGGTCCCAGGCGGCTTGCATCTCGTCAATGCTCCGATGAATTCTGAAACAGAGATGGTTGAAATAAGCCGAGTCCGTCTGCGAAGGGTCCGATGACAGCATAGCCTCCTGCAACGGGGTACAGGGATAGATAGCTTCTACCTCCTGGCCGGAACGGGCCATCTCGTCTTGGATTTGCCGCTGGAAAGCATCATCGAAGATCAGGTCTGGTGTTTGGACAGGACTTTTCGCCGACGCTGTCTGGGTGACGACGGTAGAAGAGATCAAGGTCGACAGCTGTACCACGGAGCTATGGCGTAGAATCATGGAAACATCCAACTGACCAAGCCCGGCCATCCGGAGACGTTTGGAGAACGTGATGGCGGAAATAGAGTCCAAGCCCAGATTGTAAAAGGACGTGTGCCTGGAGAAAGCAAGCACATCTACGCCGGTAAGCTCTGCCAGGATTTTTGCAATCTTCTCCTCCGTCTCGGACATGTTCTCTCCATCATCGCCATCATCATCAGCGAGTGGTTCTTGGGGAGAGAAAAGTTGCAGCTCCTCTAGACTCATCTCCTCCAGCTGCTGGATCAGTTTCTTGTAATCCGTCTTCGTGTTTGAATTCATCGGGATTGTTTCCACGGGAATCAGCATCGAAGGGATCATATATGTCGGAAGTGCATCGCCGAGCACTTTGTAGAGATCTTGAACCATGTGATTGCCCATCTTACCATTGGATTCCTGAGAGACGGGAACCAAAAATGTGACGAGCTGCTGCTGTTCGCCTCTGTCTACGATCATCGTCGCACAATCCTTTACGCTGCTCTGGCGGGAGAGAACGCTATTGATCTCCCCAAGTTCAACCCGCTGACCGCGAAGCTTTACTTGGTTGTCCTGTCGGCCCATGAAAACAATGGTACCATCCGCCAACAATCTCCCATAGTCACCAGTTCTATAAAGTCTGCCGTATTGAGAGTGCTCGAGGAACTTTTCGGCGGTCAACCCCGGCATATTCAAATATCCCTGAGCCTGACATTCAAGTTAGCAGGCAAATGACTTCAACAGGGGGGGGGGGGGGGGGATGAAGACGGCATACCACTTGGTCTCCGCCGAAGACAAGTTCTCCAACGGCGCCGCGGGGGAGTAGTCGAAAATCATCCTTATCTGCCACAACGAACACAGACGTATTCTTCAACGGTGACCCAATGTTTCGCATCACATCGTTTGCAAGTACATTAGGACGCACCGTGCAGATATTCGTAGTTTCGCTCGGACCATACCCTGATGAGTGATTAGTTTGGAAGACTTCTCTTGTCACTGGGATGTAAGGGAAACACACCCTGCCACAACCCTCGCCCTGCCCATTCCCGATGGACCTTGGCCGTCAAGCCTTCACCAGCTGTGATGAGGAAGCGAACACCAGGCACGTTCTCGGGGTTGATAATGGCCGCCACCGTTGGGGTGAGACTGAGATGAGTGACATTGATAGATCGAATGACATTCTCAATGTCTCGGAACATGATGTCGTTGGTTGTGGAGCACAGAGTCATTCCGGTGTGCCAGGCGAAGAATATTTCAAAGACAGAGACTAAGTCCAGTTAGAATAATAGGTTTCTTTTTTCGTCTTATTTGCATGAGCAATCGATGTGACCCACCATCAAACGCGTGAGAGCATGCCTGGAGCATCTTGGAATCCTTGGACACGGGGTAGAGGTCTGCAAGGATTGCAATGTTGCTCTGGAGGTTATGTCGAGTGACCGAAACGCCCTTGGGGGTACCTGTGCTCCCAGAGGTAAACACGGCATATGCAAGGTCAGATCCCTGATTTACCATGTGTAAATCATGATCTGGAGAATCCTTGAAACCGTCATCTTTCCAGTTAACCACTTGGAGTGATTCTACAGCAGACAAGTGGTGATCCACGAGAGAGTCTGTGATGCAGAAAGGGGCCTTTGTCTCACACAGGATCGTATGGATGCGCTGGATTGGCGTCTGGATTGTGATGGGAACATAGCCTGCGCCAGCTTTAATGGTGGCGAGGATGGAAATGTACAGCTCCGGAGATTTCTCCATCAAAATGCAGACAAAGTCATCAGGCCTCACTCCCAGATCGATCAAATGGTGTGCTAGCTTGTTCGCCCGACGGTTTAACTCAGAGTAAGTCAGCGTTCTGGTGTCCATAGCTCCTGTATCCAGTTCGTGGGAATGGATGAATTCCACCGCGACCCTGTCAGGGTCCGATGATGCGTAGTATTCAACCCTTACGGAAAGATTCTCGGAGTAGGGGACTGTCTCAAAGTTCTCGTTCTCGATCGATAAAGTTGATGGTGGAAGACGAAGCGATAAGCTGCCCAGGGGTAGGCTAGGGGAGTCCAGAATGATCGATGCAACTCGATCTATCTGCTCTAACAGCAGCACCACCTGTGCGGATGGCAGGCTAGAGGTCTGGTGAGTCGCCATGGCATAGATCTTGTTATCTCTAGGCTCTAGCTCCAGCATGAGGGTAAATTCGAGGAAATCTGCGGAAGCAACCTCTCGGAAGAGTGAGGAAGGCGCTTGGTCAGACCACAGCGTCTCCTGCCAGGCAACTGCGGTATCAAAGAGGCTGAGAGTCATGTTGATGCCTGACACTCTCTTGATGTCTTGGAGGGGGAGATTTCCATACTCCAGAGCCTTGCGGTTCATATTCTGGACAGCCAAGACGAGATCGGCCGCCGTCTTCAACTGGTCCAGCTTGATGCGCGTTGGCAGAACGCGCAGACATGGCCCGATGGTCGATTCGATGCCTGCTACCGGCAGGGTCCTGCCAGATGAAACGGTTCCAAAGATTACATCGTCCGTTCCCATGTATGAAGAAAGAAGATAGCACAGGGCGGCCTGGAAGATCGTCTGCCGGCTGACCCGCAGGAATCGAGTTACTTCGTCCAGTTTGGCTAGAGATACATCCAGTGGTCTGAAGACCTGGCTGGAGCTCTGAGGAAGATCGGTCCGATCGTTGAAATTCGGCCACATGGTTGGAGACATCTTGTAGAGCAGGTTGTGCCAGTATGTGCTGGCATCCTTTGAACTCGAGTCCCTGGTAGACTTCAAAAGAAACTCGGTGATGGTGCGGTATGACGGTCTGTCCTTGGGCTCCTGTCCTGTCAGTGCAGTATGAAGGTCTGACAAGATTAACTGCCAGGACCAGCCATCATACAGTGCATGATGGATATGAAGGAGCACTGAGAGCTTCCGTTCTCCTTCTTCTCGGAATTGTATATGGAGTGGATAGAGGATACCGTGTTGATCTTTCATCTCCACATTATAGTTGAATTGCTCACATGGCTGGAAAATATGCTCTTGCAGCTCATTCCAGACGAAGCGACTGTACAAATGATCCTTGACACCGATTTCGATGAAGCCAGATCGAAGCAGATCATTCTTCTGGCATACCTTCTGCAGCGCCTCTTTCAGAATTGAAATGCGGTGGACGGGAGGCTCGAATTCCAGCTCGATCCAGTTACTATACGCCTGTGACGCCCGCATGGTTTCGACGATCATTGCCTGTTGGATTGGACTGCAGGGCTCTACCGCTTCAAGGGCCACATCAAGCCCGATTGAGCGCAGCTTCTCCGCGCCGATATATCTTACTGCTTGCCAGCTATCTTCTTCTTGTGACTGGCCCTCCTGATCTCCTGTTTGTTTGGAACTTGAGAACTGCTTTGCCAGATGCCAGATATGAGTCACCGAATCCGCTGCTAACAGTTTTCCGACTTCAAGATTCAGGCCCTCGGCCCGAAGCTGGGCGGCGAGCTGAATGGCTTTGAGCGAATCCAGACCTGCCGCTGCTAAGCTGTCTGAGGAGGACTTGGGAGCTGCCCCGAGGACCGTTCCTACACAGCGGGAGATCTGTTCTTCGAGCTCATCGCGAAACTCTCGGTTAGCATTTGTTTGGGTCTCGTTGCGTTGTTTTAGGTAGTTGGCTTCCAGAGTCTTCCTGTCAATTTTCCCCGAAGGTAGCTGTGGAAATCTATTCAAAAGGATGGTCTCTCCCGGCACCATGAACCGGGGAAGCCATTGGCGACACACTTGCTGAACTTCAGTAGAGATTAGCGCTTGATCATCATCATAAGCATTACGGTTAGTATCATCATTAGGAGTAGTATTATTATCATCGTCGTCGTCATCATCATCATCATCATCATCATCATCATCGTCATCTTGTGCCTGGACAAAGGCGACGAGGGTTCCGCCCGCAACCAGGGCGACGGCGGTCCGGACATGTGGTGCCATGCAGATAACGTTTTCAATCTCGCCGAGTTCCATGCGCTGACCTCTCAGCTTGACCTGACCGCTAGAGATGCGACCGAAACACTCGATCTCACCGTTGGGGAGCATCCGGGCCTTGTCACCGGTTCGATACAGCCTGCCATAGCCCGGCAGATCCAGGAAAGCCTTTGCATTTTCTTCCGGTCGGTTGATATAGCCGTCAGCGAGCTGAGGTCCGCCGATGACGAGCTCTCCGATCTGACCGAGAGGCAGAAGCTCGGGTTCAGTCTTGACTGTCTTCTGTTGTTGGTGATCCTCACTCGGGATGGCGAATATGTAGGCTGAGACCGTCCTGAAGGGTCGACCGATCAGGTTCACACTGGAGGCCGAGGGAAACTGGGTGGCGGCCGTGCAATGGATGGCCGCCTCGGTTGGGCCATACATCCCATGGAGGATGCCGGGCATCGTTTCAGAGTGACCAAACTCGGAGACAACGTGACGGGTGAGCATTTCGCCAATGGTAAGAAGGACACGCAGCGAAGGAGCCGCGGCACGTTTGCGCAGCAGTTCACCGGCCACCGTCGGGGTGAGCTCGGCTGCGTCGGCCTCCATGGTGTTGATTACGAGGGGCAGATCCCGCAGCATGGTCTCTCTGTCGGCGCCGATGAGGGTTGCTCCGCGGAACAGCGGGAAGAAGACCTCAAACACAGAGACGTCAAAGGTTGGAGAGGCGAATTGTAAGAATCGTTTGAATGAGGGTATTAACTCATTGTGCGCAAGCAACGACTGGGTTGCGGCTCGATGGGAGACTCCAACACCCTTGGGCCGTCCGGTCGAGCCGGAGGTATACATCACATAGGCAAGATCCGAAGTACTACACGTTCTTCCTGATGGAGGGGAAATGACGGGGGTGGTTGTTTCCGGGTCCATGTTGTCGGCAAAGATGAGGGTCACGTTCCCAGGCTCCGAAAACCGTGAGGCCAGCGAGCTCCATGTGATCACGACGGCGGCGTCAACATCTTGGAGAATGAAGTCGATACGTTCAGTGGGGATATCGATGCCGAGCGGGCAAAATGCGCCGCCCGCCTTGAGGACCGCGAGCCAGGCAACATAAAGATCGAGGGATTGGGGAAGCAGGACGGGGACAACAAAGGGCGGGTGCTGCTGGGTTTCTTTTTCTTCTTGGGATGATGGATTCTGGATCGAGGCGGTTATTCGGGCGGCCAGGTGAGAGGAGAGTCGGTCTAATTCGGTATACGACAGCTGTTTGACGGACCCGTCTGCAGTCAGGAATTCAATGGCATAGGGGGATGATTTTGTTCCGTTCAACGCCAACTCATGGAGGACGGTCGGTCCTGGCAGGGTCTCTGGGTCATTATTTGAAACGGAAAGGGCGGCAGATGTCTCCTCCTTCTCTTTCAGCTTCTCCCTGGTCTTTTCCTCCTCTTCTTCGGCTTCTTCTTCGGATCCAATGGGGTGATCGACAGTGGTCAGCAGTCCCCGCTGGTGAGCTTCCGCCCGGACCAGACGGCGAAAACGCTTCCCAATCTTGGTCAGGAAGGGCATGCCGATGCTTCGAGACGACAGTCGTCCCATTCCAGTGGCAAGATCCAACTCCAACGACAGCGCTAACGTTGTGTCACTTCGATTGCTGTTTCCCTTGTCCTGCTTGTCTCCGGTATGCAACGTGATGGCAGTATAATCGCGCGAAGACGTGGTGTCGGCGTCCAATTCGTGCTCCAAGACGACGGGAAGCAGTCGACGGGCGTCCAGATCAGCCTTGGTAGGGAATCCGTCCAGCAGGAAGACAGGCTGAACCTCGGCGGTATATTCACGCAACAGCAATGCCCACGACAAGGCCAAAAGATCCGCTTGGGAGAAGGGGGGAGGTGGGGTCGAGCAGGCACCAGGGAGAAATCACAGCGTCTTGGCGGACGGAAACACACGAGGAGGGAAGGAGAAGTTGAGCCAGGTGTTGTGCTTTTCTTTTTCGACTCCCTGGGAGCGGTTTACCTGTTAGTGTTAGTAATGCAGTGGTACCTAGGCGTAGGTACCTCATATACCTCGCTAGGTACCTAGTACCTACTCCCTACCTAGTACTACTAGATAGCTAGTACTCTGTACCGGGCGATCCGTCTGGCGTCCGCAGGATCAAGATAGCAAGTCCCCCCCTTGTCAGGCAGGCATTGCAAATCCTACCAGTAGCTCGAACCTAGCAGAACTCTGTATACGGGATCAAGCAGCCACGCCAATGAGAAAGAATAGACGAAACATTCTGCCGCCAGAGCAAGGGTCAGGCAGCGGCTTGCTGCGGTCTAGTGGGGGGGGGGAGGAAACGAGCAGAACACGAGCTTGGAGGAGGGGAGGTTGAGATCTCGGTGAATTCGGACAGTAGCGGGGTCAATTTCCGAGTTGAGGAGGAGGAGGAGGAGGAGGAGGAGGAGGATCATATGACAAGATGTGCCTTACGATGCCTTAGCCTTGCTGGTGAGTGCTTGGATATTTACGTACCTAGGTATACTCCGTACCTAGAGTACAAGATATCTACTACCGTACCTAGGTAGGTAGAGTACTAGGTACCTTAATAGCTACTAATTACAGAGTATAGAACCGTTGGATCCTCAAATACTAGGAGGAACTAGATCAAGAGTACTCCGGAGGAATCTGAGAATCTGTACCAGACACTTCCCGACATCGGGAATTCTCATATTGTCCAGCGGGGCTTTCGTCATCGAAACCCAGAAAGTCCCGTATGTATTGATACTGTGTATTACGCATACGATGGTGGGGTGTACGGGTGGGGTGTACCGATACAAGTACCTACTACATAATACATGGTAATACTACCCCTCATTAACTTGGGTAGAAGATAATCTATTCATTGCTATTATATCTATTATCTATTATTTAATCCATTGTTAATCTCTTGTGAATCTATTGTTAAGACAAAGCTATTATAATTATTATACCCTTGAGTGACACTACTACTTGTAGTTACCTAAGGCTAGGTACCTACGAGGTACCTCGTTAGGTAGGTACCTAAGTACTAGGTACTAATACTTACTGCATACTGATGGGCCCAAGTGGGTATTCATTTAGTAGGAAACAACCTAACCTACCATACCTTGCAAGATATTCTTCTCTCCCAGGAAAAAAAAAAAAAAAAAAAGAAAGAAAGAAAGAAGGAAAATAGCCAGGAATACGTAGCTCGATAATACCAGAGAATAAGAAACCTGATCCACCGTGGATCCAGAGAATATTCCGTACACAATCCGGTCTCTCGCAGCCTGCAAGTATATATAATTTTTTGGGTGACCCGTAGTTGCTTCTGTTTACCTACTCTATTCATCCTTCAGCAAACTAGGAAGAGAGAAAGAAGTAGATACCTCAGGTGTCTATCGAGGTGCTTTTCTTCTTCTTCTTCTTCTTCTTCTTCTTCTTCTTCTTCTCCTCCTCCTCCTCTCAGTCATGGCTTCCTCTCCTCAGCCAGTTCAGAACGAGGTCGTGTCCGAACGGCGTCCCCTGCTGACGCCGACGCCCGGCGACGAACTGCACGACCTGCTGTGCGTCGGCTTCGGCCCTGCCTCGCTGGCGATCGCGATTGCCCTGCACGATGCTCTGGATCCCAACCTCAACCCGGCGGCCCGGCGTGGCTGGTCGCCCAAGGTGTGTTTCCTCGAGCGTCAGAAGCAGTTTGCCTGGCACTCGGGCATGCTGGTGCCCGGCTCCAAGATGCAGATCTCCTTCATCAAGGACCTGGCGACCATGCGCGATCCGCGCAGCAAGTTCACCTTCCTCAACTACCTGCATTCCAAGGACCGATTGATCCATTTCACCAACCTGGGCACCTTTCTGCCCGCCCGCCTCGAGTTCGAGGACTACATGCGTTGGTGTGCGGGGAGCTTCGGCGACGTGGTCGCCTACGGCGAGGAGGTCACCGAGGTGATTCCCGGCAAGTCCGCTGTCGACGGGGAATCCCTCGTCGATCACTTCACCGTCGTCTCGCGCAATGTCGAGACCGGCGAGGTGACGAGTCGTCGCGCCCGCAAGGTCGTCGTCGCCGTCGGCGGCTTGGCCAAGATGCCCCCCGGCTTCCCGACCGACCCTCGCATCATCCACTCCTCCAAGTACTGCACCACCCTGCCCACCGTCTTGACCGACAAGAACAAGCCCTACCACATCGCCGTCGTCGGCAGTGGCCAGAGTGCCGCCGAGATCTTCTCCGATCTGCAGCTGCGCTATCCCAACGCCAAGACCACCCTCGTCATGCGCGATACTGCCCTCCGCCCGAGCGACGATTCTCCATTGTACGTTTTTTTTTTTTTTTCTGCTTCTCTAGTCTACCAAGCTTTTGAAGGCTTGCTAATTGATAGTGTCAATGAAATCTTCAACCCGGAACGCGTCGACCGGTTCTTCCAGCTGACGCCCGCGCAGCGCCAGCAGGCGATTGCCTCGGACCGTGCCACCAACTACAGCGTCGTGCGTCTCGAGCTGATCGAGCGCATCTTCGAGGAAATGTACATCCAGCGCGTGCGCAATCCCGACGAGACGACGTGGAAGCACCGCATCCTGCCCTGCCGCCAGATCACCCGCATTGAGCACTACTCCAAGGACCAGATGCGGGTCCACCTGGAGACCACGGGCGAGGCGGCCGACAACAAGCCCAAGAAACAGGACGTGCTGGACGTGGACGTCGTCATGGTCGCCACGGGCTACCTTCGCAATGCGCACGAGAACCTCCTGGCCGGCGTGCAGCATCTCCGGTCTGCGAACACCCCCGTCTGGACCCCAGGCCGTGACTATCGCCTTGCCCTCGACGGCGCCAAGGTGTCGTCGCAAGCCGGCATCTGGCTGCAGGGTTGCAATGAAAAGACCCACGGCCTCAGCGACAGTCTGCTGTCCGTGCTGGCCTCTAGAGGCGGAGAGATGGTGGCCTCACTCTTCGGCGAGCAGCTGGATCCGGTGCCGGCCACAAGGATCCGCGCCATGCTGTAGGCGGTCTAGCACAGCACGGCGTCGTATATGCATAGCACTCGGGCTATGTTTATGCATCTGAAAAAGAGCGACTATGATATCCATTAGTTACCTAGTAGAGTACGATATTCAACCGGATAGGAGTATATATATTCGTGGTAGGAGGAATTTGGGACAGTTTATTATTTGTTACTAGTTTAGCTCTGAAAAATAATAGAGTTATTAGTTTTAGTGAAAGCAGCAGAGTCATCAGTACAGCGTAGCTTCTGAATGCATAGCTAGTTATGTAGTACGCAATGCACTTCGTATGCAGGGGTCCTTGAGGCGAGAACGTGGCAGACCGCGATGCAGGTACCTTCTGCAGAAGTACTGTAGTACATAGTCCTTGGCAGTACGAGTACGAGTATGTACAAGTATGAGTATGGAGTATATCCAGCTGCCTAGATCTGTCTAGACTCGGCTTTAGTATCTACATCTGGCGTGGCTAAGTTCTACGGAGTACATCTGAGGATGTAGTAGTCTCTCCACAGAATACAATCTTGATATATACTACTACACTGCACACTGCACACTATACAACAATTCACACTTATACTTAAGTATCACTATAGTATACCTACAGTATACCTATTAACTAGTATACCAAGCTATACTAAGCTATACTACTAGGTAGGTATGTTAGTACGTATACCTCGATAAAATACCTCAAATACAGCCGCCCCACCCATGGCGCTAGTTTCATCAGATAACCCCAAGCAGCTAATTATCTGATCAAACAAGCCACTCAGAGCTCCCCCCCCCTAAGGAAGACCCACAAAAACCCACTCCGCCGGTATCCACCTGCCCTCTGGCTTCCCGACCACCAGGTTTGGTTTTCTGTTTTTTTTTTTTTTTTTTTTTTTTTTTTGCTCCGTGGTCCGCACACCGCAAGAAACAGACCCAACTGACACTCGCGCAGGAGTGGACGCCGCCGATCCCTCGGAGGCGATCGGGTCGCTTACGCAAATTGTTTCTCGCTTTGTTTACTTTGTAGTGAGTGTACTAAGATTGTGGGAGTACATTGTACTTACTACCTAGCATTGTACCTTTTACCTTGTACTACCTTGTACTACCTTATACTAGCTATAACTACATAGTTAACTACTAACTACATAACTAGGTAGTTATGTAGTATTTTGAACTCACATGATATTAGGTAATTTCTCGGAGTCCGACAGTAACGTTCCACTGATTGATAACGTGTGGATCCCATCAGATAACACCAAGACTTCCCCCCTACCTAAACGCAATGCTTTTCCGTCTTGACGAGTAATGGAGTTGCAGAAGAACCAATCACTCCGGTCTACACGTTTCTGCACCCGTATACTCCGTACAGTATACACATGCTCCACAGACTTGATAGCTCGGTTAGAGATTTAGATGAAAGATTGAATTAGTAGTATTTATTGTAAGACTGTATTGAAGGAAATCACCCCATATATGTAAGTACAGCCGTTAACAGCCGTCATCAATACCGTTATACTCCCCCCCCCCCCCCCCCCCCCCCCCAAAAAAAAAAAAAAAACTATACCTCCTCGCCTGCCAAACTCTGGTACCGCCCCCCACGGTGCATTCGTAACGGCGTCTCGTACATCCGATAGTAACTAATAGGTTCGCCGCCCAGCATGCCGGATCCAGGCTCCCGGCTGCCGAAGATCGGAGCCCCGTCGCACCAAAAGTCACGGCAGTTGGTGACGATCCCGCGTGAGAAAGGATTCCGCGGCCGTGCCACACGCGGACCCTCGCCGAACCCGCCGCGCGCCGTTGCAAAAAACGTGTTGATGCCTAGCAGCACCGTCCACTGCTGGAAACAGTTGCGTCGCGACCCTCCATGGCGGTGAGCACCACCACTAGAAGTTCCAGCAGCTCCACTACCACCACCAGCAGCAGCAGCAGTAGCAGTAGCAGCAGGACTCGGCCCTCGCCCGGCCGACGACAGCCCAGCCGCGTCCAGGGACGACGCCCCCGCTGCCAACGCTGCAGCAAACGCCTGCGTGCTCGGATACGTCTTCTCCACGTGATGGCCCTTCATGTTCTCGTATGTGGTCTGATTGCGGGACACCTGCACTAGCTGCACTGCACACAGCATCGTGACCCACACCAGCTGCAGCATAACCCAGAAATCGAGCACAAGCGTAAATGTATCTCGCATGACAAACCCACACAGCTTGTCATTGATGATGTTGCATGAGGCCTCCGCGGGGGCAGGCAAGGCATTGATGTCTGACAAAGTTATATGAATTCAGTATTGTCTGTTCCTTCACTACTTTCGAGAGGAGAAAAAGCCCTTGCAACTTACAGTAAATAGAGAGCTGGACAAAGAGGATGATCCCAAGCTCCAAGGAGACGACATACAGCACAAAATGACGCAGGTTGTTCGCTCCGACGCAGTTTTCAATCCACGGGCAGTGACTGCTTTTATTTAGCTAGGACTCTCGGAAATCCGCTGTTGACGGATCGACTTACTGGTCATGTTTGGCCACGCAGCGGTTGCAGCGCCTGCAGTGCTTGCTCCGCAGCGGTTTGCGCACCATGCAGTAGATGCAAAAGTTCTCCTCGTCAAACTTCCACAGATCAAAGAGCTGCGAGATGACGGTCCGCTGCTGGTTTCGGCTGCCTAGCTTGGGGATGTACCCAGGATCCTCGGTCATCGACAGGATGTAGAAATACGCAGTCAGGCAGTAGAAGATCGAAAATGTCAGGTTGAGGACCGGGTACGCCGAGTACGTCACTATCACTTAGCATGCATTCGGATCTGAAGGGGCAGACAAAAACCAACCTGGCAACACCTTGAAAACATATCGAAACCCGGTCCAGAAGAGAGTACCAGCAAAGACGCCAGAGAGATAGGGCTATACCAGTTAGTATGCATGTCAGATATGGGAGAGGTTAGAGGGGAAATACCGTCTTTTGCAGAATTCGATATTCCGAAAGACTGCGGTTCGCAACCTGCTGCCCAACCCACTGCAAGGCAAATACCGCAGCAACGGAGAAAGGAACGGCAGCAAAAATGGACAAGCTGCTGAGGACCCAGAGCCCGACGAGGATCATGAAGAAAGGCCAGAGGAAGAAGAACTTGGACATGATGTTCTTGTTGCGGAGATACCCCGTCAGACCGAGGGGAAGTACCCTGGCGTTGCCCGCCGTATCGTAGCCGGCCTCGTCAAGTGCGCGGTGCCAGACGCGCGTGGTATTCATCTCTCCCGCCACTGTCGCGGGAGACTTGCCGTCGCGGGTCGGCACGAAGCGGTCGGCGCCATACTCGAGCAGCTTCAACACGCAGGGCAGCGACCCTCGCACCAGCGCCCAGTGTAGTGGCGTTAGGCCGCCCTCATCAGTCGCATTCACGTTGGCGCCCCAGCGCAAGAACAAGTCCACGCAAGCCGGATATCCCTTGTATGCCGCCCACATCAGGCCCGTGTGGCCCTGCTGGTCCAGCACATCGACAGGAATCTCCTGGTGCAGCAGCAACACCAGCAGAAATGCGTTACCATCGATCGTCGCCAGATGCAGGATATTGTATCCCTGCACGTCTGTCAGGAGCGGATCCGCCCCGTGCTGCAACAGCAGGTTGACAATATAGTAGTGGCATCGCTGTGCTGCCCACATTGCCGGCGTGGCCACGGACTCGCCTCCCTTTGCATTTACATCGGCACCGGCATCCAAAAGAAACTTGCACATCGTATATTGGTTATTGATTGCCGCCCACTGGACAGTCAGCACAGTACCTCCGGCAGAAACACCTCACTCATCTAGATATCAGGCATAAACACCCCGGGAAAGACGGAAACTCACGTGTAAAGGGGTGATTCCCTCCTCGTCTCTGTGGTTCGCATCAAACTTCTTCGTATCAAATAATTTCTGCATCGTTGCCACCTCCCCCAACCGCGCCAGCTGCATAATATCCTCCTCGAGAGGGAGAGCGCGCTCCGAGCTACCTCCGGAGTCGGGCCCAGCCCCAGTCCCAACACCTGTATTCATGTTCTTCAACTCGACGGCGGCATTCTGCTGCGTGACTTTTGGCAAGGCTACAGAGCCCTTGACGCTAGGTATCGAGAGGGAGGTATTCGGCGTTGCGGCGGTGGAAGCAGTGCTGTGGTGTTGTTGAGGATCGGTTGACGGACTCTTCGACGCCATGGTGAGTCCGGCCGTGAAGATTTAGTAAAACGATTACCGAGTGCGTTATAAAATAAAAAACAAGAAGAGAGGCGCTTGAAACATTTCTATAATGGAAAGGTAATGCTGAACTGCAAAGGCAAAGAAAAGAGGCTGAGCACAGAGGTTATGGAGTCGGCTTCAGGCGCTGACGAACTTCGAGGCCTCAAAACCTTCCCTGCAGAATGCTCAGGCCAACTCGCAGACACGATTCTAGAGCGACTACAGACTTTACTGGATATGAGGTCTTTTGGTACATAATTTCTACAAGTTTATCCGTTTAGAACTTGTCGCCGAAAATAATATTATGAATAATTCCAGCGTGTACACTGTACAATTACTGCGAAATATTTCAGAAGGCGGTCTAGGCAGAAGGATAGGCAGTGGGCCTTCAAACAAGCTCCGGGCTATGTACATGATCTCAGCAAGGCAGAACAATTAAATGGCTATAGACAAGGGTATATTTTTAGAACATATGTTCAAAGAGGATGTTGACAATGGTTGCTCAAGAGGATGACCGACTCAAGAGTCACGGTGTGTTTGAGATGTCCGCCCGAAGTGACCGGACCTCGGTATCGAGCGTCCGCGCATCGACGCGGAGCTCAAAGTCGGCGAGGAAGCAAAAGCTAATCTCGAGGCGAGAAAGCTCGCGCTCGCTGACGCCGCCGACCTTGGCGAAGCGGGAGTGCGGATAGCTCAGGTCCTCAAGGGCCTTCATCGCGACACGCAGGCCTGCCAGCACAAGTCGGTGCATGTTCCGCGCGTTCACTTGCAGGATGCGTTCAACGGCCACGATCCGCGTGATATAGATGTTTGTCGCCAGGTAGACCGCCGTCGACATCGGGCAGTACCGGTGCAGTCGCTGCAGGTACTCCTTGAGCGGGATCGGGGGCTCGCGCTTCGAGAGGAACCGTCTCGCCAAGATCCCCTGCTGTGCTCGGTCTCGTCCGCCACAGTGTTCGTCGCCATGGACGCTGTGTGCGAAATGGAACTCGGAGACGTTGGCACGCTCCCCGCCCTCCCCGATCGATTCACTGCTCTTTCTCCTCTGAGGGGTCGTAACGGCACTGTCGCAGGCAGAGCGAACCAGTCTGTCGATATTCTCGCATAACATATCCAGCGCTTCAGCTGTGGTAAGTTCGAAGACCTCCGATGCCCCGTTTACCATCCCGGGTGCCTGCCCTGCGTCTTTGCAGGTCAAGCATTGTGAGACTTGCCTCTCTTCTCCTTTTTCTGCGTTTCCACCATCTCCTCCCGGGCGATGATCCATCCCCCCAACCACTTCCCACTCGTATATAAGGGCTTCTCAGTACTGTTTTGGTCCAGATAGCCCCGATTTTGCAGGTATAACGTCGCCTCCCGGTATCAATGGCATTGTAGGCCAAGCCTAGAACTGTCACCAAGCGAACGAGGGATAGCACTTCGGAGCAGACGAGGGAATATCAATATCGCAATCGATTAGCAATGCTTAAGTCTAGATCATCGTAACTGTCAGTAATAAGTTCCTGCAGAAATAAATAATCAACATGCCTCCTCTTAGGGAACAAGTGGGGGGGGGGGGGGCACCAACACCGGAGACAGCACGGACAATCCGCGGCAGACGAGCTAAAGAATTAAACACAGTGAGATTCCCTGTTAACTAATGGCTAATCCGTGGGATGAGTAAGGCGCCGTCGATCAGGGGTTTCTTCAAGAGTTGTACGTTGTGGTGAGAGACTTGAGGCAGATACGGAGATCTTACCCGCTTCTTTCTTGCCATATACGTTGGGCTGAACCTCGGCTCGTTATGTGCTCCGTACCTGCAAAAACAACAACACAACGCCTGATGTATTCTATCCAGATGCTAATAACAAACCGGTTTAGGGGAATAAGGGGAATAAACAGAAACAAGAAAAAACTATAAACCCCTCTATCCATGCGCCTTGATGATTTGACATGATTGAAAACAACACAGGGACTGATAAGAAGTTCACAGAATGTGATTATGCCGGGAAACGCCAGGGAAAGGATCAGACAGGAAACAAAAGGGAAAAAAAAAAAGACCAGAAATCAAAGCCACCGCCAGGACCGTCGACGAGAGTCTCCAGAGACGGCTCGCTCGCGTTCCTGGAGTCCGCGGCGGGCCTCGTCGAAGATACGGTTGCCCGCCTCGGAGAGCTGGCGGCGACCTTCCTGGATAATGCGTGGCCGGATACGGCTCGTCATTCGGTTTGAAGTAGAGGGTGGTGGTTGTGACCAGAGTCCCCGTCCAGGAGATGGCTGCCTCCAACGCCGGGTGTTGTTTGTCCTATACTCGCTGCGACGCTCGTTGTCGGGTTCCTGCCAACGGACTGCCGGGCTGCGGCCTTGAGCAGAAGGTTCCCTGGTTGTCACATATGAGTTTGCGCGCCTGGAATCACGGGTATCGGGGCTGCGTGGAACCCGCACCTGTCCAGGTCTAAGAGTGTCGTCTTCGCGGCGAGAATATCCCATTCCGTCCCGTGCTGACTGTCCCATCCCACCTGTCGGGTTGTGGATTTCCACTGGAACTGAGGCTCGTCGGCGCCGGACAGGCTCGCGCTCAACAACTGGGCTTGGGGGTCGGGGAGCCCGTGGCCGTGGAGGAGGTAGAGGCGGTGGTGAGAACGGTAATCCCCCCGAGCTTCGTGATGGCGGCTCAACGATGGTGACCCGTCTAGACGGCCGCTCAGGAGTATAATAACGCTCCTCGGGAAGTGGCTGGTGTGCAGGTCGCCGACCATCTTCTTCGCCAGCCAGCTCGCGCGTGTCGCTAGCTCGTCCGAAGGAAGGTAGCCGGAATCGAACTCTACTACCTTCTCCACCGCTGGAGACTATCCGTCCACGAGTCGTTGGTGGCGCTGATGCATCCCGCGGCCTAACTTCGACTATCGGATGGCTTCCCTGCGATCGCGAGGTAGACGGTCGAGGGATCCGATTCGGTTCAGGATGACGGGCATGGTAGGATGCGCCATGGTCATAAACCCGAGTGCGCCGGCAGGCCCCAGAGCCAGTATAGCTGAGAAGACACCGCTTTGTCACCTTCTTCCTGCGGATTTCGTGGGGATAGATTTCGGTATAGAGGTCGACGACACACATTTTCGACTTTCTTCTCTTTTCTCCTTTCTCAATTAACACAGTGACGCACTTTCTGTCGATGTCAGTATGACTAAACGCAAAGGAAACTCACAAATGACGAGCTTTTTTTCTCTCTTTTTCAAGGTATTTCTCTCACAGCAGAACACCGGACAGCAGGCTGCCTTCTATTCTCGTTCCCTTCTCACACCGCAGAACAAGCAAATGACAGTTGCAACTAAAATGCAGACATGTGGTCGAAGTCATGCGTGGAGAGCTCGAAATCTGGTGATCAGGACGAGGACACTGGTCTTTTATAGAGGAGCCGATGGGCAGCAATCCGAGGGAACGGGGCCTACAAAGAAACCATTGTCGAAGGGGGTGCTTTATTGAGCGAAGCCTGGCATTTCTTTCTTTTGATCTTTCTTTCTTCAATCCGACAACGAGCAAAAAACCGTGCAGTTGTCTCTCTTTATACTGCCGTCCTTGCTCCTGATCACACGAGTATCTAGACAAAGGGACCGACAATATGCACGTCATTGTAGCTCGAGTAAGCAGACTGGGGCCCTGCAGCCTAGAAAAAATCCCCCCTGGTCCAACCGGACGCAAAGAGATCCCCAACACTCAGGTATAGTCATTTGTGTGCGCTCTCCAAGAAAGACCCTGCTGGACATGGGAGGTGTGGCTGATCGCCATCACGAGGCGCAGTCCAAGTCAGCCGGGGAATTGATTGGATGCAAAGCGACCCTGGACAATAGGACAATGGCAGCCGACAATAAAGACCATTGTTATCACAGCTCAAGTCCGTATGCTCTAGAAAGCAGACGCCGCAATGTTTGCGATACTGCTTCATCCTTGAAGTCCCCCCCCCGGTTGTGCGGCAATAATTCAGGTCGAGTTTGCTATTCTTCTTCCCCTTTTCATCTATTCTTGCTTTCTTTCTCTTATTTTTTACTCTTCTCTGTCTTTCTTTATTGTTAAGTTCGATTGTTTATGATTGTTATTATTATTATTGTTTCTCACAAGAGTCAAATACTCGATTCCCGTGACCACCACAGTAGGAGACAGGGGCCAAAGACGCCTTGTGGCTGATATCTGACGATCCGAGGCGCTGCGCTCACAACGTTGGGAGGTAAGTTTTGTGAAGGAATCTTGGGAGAATCTTTGACTCGATTGTTCTTGAATCTTCCATATCGATGAAATGCCTAGCTATCAGTAAGTAGGCTGACAGTAGACTGGCAGCCACGATACTTTTCTAGCGGAATTGGGTGCCAGAACTTGACATACAGTCGAAATCATTGGGTATAGTTAAATGTATTACCTGTATTGATTTGGCGTGAATCACGTCCACCGTTCTATAAATCTTCCGTGTTGCCGGTCGTCCTGGTAGAGGGCGTCGAGTTTCAGTCCCTCCATTCCTCTTCGCAGGGTTCCCAGCTCCTTCTCCAGCCCAGCAAGCCGTGAAGCTTGATCCCTGCTCGACAGCGACGCTTGGAATTGCGAATCCGCATGGAGAGCGGAGTGGAGCAGCTGGGATGCACAATCAGTCGCATGGAGCTCCGCGGCTAGTGGCGCATCTGCGGCGACTGCAAAATGATGCTGGCCGTCCAGCATATGAGCTTTTTGGTCGCTGAGCACGGCTTGCTGTGTCTGCGATTGGACCGCAGCTTCACTGGGTATCCCCAGGCGGCGCAGCAGGCTTTCCAGAGCCGGCATGTCTTCGCCATGGCTGCTACCCTTCATGGGAGAGCTGAGGAGCAATGAAGATGGCCCGGCCGACCGTCGCAACATTGTTTCTCTGCGCGACCGTTTGTTCTTAGGTTTTGGAACCTCTATTTCCGACTGGTAGCTGGCGAGAAGCGCCTGTGTGGTCTTGTAGGACGACTCACGTACTTCCAGCCGTTCAGTCATGTCTGCTATCGTAGCCGTCATCTGCATAACTGCCTCAAGGCCCTGTTTTCTTTACGTCAGTCCGGTTTCCCAACATCTGGAACATATTTATATCCACCCACCCTTTCTAGTCTTTGATGGGAGACAAGGCGCATTCGAGAGTCCTGCTGCTGAAGGCGCTGGATGATAGGCTCGCCGAACTGCTGCTTGGTCGCCATCGAGGCCAGAACATCGATTTCCGGGTACAAAGAGTCCAGCTCCTCTTCCAAGGCAGCAACAATCGTCTCCATGTCAGTGACGGTGTGGCCAGCATCCGAATTGCTATCCTGTGTGGCTTCCAGGTATAGTCTGTCTAGCCGTCCGCGAATCTCTTCACCCAGGAATTCTGCGAGAGCAGAACATAGCTCGTCGACCTGCTCGGCAGCAATACTTCCTTCTGCTGACCTGGTCACTGCAAGGCTTTCCTCTAGCGCTGCCAGCGTCCGGTCATCTTCTTTGAGCCTCGCTGTCACGGATGCAAGCATTTTCTTGCCCTCTGCTGCCGCCGTGTCTACTTCATTTGCCAGTTTGGTTCCCAATTCATGCGATAAATGACCGGACTAACCATTAGCACTCTGCTTGAGAAATATTCACATATATATAATGTCGAGTCTTACAGCAACATCAATGGCCTGCCTGGCTGATTCGTGCGTTTTGCGCACCGAGACGGTGTTCCTTGACCGGCGTTGACCTCGTTCGCATTCAACGCGCAGATTCTTGTCCAACGCATCGCTCAGCAACGTAAGCGTCTCAGTCTGCTTCTGGATCGCTACCGACGAATCTCTCAGACTGCCGATCGCGTCTTGAATATGACGGTCCTGAAAGACCGGCACGGCGTCGACACTCACGTTCTGGAGCAGTGTCTGGAGAGTCCCTGAAGCTTCCAATTTTGAATACCTTGTCCAGTCAGTCGAGAATTCCACGAATCGGGCGATAAAGCATGTACAATTGAAGCTCCTCTTGCGAGAGCAGCGTCTCGCCCGTCAGATGCTCAGCGACCCATTGATCATGGCTGTAGCTCTCTGTAGTCCCACGGCTGAACGCGGCCTCAATCTCGTCTCTCTTGATGGGCAAATTGCGTGCTTTCAATGCTGAGATCGCAGTCTCCGCTGCATTGCCCGACGATTCCATTGTGCTCTGTACTACATATATCAGAATGACAGCATCACTGCGTAGGTATTTATCGGCAGTGGTACGTAAGGCGGTGATCCGAGAAACTAGGATGAACCACTTCACAGTCTAGTCAGTCAGCAGGAGTCGCTCCTCAGCACATCGTCTTCTTCTTTCTGCTAGATATTCTCAATCATACCTCGTTAGATGGGTACTCCTGGTGTTTTTCGTGTGTTTATTTCTTGACTCTACCATGTTCTGCGTTCGTCATCGTTTCCAGACGTTACAGCCGACGCTAACCGCAAAACTCCTCCAGACCCAAGGACATCATGAGGGGGGTCTTTTTGCCAGGTTTTTTCGCCTCGTTGAGTCAGGAGAGAAGAATCTAAAAATTGAAGAGTGCGGACTGGTTTCTTGAACAGTCTTGTATATCAAACATGAGCTCTATCACGACCCCCACCGTCCCTCCGGTGGCGTTGGATTCCATCACGCAGCACATTGGCAATACCCCTCTTGTTCGACTGAACCGACTCCCGCAGAGCCTAGGCATCGATGCTCAGGTTTACGCAAAGCTGGAATACTTCAATGCGGGCGGCAGCGTCAAGGACCGCATTGCCCTGCGGATGATCGAGGAGGCCGAGCGCAGCGGTCGCATCAAGCCCGGCGACACACTGATCGAGCCGACGAGCGGTAACACAGGCATCGGTCTGGCCCTGGTGGCTGCTGTCAAAGGCTACAAGACGATCATCACGCTGCCGGAGAAGATGTCGGCGGAGAAGGTGTCAGTGCTGCGTGCACTGAACGCCACCATCATTCGCACTCCCACCGAGGCGGCCTATGATTCCCCCGAGTCGCACATTGGTGTCGCCCGACGCCTCGAGAAGGAGCTGCCGAACGCCCACATCCTCGACCAGTACGGCAACGAGAATAACCCGCTGGCACACGAGCTCGGGACTGCGGAGGAGGTCTGGGCGCAGACCAAGGGCCAGATCTCTGCGATCGTAGCCGGCGCGGGTACGGGAGGTACTATCACCGGGTTGGCGCGCGGGCTCAAGAAGCACAATCCAGCCGTCAAGGTCATTGCGGCCGATCCTCATGGCTCGATCCTGGCTCTGCCTGCGACGCTGAACGATGAGCTCGCCAACCAGCCGTATAAAGTCGAGGGCATCGGTTACGACTTCATCCCGGATGTTCTGGACCAGCAAATCGTGGACAAATGGTACAAGACCGCCGATAAGGAGTCGTTCCAGTACGCTAGGCGCTTAATTGCCGAAGAGGGTCTTCTGGTCGGTGGAAGCAGCGGTAGCGCCATTGCAGCCCTTGTCAAGGCCGCGCAGGACAACACTTTCACCAAGGACGATGTCGTTGTCGTCATCCTACCAGACAGTATCAGAAGCTATCTGACCAAAGTAGGTTTATCTCTCACTCACACACACACACACTCTCTCTCTCTCTCTCTCTATATATATATGGGTATACTTTTATTGACTTACGTTCTAGTTTGCCGATGATGACTGGCTTGCAGCCAACGACCTCCTCCCCGTCCCTCAAATCACTCCCCTCTCCCCCAAGCTCCAGCCACAAGACGCCTTCGGAGGGGCCAAGGTCAAGTCCCTGCGCCTGAAACCTGTCACAACCGTCCAGTCCGACCTGCCCTGCGACGCAGCCATCGAGGTCATGCGGGACAAGGGCTTCGACCAGCTGCCCGTCCTGGCACCCTCGGGCCGCCGCCTCGTCGGCCTGATTACCCTGGGCAACGTCCTGAGTCGGATGACGCACGGGCGCGCGACGGGCAAGAGTCCCGTCTCGGAGGTCATGTTTGATTTCTCTAAGATCTCCGAGGTGGTCACGGACCCGCGCGACCTGCCCATGCAGACCATGACGGACTCCCATCTCTCTGGCACAAAGCAGGGCAAGGGCCGCAAGTTCACCGAGATCACCATGGAGACGCCGCTCAGCGTGCTCAACCGCTTCTTCGAGTGGAACAGTGCCGCCGTTGTCACACAGCGCGACGAGAACAACGTCATTAAGCCCGTCGCGGTCGTCACCAAGGTAGACCTGCTCACTTGGATGCTCCACCACGCGCAATCCTAGATCAACCATGTGTACTTGGTGTGGTTGGTTTTTCTTATGTTTGGCGTTTATTCTGTTTCACGTCACGGGCAACATCATTCCGGCTCAACACGGATAGAACCAGTTATCTAGATGTCATATCCATGCTATCCTCAACGTCATGAATCATGAACGGTGGAAATCGATTTATGTAACTCAATTATTTCAATAACTATCTTATATGCTTTTGCTTTAGCCAAGACGTCTAGTAATAGTGATATACTCGTCAGTATCATCAGTTCTTTTTTACATGTTACAACCACATTCCAATCCATTCTTCCCATTTGCGTACCCCGGACCCCCGCTCAGCATTGCTCTCATCCTTGACAGCACCCCCGACGACATCAACCTTGACGCCGACCTCGTCTTCCAGAAGCTTGAAAGTGAACTTCTCCTGCCCCTCGTCATTCCCGAGGATCTCATCCTCGCCGCCCGTCTCTCCAGAGCCAGCGCTCGCGTCCATGAGACCCTTGCTGCGGAACTTGCGCACCCGCTCGATCTCCGCCTCGAGCTTCTCCCGCACCGAACCGGCGGGCAACGCGGTGAACAGATCTTGCTTGTTCGCCGCCACCAGCACGGGGACCTCCGCGGCAACTTTCGCGGCCGATTTTCCCTTGTCTAGAGCTCGTTTCTGCAGGACAAACAGCACATCGTGCAGGTACGTGGCCGTGTCTCTCAGTGCCTCTTCTTCAGAGAGAGCCGCGGCGTCAACCATAAAGACCACAGCACGCAGCCTCTCTCTTGCTTCCTTCGACTGGGTCATCTCTCGTAGCTGCGAGAGCCCCTGTGATTCACGCAGCTTGCCATGGCCGGGGGTATCCCGCACACGGTACCGCACCGGGTTCTTCGAGATATCCAACAGAGACGAGTCGTTGACGGAACGGTAGCGGTTGGAAGCCGCTGTGACAGTGGCAGGCAGAGCGACGGTCGTCAAGGTCGAGGTCTGCGATGTGTGGGTCAGGGGTTCGGGTTTAGGGATACGAGACGATTTCGATTCGAGCTATGAGGTCAATATCCAGTTGTAGTTGAATCGTACACTCCATATATCTCTCGACCTACCAAGGAAAAGAGAGCGGTCTTCCCGCCTCCACTCGGTCCCAAGAGCAAGAAATTGCGCAGGGGAGGGGACGCTGCTGCTCGAAAAAAGATCATGTGTAGCAAGACCGGCAGCCCAAAGGCGATGACGATGGCAACGGCGATGGCAATCGGGTTGCCGTCAAGCAGGTTGGTGAGGACCCCCCCCACGGAGGTCCAGCCTACCTGACCCTCCATTCTTGACGCAACGAAAGTCCTTGACAAGAGACGAGATCTGAATCGTCTCCAAAGACATAGACTGGAGGTGCGGTCAGGGTCTTTGGGGGGGAGGAAACAAGCTCGTCCTTAGGCCGCCCGCTATTTTTATCAATCAGGTTTAGCCCGCCCCCTCGTGCGTGCCGATGTTACGTACATTTACCGTTAATCAAAGCGACACATTCTCAAAGTCAAGGGCCAGGGTTCTCACCAATCATTCATTTAAAACCGACACGCTCCTTTTTCTGCTATTTTTTACTGTCACAGACCCGTTGTCCTCCAAAATGAAAATCATTCAGTCGCTGCCGTTCCTGTTCGCATGGTTGTCCGCTGCCCTTGCAGACATCGAGTTCACCGACCCGCCGGCTGGGGCCATTATCCAGGGCAACCATGTCATCACGGCGCATTGGAAGGACTCCGGGCGAGATCCAAGGCTGTCGGATTTGACGAAATACGACCTGTATCTTTGCGCGGGGGGTGACAAGTCTGGCACCTATGTGAGTTGGCAATCACTGCGATCAATCACCCTTGTTTCAATCAAAAGTTTCCCGCCTCTGACTCTGGACGTTTGCGCAGGAGGAGGTTGCAGTGCTGATGAGCTCCATCTCTTTTGCCCGTGGAAATTCTGTGTCTTTCCAGGTCGACCCGGAAGTTGGAGGAAGTGAAGACAATGCATAGTATGTCCGGCCCTGGGGGTTTACTCGAGCGACACCTTGCTTGAGAGGAAATAGAATAAAATGCGACCAGCCCTCTGACAGACACATAGCTTCCTGAAAATGGTCTCCATGGGCCCGAATTCGGTGGTCACCAATTTCTCGAAACGGTTCACACTCCAGGGGATGACGGGCTCATTCTCTTCGCGCGTGCAGTCCGGCATTCTCTCAATCACAGACACCGACGGACCAGGCAACAAGGACGGCACCAAGCACATTGATCTTCGGAAGAGGCAGAATACTGGTCAATACACGGTCGCCTACGAGTACCAGACGGGTTTGACGCGCTACGCCCCGATGGCGAAGAAGCCCGGCACCACCATCACTGCGAAGACCGCCTCCAGACAGTACCCTACCAGCTCGTACTCGCTTGCGACTACCTACCTGTCTGCTGCGACCATCGTCACCACCCTTTCTGCTTCAGAGACATACTCGACTTCCAGTATCGAAAACACGGTCAGTATTATGCCCTTTGAAACCTCATACAAAACTAATGCTTTCTATAGGCTTCCGCTGCCGGGCAACCTACTGCCACTTCCGACTCGGACAAGAAAATGAAGAGATGGCTCGAAAGATGGCAGGACTGATTGTCCTAACCCCTCCCCCTTGTTTTTTTACCCTCCATGGAGTTATACGGTGAATTGGGCGGCCTCGAGTAATATGTCCACTTGCAGGTCGACTGCGTCTTTGGATATCCTTACTGGATATCATTATCATTCCCCAGCGTTTTAATGGATATCTTGATTGGGTTTACTAGGTATTATGTCAAGTATTAGAATTTTAGTTAAGTCTACTCATCAATAGAACTTGAAAAAATCAAAGTTCAATCTCAATGAAATTATGTTCAGCTTTTATTATCTCGTCATGCGTGTGAAGTTAAATAGAAAGACATGGGCTCATCCACAGGCTCTTTGTGCAAATCTATGATTCTTCTATAAACACATATGCATTGCTCATGGTCAGTGGCAAGGCGTGCTCCAAATTCCAATTCGTTATACCATCAGATCCAATGCCGGGGTGACAGGTCGGCTCAGCTTCTCTTCAGTGAGGAAAAAAGATATATTCTCCCGCAACGCAACATACTCACTGTCCGCGTAACCGAGCACCGACTGGATATGCGAACTGCGGTGTCCTTTTATCCGGGATATTTCAGCACTGCTATAGTTCACCAGCGCCCGTCCGACTTCTTTCGGCTCCTCTCCTTGGTGAGGGAAGTCTCCATTGAGTGCGGAGGGAGAGGGCTTCTCTACGACGACCAGCCGGACGGATTCCTGTTGCCCGAAGTGGCCTTCCACGGCCAACACGCCGGCTGGAAGTAAGCTAGCCTTGTTCTGTAACGCATTGTAGGCGCCCTGGTCGATATATATGGTGCCGTGGGGTTTCAGGCCGTGGAGCAGCCAGAAAGACCGGGATTGTATCGGGGTATCGGAGCGAAGAAAACAAGTGTGGAGTGGTGGCGCTGGCAGAGACGAAGAGTCGGCATCATCGCCTGATGAATCTGATTGTGATCTCCCTCGTGACTGCTGGAGGTAGTTCACGATTTGATGGACGTTTCCGGGCTTCGAGCTTCTTGTGATAATCGTCGTAACGCCAGCGCTGGTTGCGAGTTTAGCGGCCACGATCTTCGTGCTCATGCCACCAGTACCAAGGGAGGAGCCAGCCGTCGAGACATCGGCTTCCAGGCTGGAGATATCGGACACTATTTCAATGGGTCGTGCTTCGGGATTGCTTCGTGGGTTCGCTGTATAGAGACAGTCTACATCTGTCATTAAGAACAGGTAGTCGGCTTTCACCATGGCTGCGGTGATCGCTGATAACGTATCGTTGTCACCAAATTTGATTTCCTAGATTTTGTTCATCAATACCTCGAATCAATTCACAGATGAGAGCGAATCTTACTGAAACAGCCAAGGTATCGTTCTCGTTGACAATGGGAATTACACCCATGTCGAATAATTGCGAAAAGGTATTCTGAGCGTTGACATATTGTGTCCTCTATTTAGAGTTAGATGGAATCAAGAGAATGCTTCAAGTGCAACTCTTACATCTGCGATATCGTTTCTCGTCAAGAGAATTTGCGCGACGGGAATACGAAGATGCGTGAAAAGACTGTCCCAGAGGCTCATGAGTCGGCATTGGCCGACGGCAGCCAGAGCCTATACATAACTGATTAGCGAGACCAGACAGAGTATCCGACTTCCCCTTCAAGCCGTACCTGAATGCGAGGAATATGTTTCGGGCGTTCATCTATATCCATCCTCCGCAACCCCACGCCCACGGCACCCGACGAGACGAGCACCACCCGATGTCCATCTTTGCGCAGTTTTGCAGCGGTCTCAACAATCAGTGTCAGGATGGAAAGAATTGGCTCATGCGTCTTTTCGTCGACAATAGAAGTCGTTCCTGTCGGTTATGGAAATGTCAGTATATCGCCTTGTTAAAAAGAATGCTTCCCCCACCTAGTTTTATGACAATGGTAAGAGATTCGGATTGCTTCATGGTGGTCGGCCAGACGCCCCAGGGCGCATCAACAGCAGACAGTCCAAGTCTCAACTCTCAACAATTCTTCACCCCAAACACGATCGATTCTGTCCAAATAACTCTAGTTGGCCGTGTCTATGACTCAAATCCATGAAGTATGTTCGGAGCCATGTTCTGCCAGCCACTACCGCCCCGATGTTGTGGGGGATTGATTATCAAGGGCTCAGCAACTTCTTGCGGAGCATCCACATTTAGGCTGGTTTCCTTGCTGGCATTGGATGTGAATAATGGTCGACTCGCAGCCGCCGAACGCGTCTCCGGCACCGGGGGAGAATAATAAAGACACTGGATACATCGCAGGCGATGATGCGTGGACACAATGGCGGAACATCTTCGCTATAATGACCGGGAATATGACCGATAAAGGCAAGGAGCAGTTCTTCCTCGCACGGGATATACGGAATGAAGCGGAAGACTGCAAGCGCTGCGAAACCCAACGCGACTATCTGCTGCAGTACAGTGAGTCTTGACGTCCAATACACGTTCAACCTCCAATCTTGGAACCTTTTTCGTGGCTAACGGGCTCCTCCCCAAAAATTGCGCAGGCCCAGTCATCCGCTTCCTCAGCGACAACATTAGGCAGCTCGGAGGCGACCTGTCAAGCCATAATATCTACTGCCGGCGATGTCCGGATCGCAAAGGCGGAGGCTTTGATCCTGAGTATGGGATACTGGTGTGCGCCAACCATATGAAGGACCAGGGTCATCTGGAAGATACAATGGCGCACGAGATGGTTCACGCCTATGATCATCTCAGATTCAAGGTCGACTGGGCAGATAACCTGCGTCATGCGGCATGTGCAGAGGTGAAGCTTTCCATGGCATTATTAAGAAATGGTTGCTAATCAGATGACTTTACATCAGATCCGTGCCAGCTCTCTGAGTGGAGAGTGCCGATGGGCTCGAGAATTCTTCCGGCGAGGCCAATGGAAATTCACACAGCAGCATCAGGAGTGCGTGCGGAGGCGAGCCATCCTTTCGGTCCGAGCGCGCCCCGGCTGTCAAGATGAGAAACACGCCGAGAAGGTGGTCAACGAGGTGTGGGATAGCTGTTTCAGAGATACTCGGCCTTTCGATGAGATTTATCGATAGCTAATGAGGTTATCTCATGGACTCTCTCCCCTCTCCCACCGCACTGGGGACTTTTTAAAGCATTTGTACACATACTTCATTTCCACGATGTATAATTATTACCTGGAGTTTGGAAAAAGACAGGCCTGGAATGGGAAAATATCCAATGCATATGGTTACTGTAATGTCACAGAGTCATTCCTAAGCTATGCCAGAGAGAAAAGGGGAGGAAAACGCCAGCCAGAATGAAAGCTCGAGAACCCTGGTAAATCAGTCCCAACTCCACACCCAAAACACCGTGAAAAGAAAAATGAAGTAGAAGTTCCTTCTGTAGAGCCATGACAACTGTAAATGGAATCCAAGATAAGGCTGATGCCCGCTCACGCCTTGCCACTCTTGGAAGACCCAGAACTCCTGTTCGTTGGGCGTTCGTCTTTGGTACAATGCTTCAGAATCCAAGGGTGGCGCTGGATCTCATCGAGCGGAATGCGCTTTTCGGGGTCAAGGACAAGTAGCTAAACCGAGTAAGCAACTGGCTCTTGTGAATATTCAGAAGGATCTCACTTACTCTCTTAATCAGGTCCCTGGCTTCAGGACTTACAAAGGAAGGAATCGACATGTCTGCTCGAGCAATTCGACGCTGTGTCATGACGGGAGTATCTTCAAACGGGGCTTCCCCAACAAGAAACTCGTAGGTCAAGACACCCAGACTCCATAGGTCAACCTTTTCGTTGTAGAAACTATCCTGAGAGCCAGGCTTGAGCATCTCCGGGGGAAGATAATCAAGCGTTCCGCACATGGTCTGTCGACGATTATTGGGTGCGTGCACACTCCAACCAAAATCACTGATTTTAATTTCCCCGTGGATGCCGACCAGAATATTCTCTGGCTTGATGTCGCGGTGCATGACATGCTTCTTGTGCAGGTATTTCAGCGCAGCAGCCATCTGGGCGATGTAGTGAGCAGCTTTCCATTCCGGGAATCGGTGCTCCTTCCGCAGGTGTTTGTAGAGCTCTCCCCGGCCGGCGTACTCAAGAATCAAAAAAATCCGCTTGCTATCTTGAAAGTGTCCGTAAAGTCTAAGGACATTCGGGTGTCGAAGATTGCTTTGGATCTCGATCTCTCGTCGAACCTGCTTTTGCACTCCCCCCTGCTGCAGCTCCGACTTGTGCAACACTTTGAGCGCGCAAACGAAGCCAGATGACCTTTCCTTTGCTAGGTAGACTCGCCCAAACTTTCCTTTGCCTAAAGGCTTGCCAATCTCAAACATTCCGAGATGTAAGTTCCTTGGTTCCAAGGGCTGCGCCGCCAGCGACGCGGAGGGCCGCCCTTCTCTACTTTCATCGGAACCCTTGACGGGAGAAGAGGCGGCGTTTATCTTGGCTTCATTGGTGTTTTGTAAAGCAAGCTTCAGCAGGTTTGATCTATTAGGCATAGAATTCAACGGTGCGCCAGGACCGAGGCTTGATAGCGCCAGAGCCGTGGAAACGGGACCCTATGATCCAGAGATTAATTCGCAAATTCCATTGCTCGATCCATCTAGATGTACCTTGTGCTTCGTGTAATAGCTGGTATTGCTATTGATTTCATTCTCGTCCTTGACAGACAAGTGCTCAAAGCGAGCCTCCAGCGTCTTGGATGCCATGATGTCGACGAGAGCGAAGCGGGTGGCAAGAAACAAAAGGTCGAGTCGAGTCAGAACGACAAGAAGCAGGAGATTTGTTATCTGTCTTGAAGTGCTATAAGGAAACAGTCATTGTTGGTGGTTAGAAGGAGACTGAGAAGGAGAAGAGGTGGGTTTCTTTCGTGGAGCTGTTTACCTAGTTAAGCTATTGGCGTGTCGCCCCAGCAACCATCCAGTTCCGCTCGTTCCTCCGGCATCCAGACCAGCTCTCACTAACTAGACCACCAGACTACATAGTTATATGTTTGGCCTTCTAAACATCTCTCATTGCTTAAAGCTAGCAGGGACACCTGAATTTTTTCTATTTAAAAATTGTTATTTCATAAAGATGATTCAAAAAGAGCTGTGAAGCCTTAGCTACCCTATAATGCTATGATACTCCTCTATTCAGTATTACTACATAACTATTGAAGAGAGGGTTCTTATTCAAGTATTAGAAAACTTATGGTTAATTATTCAACCTATTTATTCACTAAGTATATTCATCAATTACTAGTTATAGGATACACCTTTACAATACCCTAAATTTGGTTGAAATCAGAGAAATTAGAGAGATATAGTTTAGCGCACCAGGCGTCAAGCTGTAAAACTGGCCCTTTATTGACATTATGCAGCTCTTCTTCTTAGGGTCATATGGCAGTCAGCCTGGAACTCCGTCCGCCGCAAAGAGCTTTGGCTAAAGGTGAGTCATTTCTAATGCTAGCAGATATCTAAAAATTAAAACAGGCCATCTGAGAATGATGTGGAAGGTTTTCAACCATTCAACTTATTTGCCCACGGAGTCGACAAGAGAGATACCACGGTGTGTATAGTACGTACCGACGCACGAGCTACGGACGACCTGAGAGCAAACACTGAAGGAATCAACTCTCAATTGGGCTACTCTTGCTATCCTAGGTCTCAAAAAGACAATAAATACATCGAAGATTGATTCTTTCAAAGGAGGAAGAATCGGATGTCAACAATATGGTCTACGCGTGTTGAATCGCCTGCTCAATTGCATGGCTGAAGTGCCAAGTGAAACAGCAGATGACCTATATACAGCAGTTTTCTACCTTATACTAGTAGAGTAAGAAATAAATAGCATGTTCCATCTGATATTGTTGTTATCTCTTACATATATGCATCGAGTTTCTGTATCTAGTAGACGCGTTGAAGTTTATAGGTGCTATCAAGACAATTACATACTCAGCTGAGGCTTAGTTTTTCCATCTTAGATAAGTATCAATTATACAATTCAACATCCTCCCTTCAATTCATAATAAGACCATATATGATCTGGTGTTATGCGTTAACATATACCTCAAGCGAGATATTGATATGATATTGATAAGGCAACTGTAATCATTATACTTATTAAGCATTGCTGCAGGCCTACAGCTGCCTACTTTATACAAGATAGCCAATTATTTTTTTTAAACAAAAATTCACATTAAGATTTTAACCAATTATCTCTTCATTAAGTTGTTCTGCAGCTGTATGAATTACAGGCGACAACAGGGAGACAGTGCCAGGCGAGACATTTTGACCGCGCGACATCATCACTCGACGATCTCCGCCGCATCTGCCCCTCATCACCTCAATCGCGATTTCTGAAGCGGCGATGTCCACCTTCTAACCCGGAGACACGCCGTCATGGTCATATAGATTCCTACACAGTATGTACGCGACATCTTTTGTCAGGCCTGTGTACTAATTACGCTAGCATATACATCCTACCTATCAGTAGTAATTGTCGATACTTGGCCAATCCATCCGACTCCATCATTATCATCATCTGCCACAATCAAGATGGCTCTCTCCCAGAGTGCAACTGCAATATCCACGATGAACCGCCCGGGTGTATCTCCAGCAGTGCCAAAGCCCAATTCGATAACCATCAACGGGTTTCGGATCACTACGCAGAAGCTACCGATTTTAAAAGCGAACCCAATCGAAGAGATGACCAAGAAACTAGGCATCACGCCCCCGGAGATGATATTCGGCGATAATTATGTGAAGATAGAATATGAGAAGGGAGGTTGGGGAATCGCATTCAGCGCTTTTGATGCGCTAGACCGGGTGGACAAAACGGGGGAGAGTATGCTGAAGGTTGCATATTCGAAGGAATGGCAGAAAAGCAGGTATAGTTCGATTCTTGCCTTTTTTTTTTCTTGTAGCACACTGTTAGACTGACCAATTTTAGGGAGAAAACCCATGATGGTATCAAGGAGGTTGTGAAGCCATTCGATTGGTCTTATACTACTGACTATCAAGGCACTCTTCACCCCGCCGCCCAGCCATTCACTCCGAGCGAGAAGCCCATTCCCGTCGAGCTACTCAAACGTCCAGATCCCATTCTGTTCTTCGATGATGTTATCCTTTACGAGGATGAGCTGGCGGACAATGGAATTGCCATGTTCTCATGCAAGGTTCGCGCTATGCCTGGCAGACTTCTTCTTCTCGCCAGATTCTTCATGAGGCTTGACAATGTGCTGTTCCGCATCCGGGATACACGAGTTTACATTGATTTCCAAACACGGGAAGTTATCAGAGAGTACCAGTCCCAAGAGTGCGACTACGAAAAAGTCCGACAGGTAATTGAATTCTATCTCATTAAATGTTCATTACTGACGACATGAAGACTCTCGTAGGCACAAGAGACGATGCACCTGCAGTCATGAGGGATCCGAACAGGCTCTCGACAATTCTCCCAGTCGTTGAAAAACGCCTAGAGAGTGTAACCCTCGGAGACCAATCATAATAAAAAAGTGATGTCTTGAATGAAATTTACGATTTCTATGAAAAAACCTCAATTGATAGCTGCATTTTGAGGGACGTTACTGCCTTGGCAAGGCTTTAAAGCCGAGAAAAAGCAGCCAGGAGTCTACTCTCAGAACTGGCAGGTGCCAAAGTAGACGACCTCGTCAGTCATTATTCAAAAATATAGAAAACATCAGAATAAGGTACCTAGTAGGTAGGTAGTAGAACAGAACAACCAATAGCCATCGTGGCCAATAAACATCGATTTGATGCAAATATGACAAACAGTGCAAACTAAGTTTCCACCGGGAATGGTTGTTATTGTAGCCATGATTTCATCGAAGAATATCTTTCCATAGAGTCCATACGCCTTTGGACATTTATAATGGCTTCAAAGTCTGTAAGCTTCTCGTCAGCTCGAGAACTTCGGAGAGTCCAACATGGATTGTCGCAGGTATGCCGAAGCTGGAAGCCAAATCTCATATCTTGCGCAAGAAGGAAAAAAAGCTAACGAACAATTGTTGCAGTTACTCAACACGACAAGCGCTTCAATTCCATATTCGATTCGCAGAAGCTATTCTCTGAGCGCTTCTAAAACCACCATTCCTTCCAGAAATACCGCAAGCTCACACCAATTCTTGTTGTCGACCCCCACTCTATGCGCCCAGCACCGCTACGCATCACAGCTAGCAAAGTCCATTCTGCCACGCCCCGGAACCGCAGCAGAAACATATGTGGCATATGGATTCACGCAGAAGTTGTTTGAGGCTTGTTCGAGCCAGGCCGACTATTCCATCCCAGACGCGTCCGGGAACAGAGACAAGATCCCGAAGAACGAAGCTGGCGAGGATATCGGAGTTGGAGATGGATGGTGGTATAAAGGTTCGTACATTTTCTGTTTACGCCGTCGAGGCTATTATTCAACGGAGACTAACGATTGGAATGGTCTCTATCCAGATCTTGGCCTCATTCCCACATTTTCAACCTGGTCTCAAGTCACGTTCTTGCACATGTATCTCCTGACCGTACGTCTCCGGGCATTACCAAGCCATGAAAGTGTCCAGACATATTCACGACACTTGATCGACCATTTCTCGCATAACGCCGAGCACCGCATGGACGTTCTGCACGGCTTCACGAGTCGTACGCTTCGTAACAAGTTCCTCAAAGATCTCTTTATCCAGTGGCGTGGCGTGCTTGCGGCTTACGATGAGGGACTCGCGAAGGGAGATGCGGTCTTGGGGGCAGCTGTGTGGAGGAACCTGTGGAAAGCAAACCACACAAGCCCCGACAACCAAGAAGATATAGACTGGACAAAAGTTGCCTACGTTGTTGCCTATATGCGACGGAGCCTCTATGAGCTCTCCAAGGTACATGAGGCGGATCTGATTCTTTCGCTAGAACGACACGCCGGAAAACCTGGCATCTTTGGTATTACCGAAGATGACAAGAAATTGGTGGAGACCGGACGGTAAAGTCTGGCGTCGAAAGATTTAATTGTATATTGACAAGGCTTATTCTACCTTCCTCGCTGTATGAATATGTTTTTTTTTGTTTAATCACCAACATTACTCCTAATCCTCTGATTCAACTTTTTCATCGCCTATATGTCATGGTTTTGTATGGTTCTAAATCGGATTGAAGAATCGAGACTCCCGAAAAATGCAAACAATGAGACTTTTTGTTCAAGCAGGATATATAACCCTACTAGCCAAGGAGATCCTTCTCCACCATGCCACGGCAGATGGGATGATAGAACGACTTATACTCGTTAAAAGTGGCTACTGCGAGTTCGTAATTCATCTTCTTCAAGCCACGGTAACTGCGTTACTGGATCAGCTTTGGCCAGAGAATCGATATCACGATAGCAGGTGGTTTCTATGATAGCAGGAATAATAACTTACAGTGGTCTCACGAACTTCATGCGGCCTATCTGACCAAGAAGCTGCCTCGTCGGCTCAATGACACTCTCGTCGTTCGACTGCATGCCAACTTGGAAATAGAGATTGGAAACTTCAATGTTCTCGCTCTTAGCGAGTCCGTAGACATCTCCCAACAGTTTCGACGAATCCGCACTAAGAGGCTTGTCGGAGAGAAGGAGTTTCTCCAGAAAGACCACAATTTGGTTTGCCGTAAGATCCTGGATATCACTGACGTCGGGTTTGAATGAGGAACCGGGTAGGGACAGCCACTTCTCGGCGAGGGTATACACAACATCAACGAGCGAGGTGTCAAAGTCTGGCTTGGGAGGCAGGCCAGGTGAGTAGAACCATGTATCCCAATCAACCGTGCTCAGAAGCTCGGAAGCATCTGCATCGTGGGCAAAGAAATCCAGCAGAGTTGCCTTGAACTCGAACGAGTCAAGCGACTTCCCTTTGAAGACTGTGAAGTACTGTTGACAGCATTAATGCGATGACTAGGGAAGGGCGATAGATAACACTTACATGGGGAATAAATTTATCAAACTTGGCTTTTCCAACGAGTGTTTCCAAGTAATACAGGAAGTTGAATCCCTTCTCGTAGGGAATGCTTGAGAATGCATCGTCGGGATCCTTGCCTTTCAGATCAACGACAAGCTTAGTAAACTCGTGGTTCTGTCCAAAGTGTTCCACAGCATCCGAGAGGGCTTTCCAGCCTATTATTGCTGAGAAGTGACGATAGGGCTCTCCGTGCCTAAAGTAATATCAGTACGATGCCAAAGCTGTCCCTGTCCATGCACCTACAAAGCTGCCAAAATCTGAGCCCCAGTCAGTGAATCCATTCTAATTTTTCCCAGATACAGCATATCTAGATACTTACTCGTCTCTCAAGATAGACCGTCCAGCCTTCATTCAACCAGAAATGCTCCCATGAAGCATTAGTGACAAGATTACCGCTCCAACTATGGGCTAGTTCGTGGGCAATCACATCAATATTCTCTCGATCCTTCACAAGTCAAGTCAGATCCTCACACAAACACATATGAATTTCGGTATATCTTACCTTCGAAATGATGCTTGGTGTGGCGAACGTAAAGATCGGGTTCTCCATGCCACCATATGGAAAGCTCGGAGGCAGAATCAAAACGTTATACTGTCCCCAGACGTAGGGGTACACAATTTTCTGTTACTATATTAGCGTGTCCTTTTCATCCTCCAAAAAAGATATGATGGACAAACCTCGATAGCATCAATGAATTTCTGGGTGTCATTCTCCAGTTCCCACTTGCATTCGTCAAGCTTGTCGGGACTGGTCACCACGACGCTGTGTGGCCCGATGGGCGCATCCTTGATGTCTCTGATACCAAGTCAACAAGAGTCGAAACGAAAATAAAAAGGATGGGACCAACAGACCCGCTAGCAACTGCGAAGAGATAGCTTGGAATGGGCACATTTTGGCGGAATTGATAGAGCTGTTTGCCAGATGCTGATTCGGCATCACTACGAATTGGTACCCCACTGGCAACCACTGGGAGAGGAGAAGAGATGTTGAAGTCAAAGGTGGACTTGACACCAGGAGTGTCTTGACAGGGGAAGATGGATCTGGCGTGAATAGCCTGACATTGGGAGACTGGTGCATATGTTAACAGGAAGCTAGTCTTAAAGGGATGAATATATGCACTGACACATGTATGGATGCTTCTTGTTGGAGGTTTGAGTAGGTGTCAACCACTGGATTGCAGTGCAGTTTTCAGTAGTCTCGACAGAGATCTATTTAACAATTAGCGGCTAGATTTGTCTTGGAAGCGTCGTTTCAACGTACATCGACCTCAACGAGCTGGCCGAGCTCCGCACCTTCTTCAATACTAATTTTCAATGCGTTGCCATACGGTTCTACAGCCGGGAGAATCTCCCACTGGACTGATTTGCCATCAATCTTCACATCGCCAACATGCAGATATCGGGTATCCAGAAGGATCTCCCGCGATTCTCTGCTGGTCAGGGACTTGATCTTGTGCACAACGTTTCCTGCCAGTTTCTGCTGGTCAAACAAGATGTCGAAATTCACAGTGATGTGGGTAGACAGCCAGTGCTTATAGTTGCTCTGTGTATTGGGATCGTGGGCAGTCTTGATAGTGGCCGCCATTTTGGTATAATCGATTTCAAGCCTCGATGAGGAGTAATCAAAGATAAAAAGGTTCACTCTGTTATCTTGAATGGCATGAATCGCACGTTTTTAGGAAGGTCCAATTAACACAACGTTTATACGAGAGTCTCTGAATCAGGCTATAGAGCAGTGAGAAGTTGTTTCCCGTGGAAAACACTACCTGATGACTGCTGCAGTGGAACTGTGGCTCAACATTTTGCTGGATTTAATCGGAAGGACGACGGGGTTCCGAGTACAGCAGTTTACATCACATAATTGTGTTAGGACACCAGCATATAACTATTTATGAATGTTTGATATTAACTACTGAGGGATTTCTTTAAGCTAGAACAAGCTAACTATAAAAGTATAAACAGAATTATATTTTCAATCTAAAGTAATTTTCATTTCTATTAAACTATATTAAACTATACCTTGTTAACTATGAACTAGAGTAATGAACTTATTCATTTCTTAGGCATCTAACTAGTAGCTAACTAGTTAGTTGGTTACCTAGGTAGTTAGTTAGTGGCTATTATTAACTAACTAGTTATTACCTATTAGTTAGTTAGTGGTTATAGGGTAGTTAACAATCGCGATGGTTACCTGTCTGTGTCTAAACATATCTTTATTTAATTGATTAACACGCCGCAAAACTTCAAGATAGCCAATCTTTTGTCCATTGGTTTCCTTTATGCATTGGAGGTTGAAGTATTCTTCAAAGTCTTTTGAGTACCCATAACCTCGGACCGCTCGTCTTCAGCTTGAGGAGTCCCCACCGCATCCAGGACTCGACAATAGTGAACCATTGTGCCTCAGAGAGACTGCGCTAGCATTGCTACAACATGAGTACGCCAGAGGTTCGGGTTCAGGCAGGGGAAGACACTCCAATGAGTGAGGTCCCCCCGACGCAAGAAAATGCGGATAGCACCCAGCAGGACGCGTCGCAAGACGTGATTGTCACCGAACCAGCACAGACGGAAATTCAAGAACCAGCAGCTCATGCCAAGAAGGCCGTACGGCCTGCATTTCTCGAGTAAGGAGCTTGTTGGTTTCTGTTTAATTGCTTGGTTTGGGTTGGGACATCTTGCCATGGCTTCGTGAGGCTGGAACAGCGTAACCCTCCTCTTACTGGGACCTCTACTGACTCTATCTGTCAATCGCCTTTAGATTCCTCACATCGCCTATCGTTCAGCTTGTCGTGGGCCAGGGAGAGGGACAAACCATTTTGACTGCACACAAGACTTTGCTCACCGAATCGCCATACCTGGTACAGGAGCTTGAGCGTGTCAAAGACGAGACAAATGTAGACCAATATATACCATTTCCTTTTCAAAGCCTACACTCTCTTTTTCTGACTTGGTCATATGGTGCTAACTCCCTGGAATTGCCTAGCTCCGCATAGAGCTGCCAGAAGAATCTGTCGATGCATTCGGATCGTTCTTACAGTACCAATATACCGGCGACTACACTTACCAGCAGAAGGACACTGCTAGCGGCGAAGAGGACGGAGCTTCGGATATTGACCAATCTGGCGATCAGCTTCTCAGACACGCACGCGTCTACACTCTGGCCGAGAAGTTGGGGATGCCCTCGCTGAAGACCCTTGCCCATTCCAAGATTCACCGCATCAACAGCACTGCCCGGGGCGAGATCGCCTACGCGCGCTATGTATATAGAAACACGCCGGTAGATGACGTGATAATTAGAAAGCCCGTCGCGGCCTTCTGGTCATCACGGAGTCATGTGCTGCGCCACGAGGCTGAGGAAGACTTCCGCTCGCTATGCCTCGATGTCCCGGAATTCAGCTACGACGTGCTTAATCTCGTGCTCGACGCGAAAGAGAAGAAGGCTCAGCACCAGGCTGATGGGGAGTCAGGCATCAGAGGGAGCGCAAGGAAAAGACTCAGGACAGGGATCTAGCGGGCTAGTCGCGTCCGGGGAGCTGTGGAATTTCGGTATTTTGATATTTCTGTCTTATAATCACGGGATCCAGTTACCTGTTTTTGATTGCTTGTACGCATAGTTAGGCTATGTAATGGTCCTTGGGGTTTGTACAATAGATAGCATCAAGAAAAGGCCCACTGACAGCCAATCGCCGAGCTCTTCCAGAGCGGCCTGCCATATGTTAAAATGGAAAGGTGGTATTGATATTTGTGAATTACACCTCAAATTAATAGCTTTGATCTGAAGTTTTGGACTACCATCAAAAGCAGCATAGCATACTGCTCATGCAGCCAATGCTTCCACCTCCTCGATGGTTTTCGGTGCGGTTGTGAGATTGTCATAGCCATCATTGGTGACGAGCACATTGTCCTCGATACGTACCCCACCGACGCTCCAGTAGTGCTCAAGGACCTCGGCGTCAATGTATTTGTTCAGCTCTGGAGACTCCAAGAAAGGCGCAATAATGAAGCGGCAGAAGTAAATCTAGATGGAGAGATTAGTCTATTGATCTCTCTTGTGTACATTCAGAAGAAAACTTACACCGGGCTCAACAGTTACAACAGAGCCGGCAGGAAGACGACCACGCACTCGAAGGTACCTGAACATGGAATCCTTATCATCGTAGTTCGGGTTACCCCCGGTATCATGGGTGTCCATTCCCAAGTAGTGTCCAAGACCGTGTGGGAAGAAAGCGACACTGACACGTTTCTCAAATAACTCATCTTCAGTGCCTCGCAGGATCCCCAGCTTTAGCAGTCCTCTTATGGCAATGCGGTGCGCAAGCGAATGAACCTCTTCCCACTGGACTCCTGCTTTGAGCATCTCAATGCATTCAACCTGCATTTGTAGAACAATCTCATAGATGCTGCGGGTCTCCGGTGCGAACTTTCCGGACAGAGGGAAAACACGAGTGATATCGGAAGCGTATGTTTGGTATTCACCACCTGCATCGATGAGCACGCTCTTCTTCCTCTGCTTTGACGTAGAATCAATCAAGTTGTCGTCGTTTTTGCCATAGTGAAGAGTGGCTCCATTTTCCCCGCATGCAACGATAGGGTGATAGGACTGTTCCCGACACCCATTGGCGATGCAGGTTCCAATGAACGCCGCTTCGATCTCACGCTCGCTGCTTGCTGTCTTAGACGCCTTGATGGCCTCGATGTGAGCCTTAGCAGAGATGCTATTTGCCTTTCTGATGAGAGCCACCTCGTAATCATCCTTTACCACACGGGTATCGTCAATCGCCTTCATTAGAGAAGAACGATTGGTCTCGGCGAAGCCGTTAAAGCTCGTTGTCTCGGAGATCTGGTGGTTAATTGCAAACACGGTTGCTTTCCCATTATATTCAGAGGCGACTGAAGCGAGAGTATCATTAAGATCAGTGGTAGGCAGCGCGCGGTCGATATCGTAAGTGTTCAAAGCATCCGAGGAGGAAAGAGGCAGACCGGACCAAATGACAGATTCGGGGTCGATAGGAGGGATGAAGAGCGTCAGTTCGTCCTTGTGGACATCGTATATCAAGTAAGAGTCCGGGAGATGACAACCCGAAAGATAGAAGAACGGACGACGTTGCCTTTAGTGATAGTCAATATCTAGGAGTAGCTTACGGTGCCCATAGTAAAACAACACATTACCTGAAAGGCATCGCCTCGTCGTTGTCCTCGATCATGCGCGTTTTTTGCGCTTCGAGATAGATAAGACCAGAACCGGCATGGCCTTGAGAGCGAAGGTACTGGGCAACCCGGCGCGCATGCGCCTTCGCAGGGTACTTGCCCTCTAAGATATTATTCGCAGTGGCCATCCTATAATAAGCTCGTTCTTTGCTTTAATATGGAAAGACGAAAAGAGTTTAAAGAAAATTGACAGTTCCATAACTAATCTGTACCATGCGGGGGCTGCGGGGCATGTTTGTCGCATATGGTTTCCCGCGGAGTAATCACTTACAGGATGGTTACCAGTTGTGTTTCAGTAACCGACCTCCAGAAAGCTGTTCGCGGCTGGCTATTTAGTACTTGAAAGAAGAAACTTAGAAAGGCTTCTAGAAGGCGAGATCTATTTCCAAGTAATAATATGCTTTGAAGGGGGATAAGGTTCATAATCCTCAATTATCATGCAAAGCATAAGTAAAATTCTAGTAAAACATTGGTATCATCAACACATCATCTGGCTGAGGCGTCCTGACCTTCAACAGAAGCAACATCCTCAAAGTCCATTTCCCACTCGTCAACTTCCATAAACTTTTTGGCCTGTATTTCTAGTTCCTTGCTTATGAAAGTCTTGGGATATACATCCGTTGGCGAAGGGCGCATGATGGGTTCGATTGCATCTGGATCAGGAGTTGATGACAATGATGACAATGGAGACGAGTCATCGACTTCTTGGTTCTCTTTATCGGGACCAGTCTCAACTGCATCGCGGGAGGCATAGGTGATCTTGGTCCTCAACACCGTCTGTTCTCGATTTTCAACCCCTTTTCCCCCTATCTTTCGGTTTTCTTTGTCAGTTTTCTTGAGCTTAGGCCGAGCATAAGCTCTAGTCTTATTCTGCCGGTCCACGCGTGAGCGATGTGGTTTGGAAGGCATATAGCTCAACTCGTCATCACCATCAACTTCAGTGCTGTCCGAAAGGTCATCACTAGATTCGCCGGAGATGCCATCGTTTTCACCCCTACGTCTCCGCCGTGAATGGTGCCGTCGAGGGAGGAACTTCTCTTGGAGAGACGCGGTGGACAAATGGTGAGAAGTTTGAGTCGAAGTGGGATTCTTTTTGTTCCTTGGTTTTCTCCCTCCCCGGTCACCCTTAGATGGCGATTCCTCATGATTCACTGCCTCAACAGTTTTCTGGGGGCTAGAAACCACGCTGCTGCTCAGTGGCGGTGCCATTGTCTGGCTTGGCGAGTCTGTGTATTCAGCTAATTCTGGAGAGGCCATTGGAGCATTCAATCCATTGCCTAAAATTCTTGGGGTGATCGAGCGATCCCGTAGGCCGCTCGCTATAACAGAGGGCGACTGCGGTTCTTGGAAGCCTTCCGGAGTGTCGTCCCCCCGTCGTATGCTATTAGAAGGTGATTTGGGAGACACTGCAGAGGGATTCACAAGTGTTTCTTTGATCCATGGCTGATTCAAGGGTGTTGATTCAGCCTCGGGGGTAAGACTTCCAAGAAAATCGTCGTCGTCGTCCAATTCAGATGACCCATCCTCTGCTTGCATCATCTGGAGGATGCTGTGCTGTCGCGGTCTTCTCCTAAAATTGCTCAATATCGAACTGTCAAACCCTGGAGTACCAGGGACTCTAGAGTTACCATCACCCTTCCGCGCCGCCAGCGAAAGGGTTGCCGAATACCCTCGAGGTCTTGAAGGAGGCCGACTGCTTGCTTCTATATGTTGTTTCGATGACGATGGTTCAACTCCTTGCCGGAAGACTTTGCTAAGCGGAGTCTGGCTTCCTGTTAGGTCCGGGGTTTCCGCTGTCACGCCAGCTTCGCTGACATCTTTCTCCTTTATATTTTGGGCGTTTGCTTCATTGATAGCTGGTTTATTGTCTTTGTTTGTCGCTTTAGGCGACAAGCGATTTCGTTTCGCAGGTGGTCGCGGCATGGCAAAGAGTTAATATTATATCCTTATGACTAAATAATAAGAAAATATCAATATTCCTAATAGCAAAATCAGTTAGTCATTACTCATAATATAAAACTTATCCTCTTGAAGTAACAGCAGCCATACCTGGTTAATAGTGTCTTAAGACAGGTGTGTGATAAATGGTGTAATAACTCTCTGTCCCTAATCTCATCAATTATGACCATGTATAGACAAGAAACACTCTGCGTCAGAAAATTAATAGGGATCTATCACTGTATATAAGGGTAACTTTGTATACAGTAAACAGTTAAATAAATCCCTAAGATTGTCTTGAAGGCGGTGACGCGTGTCTGTAAATGAGGGGCGGCGTTAAAACCCCTGATACGCTAAAAGCTTAAGAGTCAGTGTACCCTTGTCTTAGTTTTGTTCTACAGCAGTACTACATAAGAGGTTACCAAGGATACAGTTAGGATAAATATAACTAGGAGAATTAAAATTCTTAGTACAGAAATAAATACAACAGCAAGAAAAAAATCCTTGAAGATAGAAATATCTTTTTTCTTTTGAATCTAGATAATTCAACCCATATTTTAGGGTGTAACTACCTAATATAAAAAACCTAAACATCTACTCGGTACGCCGCTTTCAGTAAATAAGTAACTAACTAACCTAAATAGTTCACTAACCTAACTAAATAATACCTAGGTAGTTCGTTTAGGGACTTGATAACTAACTAACCGCTCTGTAGTTAGTTGGTTAACGGCCTAGGTAACTACGGACGCCAGAGTACTCCGTAGTTATTTTAATTATGACTATCCAGTATACAGACCACATGGACTGCCTTTATTCTTATTCATGACTTTTATTTCTGCTAGAACTTATTGCTATATCTAAAGCTTAAGTATAGTATTTGGAGTTTCCGAATCTCCATTATTGTTGATCCTGGAGTAACGAGTGTGATTTCAAATCTTCGTGAGGTTCTCCCTTCTCCCTTCTCCCTTCCTGCCCCTGAATATAAGCTCCTTTCCTGCACTCATTGCACGTCGTTGAAACATGCTGACTGGAGGAACGCCGTGTGATAGACTTTCCCAATTGATGTATTTTTGACAAAGGTTATCTTTGTGTAACGGTGAACCTACGGCATTCATCCAAGGCATTGGACCAGGCTTTTGCGACTCAACCCGACATCAACGTATGCGCAAAGCTCTCGCCACTACCTCCGGACCCGTATGATCCCTCACTTCCTGTAGCGTCTTTATCGGGTCTATACCAGTTGCAATTTCTCGGGTGAATCCAATGACAGACTCATCTTGAACGACCCGGTCTGATGAAGCAAGATAAACGCAACAACCACAAGAATACTCGAGGCGTATAGGCCAACCGAAAGACAATGCACTGAGATCTCCGAGTGGCATGCAGAGAAAGCCAACCACTTTCAATCTTATCTCGTACATCATAGGGGTCCTCCGATTTATCCGCCGACCATTCAAGGCATCCGCGGAGCATGATTCAATACCAAACTCCTGCGCGTCGGTTCCCTCTAAAATATTGATGAACCTCGGCTGTCACCGTTCAAATTCCGCGGAATACTCTCCTTAATATTGTCGTCTAGAAAGCGCGTCAATCCAAGGAAATGCAAGCTCGGTCGCCCTCAGCACTCGCCGGCAGATTGGATCCGATCCACTCCCAATACACTCCCTCGGACTCCGGACCCGGTCCTCACCATGATATGCACCCGGGGTCTCACAATAAATCGGATGGTCAACTGGCAGTCCAATCCTTCCAAACTGGATCTATATCACCGACAGAGCAAGATATCAGAGTTCAGAATCATGGATACCCATACCATAGTAATATCAGTGGTATTAGCCCTATCCAAAAGGGCCTGGCTAGTGTGAATCGTTGGTCCCAATCCACTGCTTCAAGTGATGACCTTCATTATTCGAGTTCCCAAGAAAGGATTGCCGGCCTCGGAGATTACGGCATGTCCAGAAGTGCGCAAAGTCCAACGCGAAGTTCCGAATGTTATCAATTACCACCTACTGCAAATCCAAGAAGTCACAACTACTCCTCTTCAGTCGCCTCGGAAAATGTATATGATTCAGCGCATTCCCTTCCAATCACCCGCAGATTGTCAAATCTGCTTCAATCTGCGACTATGATTGATGTGACGAATTCAACCGGAAGCCAACCTCGGTTTACAGATAACGCTATTCATTCGACCAGTCAGCCGCACGGTACTGAGAATACAGAGCAGGGCCATACGAAAGGAAACAGCAGAGAGAACCTTGCAACGAGTTATGAAAGTCGTTTGTCGAACCAAGATGATCATACCTTCCAAGAAGATTCCGTTTCACCGCGCCAAAAATTACCTTCCTCGGGCTTGAAAGAGCAGGTCCGCGGCAAACGACAACGGGCCATGTCTCAGAAAGCAATGCTCTCCAAAGCTCTTCAAAAAGCCAATACTGCCGTACTTCTTGACAATGCGGCCAACTTTGAAGGTGCTATGGAAGCATATAACGATGCTTGTGAATTGCTACAACTGGTAATGCTACGTAGCAGTGGGGGCGACGACGAAAAACTAAAACTTCAAGAAATCGTGAGTACAGTTGTTAAGACCTTTAATCAGCCGCTATAACTAGCTGGTTTTACTACCTGTCTAGGCTAACTACCAAAGCGTGACACATACATGATTCGAGTCAATGAACTCGAACGCCTTGATTTCTCTGTTCAACAAGGCGACAGCAAAGCACTGCCCCAGAGACCCCTCAGCGAAGAATCCTTTGGTGATGTTTTTCAGCCATTCGATGAAGGTGAAAAGCCTTTCGATTACAATATTAGTCGGCAAGAAGCACCACCTCTTAGTCATGGCATGGACTTCAATCGGCAAAGGTTACTGGACCCCGGTAGAATTCCTCCAAGGAGACAGTCACTGTTGCCCTCCCCTCTTGATGATAGGCCATCACATACAGTTGCGCCGCCGGGTACTACGAGTAGCACGAGTAACCATGGCCATTCTCACTCCAGCTCATCCTGGCACAAGTCTTCCAACGAACATTTCAATGAGCTAGATCGCTCTCTAGATGGAGATTTGCTATTTTCATTTCCCAACGAAGACTACGAAGACGGTTCACCATATCCAGAACAGCCCCAGTCAACACTAGTGACTGCAGCTCTGAAAGGTGCAGAGAATGAGTCAACATCCTGGCTCGACACTATTGACGAGTCCGGTGCATCTTCGCTTTCATCTTCACACTCTCAAGCATCCTCTTTGTATCTACGGCGTAAAGACCAACCTTTCAGCGGTACAGAGGCTGAATTCGATGCTGCTCTCGATGCAGCCGTTGAAGCTGCTTACGATGAAGGGCTTGAACCTGTCGATGAGCCGCCGGATAACAGCCACCACGATGATATAGTATCAACTGCTCGCAGAAATGTCGAATTAGCGAAACAAAGGGTCAGAGAAGCTGAATTAGAAGCCAAGGTTGCGATGACAAAGGGCCGAGAGTTACGGAAAGCACAGCAACAGACCACGTTCGGGTACTCTACTGGCTCTGATTTGGAATACCTTGACGAGGAGGCTGAAGAAGAAGAGCGCTTATTAGAAGAGATGACGAAAGGCTATGTCATGGATGATTTCGAGTTTGATTTACAATCAAAATCTGCTCTCCCTCGACAATCAGATTCAAGCGGACACTCTGGCACGACTTGGGGAAGCTCTGCTGCGTCACATCCGGGGACAGGGCATTTATCCCCACTCGTTGAAGATGATCTTTTGCCAACAAAAGAGGCGGCAGAGAACCTCGATGTATTGCATCATGCCGCGGCGCCATCGACATCCATGCATACAGAAGAGGATCCTCGGATTATCCCACCCTTGCCAAAGCAAGTCCCAACGCTTGGTCCATCGCCTGGGCCAGGTGTGAGAGCACGAAGACTTTCTGGCCAGAATTTGAAAGAACTAAAAATCGAGACAAACAGTAACGTGATGGCCAGCGCAACTAGTCGTCAACCTGATCCTGTTTCAATCATATCAGCGAGTCTGCCACAAATGACACAGGCAGATGCGCTGCAAAGCAACCTTCCAGCACCAATGGCTAATAGCACACTTTCTAATCTGAATAGACGAAATCTTTCGATAAGTTCTATATCTGAGGCTAACCTTTTGACCTCAACGGTCATGAAGCCGTTACCGCCGGACGTTTGCGATACCGAATCTTCAACCCTACTATCACCGGTCCGCCCCTTCGGAAAGGTGCCTTCGGCCCCAGATATCTTTGGTAAAGCTGTCTCAAACATGAAGTCTTCTCGGTCAACAAGCATATCCAACCTTGAACCATTCACTGATTCCCCAACAACACCATCAAGTAGCACGTTCCCTCCATTGGAGAGTCAAACAGCCACATTGGCTAGCCCGCCTCCTGTTCGACCTACCCCAACAGCTCTAACGTTTACGCCTATTAGCCAGCCAACTGGTGGCCTGTACCTATTTGACAGCAATATCCATTCACCAACTAGTCCAGGGTCCCCTAACCCCTCGGTGTTGAATGCCCCTCTTCCTCTAGAGCCTTGTCCTGAATCGTTTATGTTGCGCCCATTCTGGCTTATGAGATGTATTTATCAGAGCATTGCAAATCCTCGGGGGGGCTATTTGTCCAAGAAACTATTTCTGCCCCGAGATGTTTGGCATGTGAAGAATGTCAAAATCAAGGCCGTTGAGGAGAAGGTGTTTAATTGCGACCTGTTGACGGCTGCGCTTCTCAAGCTCGCTCTGGTCGATACATATGATGCAGATGCAGTGTTAGAGGAGATGCAACTGCTAGAGGCCGTGCTTGACCAAGTACAAACATCGCTCTCGAAGAAATTGGGTAGTGAGGTCGGTGTGCAGAGCGCCATGCCGCTCTTCAAAACTGCATCCACAACAGAAGACCCCGCTACGCCATCGGAATTGCTACCCTCGAAATCCTCCGCCGGCCAGGGAAAGTCATACCTAACATCATGGCGCAAGCTACGATCCAAGAGCTCTGGACATGGTACTACGGCACAGTTGGCGAGTGTGAACTATGCTGGGAAAGACAATCTCACACTTAACTCGCTTCCAATGACTGCTACGCCTAGTGCCCATCGTGTTAAACGAGATGTAACAAACCTTCAGTTCAATGGACCAAATGCAAACTACATGGGTGCCTTGGCTCGCCTCTGCGATGCAGCTCAGGTTTTGGGTGTGTATTCTATATACCCCACCCACTCATACCACAGATATTGACTAACTTACGCAGATCAAATCGCTCAGCAAGTGGAAGACCCTGGCTTGAAACATTCCTCGGAAACACTTGTTGGACTCGAGCTCAGTACACGACACGCTGCCGAATTTTTTGGCTTTTACATTTGTCGTTTTGCCTTGGGTGACATCAACTTGATGCTTGATAAGTTTATCAAACGAGGCAGTGAATGGGTTCTGATATGAAAGGTGTCTCTACGTCCCATCTACCAAAGTCTTATTTTATTTTCATTTTATGGTTATATCCCATTAGTTACCATGTTCTCTTTTTTCTTGAAAGACTGCCCATGCTTAATGTTCTGATGTACAACTGGATCATATGGCTACTTTATATAGTTACTAGATGCCATGAAGGGTGACTTCATCCTTTATTATGATATGGGCCTCTATTATGATGTTATTTGATCAAATGTCTATTGATATATAAATGCATACATATTTACTCACGTAAATGATTTCCTAGGTCATACATGCCTCATCCAATTGTACACAGTGCCCATTATCTTTTGGGTAGGAGATCTTAGGCTATCGTATAACTCGGTTTTTTCAAACCCAGGTCCATCCAGCCACCTTCTGCTCATAGCAGAAATGATTATCAAAAGTAGAAGGCGTAGCTTATATGAATATCCTGATTTGTTGTCTTTTTCATGATTCATCTGAGACGGTTTCAGTCAGTGCAGCATTTCCCTCCCCGGTTCCCCTTTACGGATGCTATGAAGTATTTTGACTCGAGACAGTAATATTTTGAGTCACTTTTGTGACTTCAAGAGTCAACGTCACTTAGATCAGAGCCCCGGTCGACCTGAGGCATATCTGGCGTCGCCTCTCGGCATCGCGGATAATCTCAAAGGATAAGCGCAGGCTGGGGGCAAGGTGGGCGTATCTTTCCACCTCAGCCACGACACCGGCTATTATTGCGTCTACTTGAAAAGAGGGCGGTAGAAGCGTCGAGAGTGTTGGAGACATGGTTGACCCCATGATCAACAAAGACTGGGAAACCATTGATAGTGCGCCTTGCCACAGATAAGGTAAATGGCCTTCCCGGTGGCTTGTAATGTGCTTCAGCTGGTGAAGAGTGGCCTCCAAACATCGTCGACAACATTCCCTAACCGTCTGGTCTGTTACTGCGTTTTCATTTTCTAAAACAGCAAAAATATAGGGACGATATATGATTGTCCGGCAAGCGTAATAGCGGAGCCTGAGTACCGTTTGGACTGGGTTCGAGACCGGTGTTATGTTGAGGGGAAACTGAACGGGCAACGGCAAGCTCTCATACCACTGGGTCAACTGAAAGTCCAACTCCGAGACGATAGGCCCGAGTGATGCCAGCGTTAAAGTATTGTCTTTTTGGTAGATCATGTGGCTAACCCGGTTGAGAAGTCTGCGTAAAGCAATCTCGGCCAAGAAGTACCACAACTCATCACGTCCGATTGGCTCCGTCATAACGGCATGGTCTCCATCTTCTTCAGCGTCTTCATCTTCATCCTCTTCCTCATCATCCTCGAAGCCTCCTGGGAGATCGACGAGTTCCTCGAAATGCACAATGCCGGAGTGCGGTAGGTCCAGCTCTGCTAACAGATCACTCTCATACAGGAGAGCGTTCCAATATAACCGGACGCTCATTTCCTTCCACTGGGGCGGCACCCGGCTAGGGTTCCCAAATAACAGCTGTAGCTTCATGCTTACGTTCGACAGCATAGACCACGCTTCCAGCGGACGAACCAGGTAGAAAAGATATGCCGAAGCCAAAATCATGCATTGAGCCGAGAGAACGGAGTTCCGCATGGTCAACGCTGGGAGTATTTTCCATGCAGCAGCAAAGTACGACAGTCCTGGAGCTTCGTGGTCAGGCGGTGCAAACGATATGCTGCCATGATGGCCGGCGCTGCCTAAAGCAAGAACCAATAACACAACACAACTCTCGGCGCCGTCTTTAAAGCGTCGCGAGAGAGCTGTACGGTAATACCGATTCCAGGTGTAGGGATTAACGCACGCATACCAGACATTCACTCTCTCGAAGAAGGCTCGGATATAGACCGGGGAATTTGTCATATCGATCCCCGTATTTGAGATCAGCCTGAGCGGCTCACGCGCCATTTCCAGTTGTAGCAAGTTCTGAGGATCATAAGGACCCGAGACAAGGTCTCGAATTAGAGGCCACTGCAATAAATGCAAGGCAGGAGTCGTGTGCACTTTGGGCATAGTAGAGATACTCGTCGGTGGATGGGCCCATGAACCAAGCCCAACCACTGTCACTTTTCCTGGAATGGGGGTAATCGATGGCGGCTTAGCCACAGGCTCATCGGCGCCAATATTTGTATCATTGCTAGTCGTGGGTGATGTGGAGGATAGGGGAAACTGTGTTGTTTGCGCTTGCACCGCCAGACTAGACTGTAAAAGACCTTCGATCCTTGTCAAGCGCTCGAGAATAAGCTTGTCCCCGGCGTCAAGCTTAATACCCGGTTCTCGATACACACAGTCAGCATCCAGCTCCGCGCAAAGTCGGCACTTTGGTCTCGCTCCGTCGCATTTAGTTTTGCGTAACCGGCAGATTTGGCACTGGTCAACGCGAGCCTTGTTAGTTCACACGTGAATCGAATAGAACTCCATCGGCCATGAGAGCATACATACAGCGATCGTAGCGCGTCTCCGTGGATACTCTGCGACGTCGCTAGAGCTTGACGGTTTCCTCTTATTCACGGTGGACTCACTGGTGGCATGCTGGCTTCCAGTGTCCATCATTTCTTCTTTGCCAGGAGAGGGCGGCACGGTCCTGCATATAACAGATACTTAAATATAATTAATATACACTAGGTAGTGATTGAGGCGGCGCATAAATGACGGGTTTCTAGCTTAACAGCGGGGCAGCCACGAGTGCAAAGACAGCTATTCATCTTAGTCAAGTATCTGGATATAAGCGACAGTTTAATAAAGAATTATATATGACAAGCAATGGCACATGATCATGCGCTGTTGGCTCTGCGTATCAGTGACAGCTTCGTAATTTAGCTGAGCCGACAAGACATGATGCCAGCCATCAAAAGTATGTTGAAAATCCGCGAGTGAAGAGCGACAAGAAAGAAAGTTTCTCATTCTACCCTAAAAGTGGAACACACGAATTATCTCCATACAGGCATTGCTGAACCAACTGTATGGGAGAAAGTAAAGATTAAATTAAACAGCTAGCATTGAAACCATGATTACTGCTGGCGATGCATCTCTCTCCAGATTACCCCTCATTTCCCCCATAGTTGTTGCTCTTCCAATGGAATCTTTGCTTGGCTGATGCGCATAATTATTTAGCATATTATTATTATTATTATTATTATCGCTTATATGCTGGCATGATTGGCCCTAGGACTTAATCAGATGGTTATCTTATAAATTAACTATGCTATTGAAGTGAAACTAGCAGTACAGTGTCTTCTTATAGTTATATATTTATTAACAAGATAGTCAACAACAATATATATAATAACCATTATCTTTTTATAACCACTAAATCTTTTAATGCACTGTTTTCCCTTCTTAATATGCTAAATGATGTCTTAAAATCCTCTATCATTTAGATTTCCCGGATAATAACTGTGAAAGCATAAAGTGATTGACGTCCTCATCAGCCCAGTATGAGAGATGACTGGCAATACTAGCAATCAATGAGATATCAAAGGTGCCCCTGGAACATCATTAGTATTGTATTCCATTCTCATTTCACAGGGCTATGTAAGGGAATAAGCTTACTCTTGTATGCTGTAATCAACACGGGCATTTGAGTTCAAGGCCCTGACCTTCGAGTCTTCGATCTTCAGTCTCCTGGAACGATCATCGACGTCGAGAGACTCAGCAGCATTTTCAGGTCTAGATGATTGTGGGCCCGTCTCCTTTCCCTTTTCATGAGTCTTCTCAGATCCACCATAAAGAGTCACCAATTGCTGTTCAATGAGAGTCCGAGATTGACCTGCATTGGCATTCGAAACACGCAGAGAGTCTGCCTGATGTAGGTTACCTCCGGTCCCCGGAGTAGGCTGAGGTGGTAGATCTTCCGAATTCAAGCCAAGGCTTCGATTCAGTAAGTTGCTTGCGACACCAGACGCAAAGTTCGTCCATAAAGTCCCCACACTTTGGCCGACACGAGTGCCGATAATCGACAGACTTTGACCCGGTACCGCCCACAGACTTTTCTTGATGCATGGTAGAGGTTGCGGCTTGAGAGCCGCCATTGCAGGAGATATTAGAGGCTCGATGCGATAGCTCACTGGATCTGAGGGGTGGAAAATATTATACAATTGCCGGCATTTGGGGGACGACACAGTCGGCGATATGACCTCCAATGCATCGCTAGGACGACTTTTAACAGAACGATGCCCTGAGGTAGAAGATTCCTGAGATTCAATCCCGGCCGCATTTGGTCTTCTCGCAGGGTCAGTACTAACAGAAGATCGACCAGCAATGCGTTTGCCCTTGAGCATCTGAAACAAGGCGATTGGTGATCCTAAGCAAAAAAATTCTTCGCAGTCGAAGTCCAGTGGGAACCCATTTTTTTCGCGTAAGCCTTGACGAAGGGGTTTATTGCTTTGATGATGTCCAGAGCTAAGCTGAGCAGCACCCGGATCATCCTGTTGGTCACAAAGGATATCGAACAGGATCGCACTTCCAAGAGAATGTCCACACAGGCTAATTGATCCTTGAAAAGAAGGGTTTCGTTTCTTGAAAAGTTCGTAGATTCGATTGCATTCTTGCTGCACTATGCTCTCAATATGCTCACAGTAAGCGCTTTGATAAAGAAGAACATCCATCGCAAGATCAGAGACCAGGTTTCGGACAGACGAAACCCCTTCAAGAGTGATATCCGATAGGCTAGGGTAGAGGTCGTCTTCGAGATCATCGACATCAGCTAGATCATGTTCCTTGCGATTCTGTTTGTATTCTCTGTTAGGAAAATCAAGCAAATGCCTCCAACACCTAAACACTATTAGCTGGGTTCATTTATTTATATTAACCAGCTTCTAATCTTCAAGCAAACGCATCGAGTTTCTTACACAGGTAGAACTTGGACACGACAGTTTCTGTCATTGTCTGCAAACCCCGAGTTCAGAGCTTGAAGATCAGGGGAGGCCTTGTATACACTCTTCAATGTTTTGCGCAGGACATTCACATCATGAATGAAATTAATGCTTTCAAGTCGCAGGCCAAGGCGTTGACCAATTCCATGTGTTACCAGAATGAGATGATCGACCTCCCGTTCTCGATCATCTTCATCTACGTCTTTCGAGTCTTCCATCTCCTTCTCCTCTTGTTGGCGTGCCTGTTCCTCAATCTCGGTTGTATCCTGCGGCTCGCCAGCAAGGGAGGACATTTGACGCTCAAGAGGAGATCTGATATCTGAGACCACATTCTTGTTTCCTGAATTTCGAGGCTGGAATGCTGATGCCTGAGTAGTTTCGGGACCATCACTTTGCCTGGAAACCAATGTTGATGTATCAGGTTTGATCGGAGTTCGGTCCCTTTGTGGCACTTCTCTATTTGCCGACTTGTTGTCAACAGTCGGAGTATCGATCGGTCCGTTGACTTTATTCAGTTCATTGTACCCGCGGATGACTCTTGTACCTGCAACACCGCCGAACTTCAGATATAGAGTGCTACCCACCCGCGACATGAAGTCATCCTGGTTTAACAGCGCGGTCGAAGAATCTGTATATGTTACCGTGCTATTCATGTAGGCACCGAATAGGCGAAGGTGGGGTGGTTCCTTTGCTGAAGGCAAGGTGCTTTGGGTAGGCTCGGGCTTCGCGCCAACTACTCCTCCAGATTGGTGTCCATCAGAAGAACTTGTTTCGTGCGAATGGCTAGCTTTACCATTTTCATCTATCTTGGTCGAAGACGGTGTAGGTGTCGGGTTCGCAGCATGCCGGGACTGCCATGGCTTTACTTTCAGATACCCTTGCTCAAGTTGAGTTGCCAGGTTTTCTTCACATGGTTTAAGCGTGGATCCATCCTGAAAAAACCAGGTTCCGCGTCGAACCTCATAGACAGGGCCTATCCAGTACGCTGGACTGATCTCCCTCTCATCCACGTTGACGTCAAAAAGGTAGTCCTCGTTGACTGGAACCTTTATGGCATCTTCCTTGCCCTTCCGAGCAGAGCTTGATTCTTGATGGCCTTCTTTAGCACTCTCGAGGTTAGGGAGCTTGTGGAACGCGGCCTCGATGGACTGTGAATCTTTCACAGAAAAAGGAACAAATTTCTTTGGTAGAGGCAGTTGTTTAGCTGTGTTTGTCTTGACATCTGAGGTGAGCGGTTTGCGTTTGGGAGAATCCACTGCATAAAACCATCTTGCCCTCAATGGAGGGCAGTCTTTAGGATATTGTGACAGGCTAACCCAGTTCCGCGCAGTGACTGTGTGGTCGTTTCCCTGAGAGCGCTGCAATGCACCTTTATATTCTAGATGATCTTGCGTGGACGGCTGAGGGGTGGCACTTCGTGGGGTGCTCCAGGGAGAGATTGCTCCGAGGAACGATCCCCTTTGGTCGGCACCCGACATTGCGTTTCCAACGTATGCTGGGCAGATTATCTGGGCAAAATAGTTTGATAATGTGATAGAAAAAGCAGAATCACTTGTGGGGTTTGTGAGAGGTGTGCTATTTCAGATGGCAAACCTGGAATCACTCGCTGGCCTCCATCTTACATCTAGCTTCTTTCTCTTCGATCTCGACTAGAATTGAATAAGGTTTTCTTGGCTAGCATAGCCAAGATGTGTCTTCATTCCCTATTGTTAATTTTTGTAACACAAAAGATAACCATTCAATATCCCAGCCAATGTCAATAAGAGGCTCGCAATAATATATTTAGGTACAATGACGTATTGGCAAAGCGCCAAGCCGAAGAACAGGCAGCCCTCATACTTACCACTCTGCTCTACCGCTATAAATTCTGTTTTATTTGCCTTCTAGCCAAAGGCTATGTGTATTTTTTTTACGACCCGAGATGTAGGTATATACACGCGCCTTTAGCCTGGAAGGAAGCTGAATTACAGTCTTAATTTCTAATATACTCTGTATTACTTGATAGTTAAGCATAATGCCTACAGTTTTGATGATAGAAAGCCATTTAATTAATTTTATAGCATTGCAGCCTAGTATTAAAGATGAAGAGGCGAGATTGTCTGTAGCTGCACAATGACGGGAGTAAATTAGGTCGGTAATTCGGCTGCCTTGGAAAAAGATGATGATGGTGTCGTCTGCCTTAGAGCACTGGAGAACCTACCCCGCTCCGCCTTTCCGTAGCTACGCTGAGAAACGACCAGATCATCCTTTCAAGTTTTTGAAGTAGCCAGCTCTCCGAAATCTCGTTACCTCGGCGCCCAATCTCGGATATTTCCAATTTGTCCTACACCAGCTGTGCATCATTTTCTCCCTGTAAGTAATATCTGCAGTCATTGCCCCGCCACCATTATCCCCGTATCCAAAGTTGACTCCAGGCAGTAGGCAATTTCACGACAAGAGAAAATGAATGTCATAAAACTTCAGAGGTGAGCACCTACTATCGATCAAAGTACAATCATATCGAGGCCTCGTCCTGACGCCAATTTGGTTCCAGGAAGTATCCTCAGTTCGATCAGAGCGAAATATTTGGCCTTCAGGATGCATTTCGAAAGCTCGATGTTGACGACAAGGGCTATTTAGACGAAGCATCCGCTATCAAAGGTGCTCAGCAGTCAGAAAGACAAGCATATGATGTTGTACGCCAGGCGTTGAAACAAGTGGAACTCGATAGCTCTCGACGTGTGGAACTTGAGGACTATGTTGATGTTCGTATCTTCTTGTTTCATTTACCTCATTGAAGCTAATCGCCTGTCACAGCTCATCTCTAGGCTTCGGTCCACCCCAGAACAGACTAAAGGTCCCGGAGCCGCAGGTCCTGCTACGGCTTCTCATGGTAACAACGGAGCTCCGCCGCGCCATGTATCTAAAGGCAGCATCGGAGGCAAAATTCACGTTCAAGGATCGTCTGCCAATGTCACACACACTATCAACGAGGACGAAAGAACAGAATTTACAAGGCACATTAATGCTGTTCTTGCAGGTGACCCTGATATCGGCCATCTCCTTCCATTTCCCACGGATACGTTCGAGATGTTTGATAAGTGCAAGGATGGACTGGTCCTTGCCAAATTGATCAACGACAGTGTCCCTGATACAATTGATGAGCGTGTTTTGAACAAGCCGGGAAAGAAGATCAAAGAATTGAATGCATTTCATATGACTGAAAATAACAACATGGTGATCAATTCTGCAAAAGGTATTGGGTGCTCAGTAGTCAATATTGGAAGTGGAGATATCATTGAGACTAGAGAACATCTCATCCTTGGTCTCATCTGGCAAATTATTCGTCGGGGCTTACTGGGCAAAATTGATATTAAGCTTCACCCGGAGCTCTACCGTCTTTTGGATGACGATGAAACACTCGAGCAGTTTTTGAGACTGCCGCCCGAGCAGATCCTTCTTCGTTGGTTTAACTATCATCTCAAGAATGCTAAATGGAACAGGAGGTAAAATTTTCTTTCTTCGCTGTTTGTGTTGATGCTGCTGACTTCTACCTCAGAGTGAATAACTTCTCGACGGATGTTAAGGACGGCGAGAATTATACCGTCCTTCTGAACCAGTTAGCACCTGATTTGTGCTCTCGAGCCCCCCTTCAGAACCGTGACTTGCTTCAACGGGCTGAAGAGGTCCTCTCGAATGCCGAGAAACTAGAATGCCGCAAGTTCCTGACTGCGACATCGCTTGTAGCTGGAAATCCGAAGCTGAATCTTGCTTTTGTGGCAAATTTGTTCAACACCCACCCGGGCCTTGACCCCATCACCGAAGAGGATAAACTGGAGGTGGAAGACTTTGATGCCGAGGGCGAACGAGAAGCACGGGTCTTTACTCTCTGGCTCAACTCGCTGGACGTCCAGCCTACGGTGAACTCACTATTCGATGACCTCCGAGACGGCACCATACTGCTGCAGGCCTACGACAAAGTTATTCCTGGCAGTGTTAATTGGAGGCATGTCAACAAAACTCCTGCCTCCGGCGGTGAGATGCTGAGGTTCAAGGCCGTCGAAAATACCAACTATACCATTGAACTCGGCAAGCACATCGGTTTCTCCCTGGTTGGAGTCCAGGGTGCCGATATCACTGACGGCCAGCGGACCCTCACCCTGGGATTGGTTTGGCAGTTAATGCGGAGAGATATTACAAACACACTCTCTTCGTTGGCGCAGAGGATGGGCAAGAGAGAAATCACCGACGCAGAGATGATTCGATGGGCAAACGACATGTCCCGAAAGGGTGGAAAATCTTCGTCGATACGCAGCTTCAAAGATCAGTCTATTGGTTCCGGTCTCTTCCTTCTTGATGTTCTCAATGGAATGAAGAGCAGCTATGTGGACTACGATCTAGTCACTCCAGGCCATACGGATGAGGATGCTTATGCTAATGCCAAGCTTAGCATCAGTATAGCTAGGAAGTTGGGTGCTACAATCTGGCTGGTACCTGAGGATATCTGTCAGGTTCGCTCTCGTCTAGTGACAACATTCATTGGTAAGTACAGCAAGCATTCAATATAGAGGTGTTTCCGGATTTAAGGCTAATTAATACAACCAAGGCTCACTCATGGCAACCTATGACAAAATGGAATGAATAAACTAGTGGCTGCTGGTTTTCAGAAAGATTACTAAAGTGTTGTCGTGTAATTTATTTTATGTGATTTAGTTATAACTTCATTCTCTTGAAACCTGAGCTATTATCTGACACTGTATTTGAACTACGAGATAGCCTCCAAAAGATTCAATAGACTTTCTGTGCTCCACAAGACTAAGATGCGTGCAAAAATCGTTACCAGTCATCTAAAGTCTGATAGAATCATCCCATATACCTTTCGAACCTATGGGAATATAATCGTCCTGTATACTCAAAATTCTCGATAGTTGCAGCCGTGATTTTGAAATCGGGGAGAGGACTAGGTACTAGATTGCAGTGTCTGTGAGATTTTCCGTTAATTATACTGATATTGAACACCAAAGGACGCTTATTGATCTACAGGGCAACTAATCCCAGAAACAATACTTGGAGGACTAGTATTATCGAGTTGGAAAAGGAACCTGCCGAGTAAAATAACTATATGGGGGAAGCTACGGCTGGTGTCAAATACGATGTCGCACACCTTGTGAGGCTCTGTCCATCGCGATGTGCAGTTAAGAAAAGGTCAATGGTAGATTCGGTACGAACTCAAATTGTCGACTAAGATGGAGGACGGACGCTTTTCTTCCGAACGAAGATGGGTAGGGACGGGAGGGGGCGGCGGGGATAGGGCTCGCTCGACGTTCGTTCGTGGTAAAATCGAGCTGCTGACCAGGATAAATACCAACATCAAGACAAAGATAGATGGGGTAGATTTTGCAAATCGGCAGCCGCAGGGACAAAAAAGCAGAAGAAATCAAATAAAGCTGCAAGACAAACAATTCAGTGGAGACGGGAGGATGGATCTGGTATTGTGATGAGGTACCGGCTGAAATGAAACCTGTTCAAGAGTCATATTTCACTGTATCTTGTTCAGTTCGTTATTCCTGACAATGGAGTAGCAGGCGTAGGCTCATTTCCTGACACTGATAATACAATACTGGAGTTATTGTGCTGTGGGTTGAATAAGTTACTCAGCGGTGTCCAGATCATCATGCGCGGAAGCAAGAGGATCCAGAGGAACTATCAGCATATTAGAGAAATTAGGAAGCTTAATATAAGATGTGTTAGTATAAGATGCGCACCTTTTCGGTCTTCACCATTAGTAGTGGTTTCATGCTCCTCATCACGTCTCTCCCGCTCATCGTCACGGCGTTCCCTATCATCCTTGCCATCACGGTCTCTATCATCTGGGCTTCGAGATCGGTCACGGGAACGCTCACGATCACGGCGGTCATAATCCCGGTCACGGCGCTCATAGTCCCGATCGCGACGCTCGTAGTCCCGATCATGTCGGTCATATTCCCGATCGTACCTATCTTCTTTACGAGGAGAGTACTCGCCGCCACGAGATCGTCGTGGCGAAGGAGAACGCCCACGTCTAGGTGGTGTACGATCACGTCGACGGTCACGTCCGGAATCAAATCTCCAAGAGGCAGATGGGGGAGTCCGGGCCCACTATCTAGCAGTTAGAGGGATATAATGGCAGAAAGAGTATAATTTGTGGTGTCTCGTCTCACTTCAATCTTTAACAGGTCATCGCGACCGATGCGCTTGTTGTGCATCTCATGGTACGCATCATCCGCATCGCGACGGCTCTCATATTCCACAAACGCAAACCTGAGAGAGTAAACAGACTGGAATATACATATATCCAATTTGAACAGCTTACAGTCGACTGGAAGGGGTGCGCGGCGCGGGGATGTCACAGCGTACAAGGCGCCCGTAACTATCATCGAAATTAGAAGTCAGCCGACGTGTCTGATCAGCAAGAACGGCAGGAAGGATATGGCAGCAGTTCAAAGACGGAAGGCTTCAAGACAAGAAGTTGGGTCTGGAAGCCACAACAATGCAACAGGAAGTCGAGACAGCTAGTGGAGCCAAATAAACCGGATCGTTCTCGTCATGAATCAAGCCTCTAGCATTCGAACATCGAAGTTTTGACCGAGGTCCATTGCATCTTGATATAGGAGTCGTGGTTACGGCGTGTGGCATCGACATTTTGGGACGTACCGTTCGAATTCGTAAGCCAGGTCGCGAGCTCGAGTTCCGTGCCCAAACCCAGTAACGTAAAGGGTGGTCCCAGCTCGTGACGACATGATATATGTCTCAATGGGGTTGTAAGTGTTGATGTTTCCAAATATGTCTGGTCACAGAAATTGCTTGCAGGAAGCTTGGCGGAAACCTGGGTATAATGGTAAATCTCGGTCCCTTTGAAATTAAGGAGTTCAAGAAAAGAAAGGGTGGACTCCAGCTGGGAATCGGGCTAGGTACAGAAAGGCATAGACACCAAAGATGACTAACCAAGTATGATGCGCCTTAGTTCGACAGGGTAACTACGGAGTCCCTGGTATTAAACGAATGTACTTGAAGCTATCTCAAAGCGAGAAGAAGAAAATGGGTTGCAATATATATATTTCATAACTCTATCATCATTATTTGCATTGCTACTACTTTCATCGCCGGGTTAAAATAGGCAGGCAGACATGTCATTGAATAAGACTGCTATCTCATGACTCGAATCATGTTTTATTTTTTCAGGCCAAAAAAATTGAGCCCTAGACCATTTATAACGGCAAGGCAATCATCGTCATCGTCATCATCAAAGCGATGGCAATCGCGCCAATTAAAGGATCAGTTCACGCGCGAAGCGACAGTTCAAGGGCTCAAAAGCCGGGCGGCGTTCAAACTTCTCCAGGTATATCGCGACACTGCTCTTATTATTTGTCTACTGATTGTTTGATTCTCTGTCTGTAGATCGATGAAAAATATCGCATATTCAGGAGTGGACAAACTGTAGTTGATCTAGTAAGAGCTGAATCTAGAATGGCCACATTGCTTGAGTTTTTGGCTAATAAAATTGGTCAGGGCTACGCCCCAGGTTCCTGGTCACAGGTTCGTTTCTGATTATTTTTGATCGAGAGATACCCCCTCTGATTGCTTTCTTCTGAAAGGTTGCTCTGAATCGCACCCAACCAGGTGGCAGGGTTCTTGGTGTAGACATAATCCCAGCACAACCTCCAAAAGGCGTGTCAACAATACAGGGCAATTTCCTCTCTCCAGAGATCCAAACCTATGTCCGGGAATTCCTGCGCGATCCAGACAGAGGAAGACCTCGCAATTCAAACTTGGTACGCGAGTCACATCAAGCCGAGCTTGATCAGCAGGACCAGATTCAAAAAATGGACGCCTACTTTGACGACTATGGGGTACCAAAAGACACGTATAATTTGAGCACAATGGACTCGGAAATTGAAAGGACTGTTGATGTGGTTCTTAGCGACATGTCTGCTCCCTGGCTCCAAACAACTGGTTTTTGGAAGAGAAGTCTAAGTGACCCGTATCACAGGATGATGAACACTACCGGAGTGAGCTTCAAAGACCACACTGGAAGTATGGTAAGTACTACCATTTCTTTCTAAGCCCTCACTTGCTCTATCTTCTAGTAACGATGAGAAAGGATCTTTGTCAAGCTGCTCTTGAATTCAGTTTCCAGACCCTTAAAACAGGAGGTCATTTCATCTGCAAATTCTACCAAGGAATTGAAGATAAGCCTTTCGAGCTGCAGTTGAAACAGTCATTTGCAAAGGTATATCGATTGAAGCCAAAATCATCTCGAAGCGTGAGTGGAGCCTCTTGAAGGTGTCTATAATATTAAACATGATCTCATTCTTAACGGCCTTAACAGGAATCAAAAGAGGCTTATTTCATTGGTCTTAATCGCAAGAAAGAGTCTTTGTAAAAGGATGTCTTGAAATTTTCTGAACATGACAAGTATCTAACATTCAATTAAACTTCAAACTTAGGTAATTCCACATGAATCACACCAATTCTATCTCTTCAGTGTCCTCCTCTGATCCTTCATCCCATTCAATATCTGCAGCTGCTTCTGCTCTTAGCTGAACCTAATAAATGTCAGCTAGGCCAATTGTACTGTGGTCTTCGATTGAGACGAAAAAAAATTGCAATCAAGGCTTGGTAGTACCTCTTTAAGACCACTCAGAGTTTCCACATATCCATCTTCGGCTAAGGCTCGTTCTACGAATGCCCAACCGCCTTGCTTATATGCATCGATCACTTTATCTGAGCATGCACTGCAGCAGTCATAATTTTTACCCAGGACCGATTTATTTTCGAAGGTTGACAGGAAGCCCCTTATCTGATGGGGAAGAATGCCTAGCGGATGGTTTTCTCCATCCTCACTTCCTGGGGCAGAGGCCGGTGCTGCAGCGCCCATAGGATGCTGTAAAATCGATACGAAGAGCTCAACTAGAAGCGCTGACGCAATTGCGGCTACCCCAGGCCGAGTAACTGTGCATTGCTGATCGAGGGTCTGGTCCTTGACAGACTAGAGTAAATTAGCAGTGAAGAAGAAAGTATGTCGTACTGGAGAAAGGTCAACTTGCATTTGCTGGTGCAACAACGTCATTGCAGAAATAACAGCCAAGTTCCGAACCTGGATCCGAGGCGTTTTTGACGCCATGACGCATGACAACGAATGTATCAAAACCGAGTGCGGCGTTCATCACAATCTTCCCTGCTGCTTTTCCAATAACAGTGGGCAACCATCGTGCTTCACGAGTGTCCATGAGTAGAAATATAGCATCATGCTCCTCGATGAGGTTCTTAAGAAGTTCGAATTCCCTCCGAGTGTGGTCGGTGTTTGACATAGGATGGCCAACCATTGGCACAGAAAGAACATGTCCTGCAGTGTCGACTCCTGGGTAAATCTCCAGCAATGCTCTAGACGCCTGAAGGGCCTTTTTGGCGCCACCCTGCAAACAATCGGAGAATCTAAAAAGGGGTTGTCTCACAGGGTTTGAAAAAGATACTGATCCGTTGTCCACAAATGTAACCTTTCTAACACCCCATCCCTGAATCCATCCCCCGTCAGCTTCCCTGGAAGAAGAATCGAAAGCACCATTCTCACCAGTAGATTTCGAGCAACGTAGCTTCCCAAAGTTCCCGCCCCAAGCAGAAGACATTTTGTCTGCTTGACCTTATCAAGATCCAAGTGTGGACTAATTCGCCATTTCATAAGCTTGAGGTTCAAATCAACTGACTGGTCAGCTAATCTAATGAACAGATTAGCACTAGCTGGTAATCATGACAAAAGCTCGATATCTTCTTTTTGACAATTGACATATATTGAGCTGTTAGGTCTCATACCTTTTGGGGTCCATATACTCTGTGAGATCCACTGTCCTTCCAGTGAGCTTGCCCGCGAGGTTTCGTTCCCAGCCTGTCACCTTAGGCATGGTTCGAGGAGAGGACTCTATGTGAGATGGAGTCGAAATCTTGGACTCCAGTATTAATACACTACTGCAGTCCTCTGCAGGAGATAATTGTGAGCATCGATATCGCAAAATCTGAACCTTCTCGAGGTGCCAGCGGTGTTTCACCAGTGCAAGTAGATTCCTAAGCACCCAGCCCGGAGCATTTGTATAATTTGACGGATCTGCAAAGCACGTATAGCAATCTTCAAATTTCCGTCCATCAAAAAACCCCGACTCATAGGCTTCAAGTGGAGCTATTTCCCAAGAGAAGTCAGATTTGGTATGTGAGTCGAACGTGCTGTTTCCCTGCACTATACGTGGTTCGGGAGAATCCACTCCGGGTTCGTTTGTGATGGCATATCTGTTCTTCCGTGCGAGGAAAAATCCTCTCTGGTAACTATCTATGCTAGAGCTCCACACATGAACAGCATGGCTGAGTGCCGCACTTTCATGCCGGGATAGGGTTCTCAGATTTGATAAACTCTCCTCTCCATCCGGGTTGGCTGTGACCCAAACTGGATCTGAGTGTATCGCAGGAAATGCAAACCAATAGCTGAATCTGTACTTCTTGAGATCCGCGAAAGAGAGTACAGCAAAGTGCGCAAGTAATGACGGACATGCATAAATAGTTCCGTCAATAATCGCATTCCATATCTGTTGTTATAAGTGCTCTGGTTAGATGTTTCTGAAAAGAAATTTTCTGCTCAAGGCTTACTGTCATTCCTGCTTGTTGAAGTATCGCCCCCCTGTCTGCGTTGCGGTACTCTTCAATTGTGTTCACATTCTTGATCGTGCCTTCAGCTCGGTAATAACCTGATGAGACCCTAAGACAACCACTTTTAGTAAGACAATATGCTGAATGTTTTGAATATGAATAAGATAACAAAAGAGCATGGGGGATAGATAATTAATTTAATATAAGTGTACCAGTGCTGCCTGCGGTGTACTTACGCATCACTTGTCAAGGCATCACCGTGAATCTGCATTCGACATGAGGCGTTCGCACTATCCGTGACTCGAATCTCATAGAGTCCTAATATTTTGCGGGCAGAATCATCTAGCTTATCATGGTTGATCTTCAGAGAAGCCAGAGAAGTATAGAATGGGAGTTCTATATCTGAGGCGAAAGGTGTGTACTGCATCCTGACTTCTGAAACGATGCCTTCTGCCACCGAATGATTTGAAGATATCAGTTTTTAAGGGAAGCCTATGTTGCCTAAATTACTGTGGTTCACTCTTATGTCAAAAAGAAAATATATGTTTATAGAGCTTACCTTATAACTAATACCATCAGTCCTAGGACATGTGAATAATAATGTGGGGTAACTGATAGTAACTAGGTATTAACTATGTACTCCGTATTAGTTATGTAACGAGTTAGTACAGATGCCTGAGGTCGACTCTAGATAACCACCTCCTGGTTAGGTAGTTAATATAGCCAAGTAACTCAGCCAGAATTTACTAATACGCTGGTTATTTAATATTATAGAAAATAAATTTAATATCCCATTCAAATTAGGATACATAAGATATATAATTTGAATTCACTAATATCCTTCTCTATGAGAGAATGTCTTACAAGTCAAAGGGCTATGGTAACCATTCATCTGCTATTAATAGGTAGTTAGTAGCGAATTAAGACATAAATTCTCTAACAACAACCATTAATGGCCTTAAATATATCTGATTCTTGCTCCAGTATCATACTCAAGATTATAATTATTATAAGGATCCTACCTAGAAACACATGATTTCAGAAATTTAAAAGATTAGAACTTAACATTGCACGCAAATTACTATCCCTACAATAGTTAAGATACATGAGGCTACACAAGAAAGGCGTAACTATGGTCAGTCCTACAAACTACCTAATCTCATACAGTATCCAATACTACCTACCTAGGCAGTTACTTACCTATATGCCTCAGGTATCCAGGTAAGTACCTAGGTAGTCAGTTGCTTCCCCGCCAAAAGCATAATACACTAACCTCATATAGGCTTAGTGTAAATAGTATTTATTCTGAGGGTATGAGTAATTCATGTTCTCACAAATAATATTGCTGTCTCACGACTATTCGCTTGTACCCAGTCTATGCCACATAATTCAGGAAGATTAACCGGAGATGTCGCTTACCGAATCCTCTGCCGCTGATGTCGCGAAAGCAGCATCTTTGGCCTCTAGTCGCCTTGCCATACTTTCAAATGATAGTCGCAATGAAGCATTGACTGCTCTTCATCACGCCTTGTCAGAAAATAAGGACGTTATCCTCAAGGCCAATGCAAGAGATGTCGAAATCGCTACTACTGCTGTCAAGAAGGGTGATTTGAGTGAGAGTGTTCTCAAAAGGCTTGACTTGTCACGACCGGGAAAATACAATGATATGCTGCAAGGTATCCTCAGCGTAAGAGACTTGGAGGATCCTGGTATGTGGGCAAATCGGGCGGTTATTATATCCGGGCTGATCATTCTACAGTTGGGAAGGTGACCCTGAGGACCCTGTTGGATGATGGCCTTACTTTAGAAAAAGTCAGCTGTCCCATAGGGGTCTTGCTCATAATTTTTGAGGCCCGACCAGAAGTTATCGCTAATATAGCTGCATTGTCAATCAAATCGGGGAATGCTGCCATCCTGAAAGGTACTCCTTCCTTCATTTTTCCCTCTCCCCAGACTAAACTTATACCTTCCAAAAATAGGCGGGAAAGAGTCGACTGAATCTTTTATCGCTATCTCCAACGTCATATCCAATGCCATTGCAAGTACACGGGTCCCGGGTTCCTCGATACAGCTTGTGAAGACACGCGATGCGGTGTCGTCTCTTCTGGACCAGGACTCCTTGATTGATCTGGTCATCCCGCGAGGTTCAAACGAACTTGTTCGTTTCGTGAAGAATAACACCAGGATTCCGGTTTTGGGCCATGCTGATGGTCTTTGTTCTGCATACCTTCACGCTGATGCTGACTCCGATATTGCGGTTAACGTCATTTTGGACTCGAAAACCGATTATCCAGCTGCCTGCAACTCCCTGGAAACTTTGCTCGTCCACCAGGACACGCTTGAAACGGTTTTTCCTCTTGTGGTGCAGGCTCTCATCGGCAAAGGCGTGACTCTTCGATGCGATTCATCCTCCAAATCCGCCTTGGAAAAAGTCTTGCCGATTGAGCAGCTTAAATTTGTCCAAAGCTCCCGCGAAGCGGATTACAATACCGAGTTTCTAGACCTCATCTTGGCTGTCAAGACGATTCCTTCTACGCCTTTGCCCACCGCTGCTGTTGAGAGTGCTATTGCTCATATCAATTCCCACTCCTCCAAACATACCGATATTATCCTCACGAGCTCAAAAGATTTGGCTGATTTATTTATGAATTCGGTGGATAGCGCCGGGGTATTCTGGAATGCCTCCACACGCTTTGCTGATGGTATGAGGTACGGCTTCGGCACTGAAGTTGGTATCAGCACGAACAAAATCCACAGTAGAGGGCCTGTCGGATTGGATGGGTTGACCATCTATAAGTATAAAATCCGGGGGAATGGACATCGGGCGGGTGACTATCATGAAGGAGACGGTGGCAAAACATGGAAACACATAAATCTGCCTCTAGAATGAGAAAATCTACCGAGTATAAATGAAAAGTTCAACTAATTGAAAAAGGCCCATTCCATTCATATTTTTTTGTAGAAATAGTAGTGCGACCAACAAAATAGTGTACTAGTTAAGGACGAGAGTCCGGCTGCTACCACACGCAGAACGAGGACCGGAACAGCTGTCAGAAGATCACTCAGCAAAGTCTTTTTTTTCAGAACCGATAAAAGCCTCGAAACAGCTGACAGAACCATGTGCTCCAATTCAAATTCTCGACTTTTGTTGCTCTAAACCTTGAAGCCACGAGACCTTCTGCGACCACGAGCCCGCTCGAACTTCCTGCCCTTGCTCCGCACATAGGGTTTCTATCGTATAATTAGTCAAGTACCACGCTATTGTCTCGCAAAGAAAACAAACCTTGTGGCTGTGAGGACCAAATCCGAAATGCTTCACGGCTTCACGGGCGTTCTTGGGACCACGGAGGAGAAGAGTGTTGGCGCCAGTGGGAGCACGAAGAGCGAGCTGATCGAGCGTCAGAGCTTCACCACCTGCCTTCTCAATCCTGGCCCTGGCGGTTGCGGTGAAGCGAAGGGCGGCAACGGACAGTTTGGGGGTCGTGAGGAGTCGGTTATCGTCAGTGACCGTGCCGATGATGACAACGGTCTTACCCTTCTGAGACTCCGTCACATTCGAAGCGATACGCGACAGGGAAACCGGGGGGCGATTGATCCTCGACATGAAAAGACGGCGGAGAACGACCTTGTTAAAGTTGGACTCCGTGCGGCCTGTCCAAAATTACAGATCAGCTATCAATGAATAATCACGGCTAAATACTGAAGTTTCCAGGAACAGGAGAGCTTACGGGCGAGAAAGCGGTACAGCTTCACCAGGACCTGCAGGTAGACATTGTCGCTCTTGGGCGCCTTGCGATGGGTGCCGCGCACATGGTGACGGTCCAAATCGATACCTAGGAGGCTTCAATTTAGTATTTAATGATAGATTTGTTTTGCGATGATTGAATTTGGACATACCCATGGCTGCTGAGACTGTCGGATATCGTGGGTTGGCAGGCTGTCGCACCCTTACAAAATGAAGACCACATAGATTTTCCTTTAACAGTTTCCAGCTAACAGTGTGTGGGGGTTAAGCCCTACACTAGCGCGATTCCGGAATGAGTAATCACTGCTGGGTCCGCTGTCTGGTGTCTAGATAGGTCTACTCTGAAATCCGTATGCCGGATGGGGCTAATCAGCAGGAAGCACCAATAAAAACCGGTCTCTCCATCAAGCACGTATCAGGGACCGTAGATAATGTATTAACTCAACAGAATGGTCATATGATACCTATTACCAAGAGGGCCGAGTTAACTACTAGGTAGTTAGGTACTGTATCTAGAATTTGTCATCTGTTGTTGAATTTCCGAAGGCTAGTTCTTCCTTCACTTTAAATCAAGCGAGGGAAAAGATCTTACAGTCTTAAAACACTCCAATTTTGAGTAATTGGCATACTTATATAACACCATGTCTTTCTCTAACCTTGTCTCTGATATTGCCCTGAGAGATGCCCACCCTGATGATCGCAGTTCACAGATTTCCCACGCGCGATCACAGGTCACTGCTCGGTCATACACCAGCACAACAGCAACAAGCGTTAGCATCTCAGGTGATATTTCAAGCCAGCTTCATGCCGGATATAGTCATCCATTGAGTCGGTCATGGCAGGCCGAAAGACAATTAACTAAGGTATGGATTGCTTAACAACATGATGAATAATTCTGGTGATCTAATTTATACATAGGAAATGCTAATATTCCCGCTCTTCATTACTGATAACCCTAATGAAGAAACCCCAATTCCGTCCCTTCCCAATCAATATCGCCGTGGGTTGAACCGCCTTGTTCCGTTTCTCGCTCCGCTCGTCCAGAAAGGGCTACGCTCAGTTATTCTGTTTGGTGTCCCATTGCATCCTTCTGCTAAAGACGCACTGGGCACTGCTGCCGATGACCCGGCTGGCCCAGTCATCCAGGCTATACGACTTTTGCGGTCAAGGTTCCCAAAACTTTACATTGTGGCCGATGTCTGTTTGTGCGAGTACACGTCACACGGGCATTGCGGTATTCTTCGAGAGGATGGCACTCTGGACAATGCTCAGTCTGTCGATAGAGTTTCGGATGTCGCTCTCGCGTATGCTACAGCTGGAGCACATTGTGTAGCTCCGTCGGATATGAATGATGGTAGAGTACGCGCCATCAAACTCAAATTGATTGAAGCCGGCCTCGCCCATCGTGTGCTTTTAATGTCTTACAGCGCAAAATTCAGTGGCTGTCTATATGGCCCTTTCCGTGACGCTGCTGGCTCATGCCCGTCCTTTGGCGATCGAAAATGCTACCAGCTGCCGCCAGGTGGTCGTGGTCTTGCTCGCCGTGCGATACAACGAGATGTTGCGGAGGGTGCAGATATCATTATGGTAAAACCCGCAAGTAGCTACTTGGATATTATCCGAGATGCAAGGGAACTAGCGAAAGATATGCCGGTTGCTGCCTATCAAGTGAGTGGCGAATATGCAATGATTCATGCCGCAGCCAAAGCTGGTGTTTTTGATCTGAAAGCTATGGCTTTCGAAAGCACAGAAGGCATTCTAAGGGCTGGTGCGGGAATCGTAGTGAGCTATTTTGTACCTGAGTTTCTTGACTGGCTTTCTTAGTCTGTTTATTCTGCGTGTGTGCGTTCTACTTGTCCTATTGCTCTATTTTATGATTTAAAGTAGAATATAGTACAATGCAATGATCAACTTTTTTGGAATCCTATTTCTCTAGTCGTCTCTTACCTCTTGTAATATATTCTATATATATTTGGGTACAACAAGTTTCACTGTGGTCGTTATGTTTTCCTCATGATTTTGTGGTATGTTGATGTGATTATTAAGTATCCATCTTGTCTCAATACCTCGATAAAAAAGGATGAATATAGACTGTCTAGTGATGAGAGTTGACATTTAAGCATATTCACGTTGCCCAGTGTTTTCTTTTCTGGTATCCTTCAGGGGAAGTATGTATCAAAGTATAGGTGACATTATTGAGATAATGAACAATAGACATTAGGAATACATAGAGGATATAACCAATCCAGGGATATGTAACACAAAATATACATAGAAAGAAGTAACCAGGGTCATAAGAAGGCCCATCATATGAAAACTGGAGTGGGAAGCAGTCAAGCGTTTCGTGGTGGCTTCTATTACTCATGATTCGGAAAAGCCTAGTTCCCAGCTAGGCACGCCGGAAGTGAATCACATATAGCTGGGCTTCAAGCCTTGAAATCCGTAAGCCACAATGTCAGCTTTGACGACTTCTCCAGGAGCCACGTAAGCCCCTCGTCGGAGACGAACACCAGGGTAAATCGTACAATTGGCCCCGACGTAGCAATCTTCTTCGATTACGACAGGGCGGCCTTGGTATCGACTTTGAGATCCTTTCCGTTCTTGCATATTTGCATGGGCCATTGAGCTGAGAATTGTAACATTAGGGCCGATCCATGTGTGTGCACCAATACTAATGGAACAATCATCAACAAATAAACAATTTTCCGAGATCATCACACCCTCGCCAACATGGAGATTGTATCCATAATGGCAGTTGAAGGGACCTTCAACTACCGCCCCTTGTCCAATCGAGCCTGTCTGTTGAGATGAAGTCGCGGCTGGCGGGGAACAAATAGCAGAGGTTGGTTGAGGGACCAGCACTTCCTTGAACAAACGACTTTGCTCCTTTGCGCTGACACCTGACAATGGACTGCAAGAACTGTTAAATCGTTGTAGAGCAATCTTGCATCGTTCTCGCTCTTCAACAAGATGGACATCAAATGGTCTATAGAGCTCTCCTCGGGTCATTTTCTCCTTTTCTGTCTCATCGGAAGGGACAGCATGAACAGATAGTTGCTGCTCGATACTAAGCGCCATTCTAGCTTGTGCCTGTGGACTGTTGGTTTCCATACTCGCACTATGAACCGAGCGTTGTTCGATCCCACCTTGGTACAGGGATATGGGTGTTTTCGTACGAGGACCGTGAGAAAGTTCACGAAGTGACGGCACAATTTGGTACTCTGCCTTGGAATTCCCATCCCGAGAGAGATCATGTATTGGTGGTACTTCTCGAAACTCCGGTTTGCCTGTATGGTCTGCAAGGTAAGATGGATGACTAGGGCCCGACCAGCTTCGTTTGGACCAAGGCGTGCGATTAGTCTCTACTCCCGTTGGACTTGTAGTATACTGAGAAGTTGCGCGATCATTATCCTCTGTAACAGTTGGTCTCATCTTTCCTGTGTCGAGCTGTTCTGAGATAGTTGACTGACGATCATACTGCTGGTTGACCTCCGCCGGGTATTGTCCATTAACATCAATAAAACCATCTTTGGACTGCAGGGGAACCGGGGTTTTAGCACTAGAGGGCTTTTGCCACGTGCTCCTCGAGGAATAACCCTCGCAGACGAAACCACCTCGTAGACAGTTATTGCCTATGATTGAACGTCAGAAAGTATGAATTAACAAGAGGAACCCATTCCCATGTATCGGGCCTAACTCACAAGCTGGATGTTGCTCATCACATTTCTTCTTTCTTCTTCGGCAGGTCATACAGCCGGTCTTTGTTCTGTTGCTAAATACTCGCTTCCGTTTTGGTGCAACCTGGACAACAGATTGCGAACGGTCTTTTGTGAAGGGGATAGGTGAAGTTTGTTCTCCCTGTATTGATCCCCCTTTTAAATGGCTGATAGAATCCCAGTCCCTTTGCGCTGCATCATGATTATGGGCTTCCCGCTGAAGGGCCTCAGCAAGTTGCGTATCAGAAGGATCAGGTTCAATCTGCTGTGCTCTCTGTGCTTGGCTGATTAGATGAGAATCATAATTATGCCAGCCCATAGTGACTGTAGAACTTTGAGCATCTTCACCTGCATCTGATCGTGAGAATATAGGGGGTGATGGGTTTCTTTGTTTATTTGTCTCGTGGGCTATAGACACGCCACTTTTATTATTGATCTGAACATTGGAATGAAGGTCCACCTCCAAACGGGGAGTTGGGCTCCTAGGACCAACAACAGCATGGCTAGGGCTTTCGGGATATCTTTGCTGATCAAGTTCTGACCGCTTCCGTTTGTGTCTGTTTGTCTGATGGGAATCCCGTGGAGACTGTGTATCTGGGTGGGTTGCCAGCCCAGATGAGTCTGACTGGATTTGGGTGTCGTTCGTCTGTCTTGTCCAACTATCCTCAGCGTCTCTGTCTTCTTCGTTATAACTTGATGTATTATTAGTTGTACTGGCCATTGTCACACCATCCTGTATAGAGCTCTCTTTCCCGTTGATTGCTGTGAAGCATGGGCTCTGATCTGAGCTACTTTCCTGATCCTTGTTAATGCTACCACTCAATGTCGGCCCCGGGGCAATGGTAGCCATATCATCAAAATAGGAAGTGAAGGGGAAATAAGGACTTCCAACAACAGGGTATTAAATAAAACACATATAATATTTTCCGCAGTCACTGCTGTAAACTGATCTAGTTGAAGGTGGTCCCCTCGGAAGACGACTCCACTATTGGGCAGGGTTTAAAAACCTATGGTTCTGTGATGGGTGTTATCATATAGTCACATACAGATGCATAAAAAGGCTATGGGAGTGGTATAGACTAGTGTGCTCAGAAAGAATAGAATATACTCTCATTTATTTATGGCACTGATTTAATGCTATAGTTACTAATAGGACTGGTTAGATAACATCTCTTATCTATCACTACAGGTGATAATCAATTAATATTGATTAATCATTATTCTACTCTGAGGAGTGATAATCAGTGACGGCAATTCTAAAAAGAGATTTATTAGAATGCCCAGATGAGCAGGGTGTAGTTACACTATAGAATATACTTAGTTACCTAAGATATGGCTACCTAAAAAATAACTAACTACCTAGGTAGTTTATATGCACGTTAGCTAATACTAGACACAACTTTCTGGGTTAGGGAATAAGAGAAAGGGCAGTAGAGAAAAAAGCAGTAGAGAAATCATATATATAATAATAAATTCAATATATATTGATTATAAACAATGGGTTATAGGAGTATTCAAAACTAATCATTACATAACTATAGTGGTTGAATTTCACTATATTTAGGCATACTTGAAGTCTTCTACTGCAGAAAACTATGAAAAGCAAAATAGCTTTAAGAAAGGTCCAATATCTTAAATGTATATAATATAGCTATTTATTAATAGTACTGGGTACGTTCTATTCAATATGTTGAGCCTCTCTTTATTAATCTATTGTATACTCTCAGAGGTGCTGCTGAAGGTTGTGAAATTAAAAAGCACGTGCAAAGGTCTATTTATACTTGAAAACTTGGCCTCGTTCGCTACACTATAGTAGTCTACCTGGTCCAGGGGTCTATATGGATTCTAACTGCATCCTGCCTGCAGGTTTCTGGATATGTTGCTGTTTGATCGCAAATAGGCTGTATTTACCTAATTTGGAGCCTGATACCTGCTTAAATGGCTCGGTATTATTCTAGGGCAAGGACTGGGTGATCAATGAGTATTCAATAAAATAAGGTAGTGTGCGCGTGCTGTTTGTAGATGGCAGGCCAATCTGGTAGCCGATCAGCATCAGTATTGATTGCAGACACATAGCTCTTTCCTAGTTAGTCCAGTTAAGAGTAGTTCCCGTAGCAGCGGACGCTTGGAACTGTGAGCTCGTTTTTCCTACATTTTACCCAGTATGCTACCCGGGAAGTTATCATCTCAGCATGTGCATTTCAATCGCCTCAGGTTCTTATACTTTGAAATTTTAGGGATTCGTCCTGTTGATGTTCTTTGTTGACATGGAATTGATGTTGTCTCCGAGTGTAAAGGTTAAGCAGAATATGGAGATTATATAATCTAGAGGACTCTTCAGGAAGTTCAGCTCTTATAAACTGGAGCTTGAAAATAATATATTCATATAGGAAGAGTTATCATATTATATAAATGTTAATTATGTTGCCTTCTTTGTTATAGGTTTTATATTTCACATTAAATTGCTGATTTTTTTTATTCTTGTTTGTATAATATAAGTACTCATAAAGTAATTCGTCTACTAAAGTAGTAAAGGAATAAAAGAAAATGGCAGGGATGCTATGTTTACCTGCAACCTTCTATAAGAAGCATTAGACTGGCTATACCCGACCTAGACAACCTGACCTAACCTGACCTAACCTGCGCCTGGGTCAAGTATGGGTTTATTAATTAGAACCTATAGGTATATCTATTAAGTGCTATACTTATTTATTAAATATAAGTAAACCTATTAGGTTATAGATTAAGTTAAGTTTAATTTATAAATATATTAAATTATTATAATTTATAATATATTAGATACTAAAGTCTAACCTAGTTAAATTTATATATATTAAATAGGATATTATACTATATAATATAAATTAGTATATAATATATCAATAAGGAGAAGAGTAATTCATTAACTAACTAATACTAAATAATTTAACTCAAGTTAAATATTTAGGTTAAGACTATTATAAAGCTTATAATAATAATCTTAAAAGTATTAATACTAGTTTAATTATTAATAATATAGTTTAACTAATTAAATAACTTTTTATTTCTTTTATATATTCTTTTTTAATATATTCTCATTTAGCTTATCCTCCTTTAGCTTATCCTCCTTTAGCTTATCCTTTTTTAACTTATTCTTTTTCTCTTAATTATCTTTTTTATTATTAATATAATAAAAAAATAGTATATTCTTTTTATTTTAATTTCTAAAACTTAAACTAGTCTTATTAAATTCTTCTTAATACTTTTACTTAAGTTAAAATTATTTTATATAAAATTAAAATACTAAAGCTCTAATAATTTTAAAATTTAATTAGTCTCTTTAATAATATAAATATCTTATATATTATTAAAAAGTTATTTAACTTTAATAATAGTTATAGATATATATAAAAAGTCTTATATAATTCAAGATAAAATAAGGAAATAGATTTTATTAGCCATTTAGAAAATAGGAATATTAATATTTTTTTTAAAAATATTTATAGATTAAACTAAAGTTAATTTATAATATATGTTAGAGGTGTCTGCCTAGTTAGGTCTAGTGCTATCTTACTTACCTTTTCTCTCTCACCTGCGCGCATTCTAGATAGCTTTACTACTATTATTTATCTATATATCTCTTCTACTTTCTTTAGGCTATTTATTATTTAATATAGTAGTATATTATATTTCCTTCTAGGTCTAGCATTATATTCATCTTTTTTATATTAATTTATTCTTATTAAGAATTAGGGCCTATAGGCTAGGCCTAGGGGCTATAAAGCCTCTAGGCCCAACGCGTCGTGTTAATATAAGAAAAATTTAGAAATTAATGCCTATAGATAAGGCCTATAGGCAGGGGCCTCTAGGTCACTATTAAGATTTAATATTAATAATTTAATATTAATAATTTAATATTAATAATTTAATATTAATATTTTTTTTATTATAATTTAATAAGAATAGTATTATTAATTTTAGGGGTATATACTAATAACCCCTCCTCCCCCCCCTCCTATTATGACTAAAACCTTTAAATCGCGACTATAAATGACCATAGATAGGGATTATAGGATAACTATAAGAAATAGCATATCCTATATAGTAACTATAAGATGATAAATAGTAATAGTAATATAGAGAAAGGCAATATCTAAAGGGCTAAAGGGAGGATTAGGATCATAATTTTTTTTTTATATATTTAGCATCAGGTAGAGCACTTTAATAAAGGGGGGTATATTAAAGGTGTTTACCTAGTTAGGCCTAGTGCTATTCTACTTACCTTTTCTCTCTCACCTGCGCGCATCCTAGATAGCTTTACTACTATTATCTATCCACACATCTCTTCTACTTTCTCCAGGCCATCTATTGCCTGACAATATATAAAAAAAATAATATATATATTTATCTTTAAATAAATAAATCTTATCTTTTTTAAAGTCCTCTTAATTACTAAGTAAAAGATAATACTATTTATTTTATTATATATATCTAAAGACTAAAATAATATTTTATATAAAGCCTTAATTTATTTTATAAAGAAAAATATTAAAAAAGTTTTTATAATAAAAATAATAGATTTTATTTTAACTTTATTTATAATACTTTACTTAATTTATATTAATATTATATTAGATTTAACTTTTAAATATATTTATCTTTATATTAAGATTAAATATAATAAGAATAATAATAATATAATTATAAGCCTTATATATTTATGAATAATAAAAAAAAGCCTTTATCTTATTAATTTAAAAGACTTTTATAAGAGCCTTTTCAAGATAACTTTTAATTTCCTATTTAAGAAAAAATAAAAAAGATATTATGAACAATAATAACTTTTTAAATTAAAGATTTATTAGTTTATAAGAACTCTTAAATAAAGTTAAAAAAAATTATTAAAAGATATTTAAAATATTTTTATTTAATTATATTATATTAAGTTATAAATATTTAATTTTATTTTTTTTAAAAATAATAAAGATATTACTTAATTACTTTTTAAAGCCTCTGAAATTATTATAATAGTAATATTAAATTTTATTATATTATATATATATATAATTAAGAATAAGTTAAAGTATTTTAATAAAGAAGAGTTATTATTAAATCTTATTAAAATTAATTATATATTATAAATTATTATAAATATAGAATAGAATTTTTTAGACCTTAAATTTAATTTAGATTAATTTTATATTACAAACTTAAATAATTAATATATTTTTTAATATTCTAGACAAACATAATAATATAGTTACTAGGGAAGTATTAATATTATATTATATTTAATTTATATTTAATTTATACTAATTTTAAATATTTTAATTAAAAAACTTTATAAGATATCTTATATTATTATAATTAATAATATAATAAATAATGATTAAATAATTATAAGATTATATATAGCTAAAGGAGATTAAAAGCTTATTAAGCTATTTTAATTTATAAATTAAAAAATAAAGATACTTATTATTTTAATATTATTTATTATAATATCTTAAATAAATAAGTATAAAAATTTACTTTAGAGTATAGTTTTCTAAGAAACTTAAAATTAAGAATAATTTTATAATACTATTTCTTCTTACTAAAGAAGTATTTAATTATTATTATATATCAGGCACAGATGGCCTGGAGAAAGTAGAAGAGATATATATAGATAGATAATAGTAGTAAAGCTATCTAGGATGCACGCAGGCGAGAGAGAAAAGATAAGTAGAATAATATTATGCC